GTGTGTATTTTGGTTTTTAAATTTATATCCTTTAAAATTTTAACAATTAAACTCTTAATTTTTTTTAAATTGCAAGACCATGGAAGCTTTTGAAAAGATGGAAAAAATTGGTGAAGGTAAGTTTTTATAAAAATTATGTTTGAAGTTGAATAGTTTTATCTTATAGATATTATGTTACTTTCTGTTTGTAATATTCAAGGTACTTACGGTGTTGTTTATAAAGCAAAGGTACGTAAATCTGATGCTGTGGTGGCTCTGAAAAAAATCCGATTGGAAAATGAGGATGAAGGTGTGCCACCGACCGCTATTAGAGAAATAACGCTTCTCAAAGAATTGGCACATCCAAATATTGTATTGTGAGTCATTTTTTTTCGGTTGAAATATTTTATTTTATATTAAATTTGCTATCTTATTTAATACTCGAATATCTTTTGCTTTCCAGTTTAAAGGATGTTATTATGCAAGAAAATCGTCTGTACCTGGTTTTTGAATTTTTGACCATGGATTTGAAAAAATACCTCGACAGCTTACCTGAGGATAAAATGATGGATAAAATGTTGGTTAAGGTTAGATTTTTTGATATTTATTGATAAAGAAGATATTGATGGCTTTTGTTTTTGATTTATTTCTTGTTTTTATTTAAATTTTTACTGATTTGTTTTTTTTGAAATCTTTAGAGTTATTTGTATCAAATTCTGCAAGCTTTAAAATTCTGTCATCAACGAAGAACCATACATCGTGATTTGAAGCCCCACAATCTCCTACTAGATTCTAAAGGAATCATTAAATTGGCTGATTTTGGTTTAGCTCGTGCATTTGGTATACCAGTTAGGCCATATACTCATGAAGTTGTTACTCTCTGGTATAGAGCACCGGAAGTTTTACTCAATTCGGAACGTTATTCAACATCTTTAGATATTTGGTCAGTTGGTTGTATTTTCGCTGAAATGGCTACAAAGAGACCATTATTCCGTGGAGATTCCGAAATCGATCAACTTTTTAGAATTTTCAGGTAAATTATCCGAAATAATTTTTTAGTATCTTGATTCCTATAGCAATGTCAAATACCATAATGTTGTCATAGAAATTACTTTACAAGAGAGAGCGAGAGAGAGAGAGAAATTCAATTTTTTGATATTTTTTGTTTTTTGTAATTGTAGAGTTTTGGGTACACCAACTGAAAAAACTTGGCCTGGTGTATCAAAGTTACCTGCTTACAAAAGTCATTTTCCTTGCTGGAAAGAAAATATTCTCAATTCATTTGAACCAGTTATCGGAGAAACTGGTGACGATCTTTTAAAGGTAAAATAATACATTATTTCATTTGTTTTCATTCATTTTACATTTTAAATTTAAAATTCTAATTTGTTTTTCTTTTGATTTTTTTCTGAAATTTTTACTTTTCAGTTGATGCTCATTTACGATCCTCATAAGAGGGTATCTGCTAAAGCCGCAGTTAATCATGCTTATTTTAAAGATTTGGACATATCAAAACTTCCAGATTATAATGCTGAATATTAGTTTTGTTTTTCAAATCTACTTTTATAGCACATAATTTTAGTATCTTTTTATTTCTATTTTATTTCTATGTTTTCCATTCTTTCATCCAAATTACCTAAAATGAATCAAAATCCTTTCTAAAAAAATGTATCATGGTCTTAAGTCAAATCAACTTTTGCACATTCTTGCTTAAATTGGTAATACAAAACAACACACAAACAAATTTTTAAATATTTATTTATAGTAGCTTCCAATTGTTCAGCGGTTCGTGTTGCAAACTTACAATCAATGATCCAAATCAACCATACTAATTATTTGTATTACATCCACTCTTCAATCATAAAACGCAAATCAGGAACCAGTAAATCGCGTCATAATAAGATCATTACAGTTAAAATACGTCAATATTTCAACTAAATTAAAAGAGCGTCAATCAGAATCTCGATGCCGATTCATCTGAACACCAATTACAGGCTTCACCAATACTTCCTACATCTAAAGACTACCATCAATCGTCGGGCATCTACTCAATTAAACATCTCTGTCTAGTTTCAGCTGCCTCGAGGTAGTTCATGTTAGCATTGATCTATCCAAGGTGAAGTTGATGTAACTGCGTATCGTCATTATCGTGATAACTTAAGTACATGAGTATTTCTGGTTTTATTGCTAAAAGCTTGTCCAAAAGTGCATTTATAACGTTCTCAATGTCTATTTAATCGTCGCCGTTTTGTTGGTCATTTAACTTGTACGGATCAACTAAAGAATTGAATCTAATTAACCTTTCAGGTTCACGATGAACTTGTAGTATTTTCCTTATCATTTTATATTCAATTGTAATTTTTTTATAATTGAATAACTTGTAATGGTCAACATGATAAAACCTTTTTCCTTGTTTTTGAAACATTGAACATAAATCTTTTATGTGATAAATATCTTACGACTTATTGAAGAGTTCAATGAAAGTTAAATAAACTCTTAAAACCGATAAATTATCATTTTAATAGATATTAGAATCATGTTTTTTATCTTACATCATTTATGATTACTCGATGGGAATTCCTGGATAGATTCAATTTAAAAGAAACTTACAATTTATACAAGACTGTAACATGTTAATGATGAAAAATATGGCAGCAGTCAAAGTGAAATACAATGTATTAGGAATTCTGGAAGCAGCCTTGAAGAGCTTAATATATTCCATAATTGCCGAAGGTAACCATAGGTGCGATTAACTAACTGATGAGGATCAACATTACTAGATAAAATCAAAGGACATCAGCTAGAGGCATTGAATTGAATAAAATGTCTTAAAAATTCAGACTTGAATGAACGACTTGTCACCACACATACACTTTACATGTACTTAGCCAACTCGTTTGAATGCTTAAGCAAATATTGTGGATCTTACAGGCATTTGTAGTTGAATAAACACTAAATAGTGAGTCTTTAGATTAAGAAACAATTAATTTTGTAAGCCAACTGTCCATCAATAGCGGTTATTTCAACAATGAAAGCTGAAGCAGCGATTGTTAAACCTGAAAACTGGTTTAGAGTTGCAACTATCGAAGCACTTTTAGTACCTTTTTAACAAGGAAAAAGCCAACCGATTAAATCAACTTCCTTTTAATATAATCTAATTGAGATGGTATAACAAGGAAAAGTAAATTAAATAAATTTCAAATCAATTGGTAGAGTAAATTGGGTTTTCAATTTGATTGAAAAGCAAAACATGAAAAATAGATCAAAACAAAATAACAATAACAAGATAAATTATAAAATTTGCTCGGAAAATAGTGTGAATAAGCTAATTATCCAGCTTTAATTTATTAGATTGACAAATTTCAAGTCTTTTCATGTTCCAATAAATATCTGATTTCAGTTTTTAATATGAAATTTACTTTTACTTAATTTTTATTAAAATATTTTTAATCAACCATTTTCAAACAAATCCAAGTTAACATTGAAATCACTCGAATCCTTTTCGATTCAATCGGATATCTTTGACGAATCCGATCGACTGTTTATTTTTTGTAAGCCAGTGTAATGAAAAATGTACAGTATCTATGTTTTAATTTTAGTGTCTACTTTTGGTTCTTCAATATATTGTCAATCATGTTTTTACACCACAACAGCTTGTGCAATTCCGTCCATATGTTGCGTTAGATTGAGCATTCCTAAATCAATACCTCGAACTGGAGGACTTGTTAGGATCATTCCTAATTTTCCAGTGGATACCGATATTAAAAACAGGCCTGGTGACTTTATCCTTCGTTTTCAATCTACTATTTATGAATCTTCTGCTACATTGAAATTCAATTTTACAAATAATTTTGTGTGTAATAATATAAGTATTTTTATTTCAACTTGGACATGTGATATAATCAAACAATATGATAGTAAGCTAAATGTAAAAGAGCAAATTGAAATCGTGTATCTAATTGATAATGCCAATTGTTGCAGGAGTAGACTAAATATGAGCATTTTTAGTGAAATTTACGCTCGTGATCCCGGCATTACATATGCACCAGACTACACTTTCCCAGGTCAAAAAGGAATCATTAAGGTTCAGTTCACTTATTGTCCAAATGAATATTTTACTGATTACACAAAATTCACTTTGAATAATAAAAACCTTGGCCATGAAGTTGATAAAAAACATGTCTTCTTTGGATCTCTGTGCACATTCTTGCTGACGATGTCTGGTGATTCCGCTGGTGCATCTTTCATGACCGTGATTATCAAGATAAATAATCGACCCTTGGCAACTAATATGACCATTTACATCCGAGAGACACCATCTTTTGAAGCCACCGAGTGGATAACATTTCAAAAACGACCCCTAAATCTGCCCTTAAGGGGCAAAAATTTCGACTCATTGTATCAGCCTCACTATCAATTGTTTACGTCAAAAGGCGTAAAAAATGTAACAGTGTTCGAATCATTTTTGACACCCTGTCGAGTTGTAAACAGCACTTTGATGCAATGTGCTCCTCTAATTATTGAAGGTAATGTGTTTCATGAAAAATTTAGTATAGTGATGTATTCACATGAAAAGAAGGTTAATGCTGCCTATAACTTGAATATTCAATTTATGCCAGCGCCAGTGATTCTGTTTGCTCGGTTCAGCATGGAAACTGATATAATATTGGAAATATTTCATGACTATATTGTTCCAAGTTATTCACGTCCAGTTGTTCACATTGTCCTTATAAAACAAAATGTCACCCTCCTTAAAAAGAAATGTGTCGATGTTTTTTTAAAACCTGATTCCAACAAGATGACCTGTTTGCTAAACGAGACTGTTAATAAGAAGTTTCAGTGGTGGGTGGAAATGACCGTTGATAATTACACATTGGATCGCTATTGTTTAGTTGCCTGTGATACCAACCTCGTTGATTCATCTGATACTTTGCTGACTTTTATTTTAATCGCTATACTCATTGGGTTGATTATTTTACCCTTGATTTATGTTTATCTGGAGTGGAAAGCGAAACGTCAACCAGTCGAAAGATATAAAAGTAAACTACATGGAAATACTCTGGCACATCCAAAGAGTTTGTTGTCTTTTTTAAGCAAAAAATCGCATGATAATATTGTCAAGTCATATTCAAGTTCTTGTCGTTCTAAGAGGAGTCGTCTATCACAGAAAAGGTCAAGGCAAAGAGCAATGAGCATTGAGTAAACATGGTATTGCAACTGGAATCGATCCTGACTCGATAGAGGAAACATGATCACATCTTACGGTCATTGATTTAAAAGCTAATCAAACAGAGGCCATTTCGTCTGGATCTTAGTGTTGCGAAGAATTGGTTAAACTTTGAAAGAAACGTATGAAATGTTCAGTAGTTTATGGAAACTACGCTAAACTCAATGATGCTGTTTCATAGTTGACTGGTTTTACAGGCGTTCAAGGCTAACCAAAACTTGTTAAGTTAGTTAATTTGAATGGTTTGCATTAAATTACTCTGTAATTTGACCATCAATCAAGTGAGGCAAGAGTGAGGTTTGACGAGGATTGAAATTACACAATTTACGAGAAAGGGTTCAAGAAATCAAGGTTGGAAATGCAATATGGTGATGTGAAAAAATATTATTTATTAATAGTACAATATAATCACCAAATGTTTACATTTTTACAATTTTTTACTCGAAAGAGATTCATTTGGGAACAAAAGGGTGAGCTGAATCAGCAGGAAATGTATCTCAGTGAGTGTGAAGAAGAAATAAGTAAAAAATATTAATTTTGTTAAAAAAGAGAAAATTTGATCAGTTTTCAAAACCGACAAAAAAATGAATCCAAGTGTAACAAAAATATTAACGAAATTGGTAAAGCGGCAAAGATTTAGATTGATTAATATTCTGATATTGTGAACCGGTTATGTTTCCTTTGATAACAATTGATTGATGAGAAGGTGGTAAATGACGATGAAGACGGTTAAACAATGAGAGTGTTTTTCGATGTTGGTCGAGATGGCAAAGTGTTAAAGAGAAACAATAGATAATGAGGATGATGAATGTTCCTGTGATGATGTTAACAGTTGTGTATAATGTTCAAACAATGATCATCATCATGGTAAACATGGATTCTTTTTTATATTGTTGCTTTCAAGGATCCACTTCAACACAAAGTTCGGGTTTCAAGTATTGAATAAAAGGTTTGATCAATTTATCAACATCAGCTTTAGTCATGTTAAACTCCTTCTCAGCCATTTCGTAGCAAGAGATAGCTCCTTTAGGTACTCGACGATAGTTGACTGTACAGGTACCACCTAGCCAATCAGGTAAATTGGATTCATCAATTAACTCGTTCAACTCTTTTTTGCCTCCAAATTTAATCTTTGCAACAGAATCAGAAGGTAAAAAGGATATCACCATATTGGCAAAGGCACCAAGAAGCCAGGGTAAACCGTAAAGCAAGGCTGTGGCCACACCGCGAGGATAACGATTACGAAGGGTACCAAAGAGAAACATGATCATGTCAAGATCAGTGTTGAAAAAATTGGCATCTGAAGCATCAAGAATGATAATCCAAGATTCCCTTGATTCCTTGGCTGAATCCAATTGTTCAATCACATTGACTAAGTAGTGTTTTATTTTATCTTCTAACTGTTCAATTTTACGATGAATTTTACCACGAATGTAAAGTGTTGGTCTACCTTGTCGATCCTTCTCGTAAGGAATCAGTGCAGCAATCTGATAAATCTCTTTGGGTATGGTAAAAGGGTCAAAAGAGTTGACACCAAAGGATCGTCTCCATTCCATTGTTGACCGTAATTTCTCATAAGAATCCTCAACTGATTCACTAGGATCTGCCATGAACCTTGAAACCCAGAAATCCTTTTCCATCACTTTCCTGTGGTCACATTCATCATACAGTTCGGGATGAGATTCGTATTCTTTAGCAAACATTGACCTAATGGTGGCAATTTTTTCTTGATATTTTTCACTTGAATCTTGTTTTCCATCACTTTTTTTACTTTGCTTTGTAGAGTTAACACCTTTCAATTTTCCACATTTTAAATTGTCATCACTATTGTTGTTGTTATTGTTGAATATCGATGAACCAGAATTTGCTGCATCCATTTCCAATGACATCTTAGCAATGTAAATATGGGTTTATAATAAAGATGAGAAAAAACCGTTGAACTGGAAAACTAAAGAGTCAACTAACAACTAACAGGTTAAAACAAATGACTAACGTTTTGTTTTTCTGTCAGCTTACAGAAACTGTTAAAAGGGGCAAATAAAGACACTATAAAATGCAAGGCACAAAAAAATCAGTAAATTACGCTCACTTCGGATTATTAGTTAAATTGTACTTTTACAATGTGTATTGAGGTTCATGCGAACCAATACTTAAAATGATCGAAGGGAAATTTTCAGTTGTATTTGAGTAATCAAGTAAAGTGAGATAATGATGATGAAAAGAGAGAGTGAAGAGGGAGGATTGATAAATTGTCGGTTAAGGTGAAAATTGAAATTTGAGTAGTCAAACGAGATTTAACAATCCACTTTCCTCTCTCTCTCTCTCTTTCTTTCTCCTTCTCTTTATACATTTATATAAAGGAAGATTATTAGCAAAAAAGTGTTGATGATGATTGGTGAGAGATGAGGAAGAAATGCACAAGAAATGGTAAGGGTACTTACAAAGAAGAAAGCTCTTGACCAGTTGAAACCTTTTTTTCCGTTTGACCTCATAACAATTGTAAGGTAAATTTGCTGAAAGGAAATTTTTCTCTTTTCCATCAGATTAATTTGCTTTTCATGATTTGAAACATTTTTCGTTTGGCTTTTCACAATTGCTAAGCAACATCAAGAATTAAAAATCATCTTCAATCCTTTCAAATTTACTTTCAGTCTAACCTCACAAGAGTGGCTCGACCGAATGACATTTTAAAAGCTAATGGAAATCTTTGAAATTCAAAAATTTTAAGGGTATCAGAACTTTCTCAACAAGCTAATATATCTATTCAACAGGAAACAGAACGATCTTTAGTTTTATGACATTAGTGTTTTTCAACAAAATAGTGATACAGAAAGCTAATGGTGAAATTTTTTGTCGATTTAACAAATTTAGCAATATTCATCCATTCAGAATGGCTGTTTTACCCAAGATATTCATAGCATAGTCAGGAATGGAAATACGAATTGATTGTTAGTTCTGTAATGTTGTAAAAAGCTCTGAAATCATGTAATAATTCATCGTTGGTCAAGTTGTGTAATGATTTTGTATTTTATTAAAACTTAATCTTACAAAGAAAAAGCCATGCTTTTACGCATGTAGCCGTTACAAGAAAATTGTAACCCTCTGTCACTCCAAAAAACTATTGAAGCCAGAGGTCTGAGCTCAAGGCCCAGGTAGGCAGCTTCTGAAAGTGTCTTAACGACATACATGATATTACAATTTGAGTTTTGGGGATAAGGTTTACATAAAATATGAGTGATATTAGTGAGTATTTGGTAGGAATTACAGTCATAAGAAAATTTTTTCAAAAGGTCATTGAAAATGTTACACAAGGTTTTCTTTACAGTTTTTTGAATTACATGTTGAACGGATGTTCTTGATTTACTTTGTTTTTTAAATTACGTTGATTTAAATTACAATACTTACCAGTGGGTATAAACAGTGACGCTGAAGCCAAAATGCCATTATCAGACGATATCTTTTGATCCAAAGTAGTCTCTGTTGTAGAGTTTGTAGACGCCATTTCGATGAAAAAGAGTATTCCAACACACCTAACGATGGCCCTAAGTATATAAAAAACAAAAAATAGAGTAATTAAATAACTTAATTGTAGAAAATAATCAAAAAAAAACAGGAGCTTAAAAATTTGCGACTTCTCCCTGTATTTACTCGGAGTACAATATTATTTCAATAGATGGCAGTGACAACTCAATCTATTGCTGTTCATTTGACTTGGATTTAAAGTTAATGAAAACTTATTGGAAACCGTTTGGTATAACTTCCGTATCTAGTCTGCAGAATTTCTTGGTGAAACTTTGAGACTTTATAGAACTCGACGAGCTGAGTTCGATCATTTTATGCGGAAACGCACCCCTAACGAACAAAAATCATACTTGTGTAAACGCGCTTTAGGACATTTCAAGCGTTTCGCATGCACATAGAACCATTTTTTCGACATTCATTATTAATGATGTTCAGTTAATTTCGTGAGTAAAGTTTAATGACTCTAGCACATATATTAACTGAGATATGGGTCGATAAACATGTACAGCAAGATAAACAGTCGAGTTCTGCAAGTACAGAATGTTTCATTGCGAAAATCCGCAGGCTGGATAATGATTGGGGACAATGAGAGCTGTTGGTAAATTGAAAAAAGTGTCAATCGTTGATGTTTTCCAACAAGTTTAGGATCGACGAATTTAACCTCTCTTTTTTACTTTTACGGTCCTGGAAAACGGAGTTTCGACTATAACTGAACTGATCTGTTGTATAGAAACTCGAAAAATGAGTGCATATTCTAGTTGTTTTTTAAAATTTACACCAATTGAATGAATTTCATGAAAAATCTGCTTTCATAATCGAAAGATGATCCAAGTTTCAACTTTGACCTCGAATTCCTTAAAAACTGTCGATCGGAGAAATTTTAAATGCCGTTAATGGACTCAGTTTTTATGCTCCTACAAACCCACAAAGTCTCAAATCTTAACGTAAATGTTCAAGTTTTTATTAGCACTATTCCATAGTTTAAACAGACGCGCTTTGGGCCATCCATTGCTTGATATTCCTGGTTGTGGGTTGGGTTACATGCCACAAGATACAGCTTTAAATGACAATTTGACCATTTCTGAGATTATCAACTATTTTGGTGCTTTGTATAGGATCCCAAACAAAGAGTGTAAAGCCAAAGCAAAAGTGTTGTGTGAACGCTTAGGCCTTCCACAAGAGTCTCGATCCATAGGTCAACTAAGTGGTGGACAACAACGTAGAGTTTCATTCATCTGCACTCTTATCCATAAACCAAGGTTAATGATTCTCGATGAGCCAACAGTTGGTTGCGATCCAATAGTTATTGAAGTCATGTGGCGTGTATCCTTGAAATAGCTCGATCCTATGGAACAACAGTTATTGTTAAGGTATCCATATCTCGCTAAGGCTTTGAATGCATCTGCTTGGCGTATTAGTCGTCATGTCCTTTACCATCCGTTCACCATTCTTCATAGCTCAGTCGCCCATCGTGAATGTCGACCCGATAGCTGAGCCTGAACTTGAAGAAGATCAATACAATTCTCAAAATTACTTCATCCAAGTGTTCACGATGGACTGGTCCTTCTTTGTCTTCCTTTATTTGTCAATTTCGTAATAAACTATGGAATAGTCCTGATAAAAACTTGAACATTTAAGTTAAGATTTGAGACTTTGTGGGTTTGTAGGAGTATAAAAACTGAGTCCATTAACGGCATTGCAAATTTCTTCGATCGACATTTTTGTGGGAATCGAGGTCAAAGTTGAAACTTGGATCATCCTTTGTACAGTTACGAAAACAGATTTTTTATGGAATTCATTTAATTCGTCAACTTTGTCTAACCTCCACTTTCCAGGAACGTGAAAGTAAGAAAAAGAACTGAAATTAATTATTCGTGGATTCTAATTTTGTTGGTAATCATCAACGATTGAACACTTTTTTCAATTCACCAACAGCTCTCTTCATTTATTTTACATTTATTTCATTTCAAGAAAGGATCCATCTCAATATGAAAAGAATCAAAAGAATGTAACTCAAATTATAAATTACAGTTTTGTAAACCAATGGTGATTCCAATCCATCGCCATGGACCATGACACGAATCATTGCCCCATTATGGTGCTTATTTCGAAATACCCGTGTTAAAGACTTCATAAAGTATGGCAATGTGTCGGCTGAAATATTACCAGCGCCATGAAAATAAGGAAACTTACAGCGACAACTAACTCAATGTACCTGCTCTTATTAACAAGCACAACAAAATGTCACTCTCTAAAAATAGCTTAACGATTTTAAACATCACTTACCGTGGCCATAACCATTGTTCATTTGCATTTAGGTGTTTCTCCATGACTTTGGAAAAGTTCCCATAATTTCAGACAAAATATTGAGCCAAATTCGTAGAACCAGTAACTGTTCTCAAAACGTTCCGACAGTGTGCAAGTAATCAGAATATTAAAGAGTAAAGGTTTACAAAAATTTCCATTGTTTATTGGTTATAATTGGAAAAAGTCAAAAATATTAAAAATATGTATAATGTGTTATATTAACCATGTAACATTCAATAACGTAATTGCAAGATTTAAATGAGGAGGGATAAATGCGTATTCATGATCTTTCTGTATCATTTGTATTGTATATTAATAAGCCAAAAGATATTTGAACACTTTGGTGAAAACTCTTTGTAACCAGTAAATAGTAAGTCAGCGGTCTAAAGATTGTATACGATTTACATGGTGTTTAAAACGACATTATCAATGATTCGCTTTTGCTCAAACAGGTTCGTATTCAGCTCGTTCGTAATGGTATCTGACATAATTTACAATGAATATCAACATAATAAAAATTTGAAGACAAGCTAATGCGGTGACAAAAATAGCTAATTGTTCCATCGTAGGAGCCAAAACTATTTTAATTGCGTGCACACAACCTTCAGTGTAAATATCTTTTCTTTGTTTTTGGTCAGCAAAACAAGAGTCAGGAATCTGTAACCAATCAGAAGCATTAAAAGCACCACAGCACTGCATTTTTATCTGAAAATTATCCATGTTTTCCTTTAACTCTGGCATCTTTCCGTCTTCAACTTCCTTGATCTTCGATTGAAATTGTTCAATAGTCACGTCTTCAAGCTGGTTGCTATATTTGAACGCAAATCCACCGATAGTGAACTCAGCGATGACCAACAGTAACAAAATAGAGCCAACCTGTAAGAGTTGATTGTGCTGTAATATAATATGACTGAATGCAGAAGCAAATCTTAGCGAACATGTTGTGTGCAGAACTAAAATGAAATCTAAGTTTGAAAGCGATTTTATCGAAAACGATCGAAAAAGAAATTTTTAAATTACACAAATAAGCTCAGTCTTGATGGACTGGAAATCCATCATGAAACAATGTTTTAGTATATTATAATATAATATAATACTATATATTATGAATAATAATATAATATAATTTTACTTATAACTATTTTAAATTATGTCAAATAACTGCGTGATAATTCTGTGGATTATTGACCGAATATGATCAAGATCTGACTTCTGTAGTGACACTCATTAGTGATCTAACATATACTTACAAAATTCATGACAAAACTAGATTTTTTCATATCACTCAAGCACTCGCACCAGTGTAAAAGAGCTGCACAAACACCAACAATGATGCTCATGATAGCAGGTCCTCGCCCAACAGCCAAAACATCTTCATAGTGCACTGCGATTAGATTTGCACCCCAAGCAACGCTTGCACAGCTAAGCGCCTATAAGAAAAACAAAAATTACATCAGTAAAGTGTGATGAATCATAATCTTAATATGGAAGTAAATATATTGAAGGACGTTTCTAGTCTCTGATGAAGAGTCAAATATCGATAACATAAGAATGATAAACGCATATACAGTATAACAGTAACTTGAATTTCAAACAAAAGTTGAATAAACCACTTACAGCACCTATGAACTTAAATAAAATTAGAAGCAGCGCCTCATCCCAAGTTGGTAATTCAAAGTAGCGACACATAATTTATTATTATCTTTTTGTGAGTACTATTCAAAAGGAAAAGAGTGAAAAATTAGACTAAAATGGAAGTTGATTAACAACAGCATTTACTGTGAGACGAATAACTACAGGGTGTAAAAAAGATTGTAGGATTGAATAACTAAATAATGAACAATTTATTGATGCTTTATAACCGATCTGTCGAAATGATAAAACAATCTAACAATTTGTTGAAGTAAAAGTTAAAAATCTTTACAATCACAAGAGAAGTTTCACTTATTAGTTTAACTTGTCATTAATGGTTGTATTTTTGTATTATTATACATTGTATTGCTACTAAAAATATCTGATCCTTGGATAGTTAGTGGATTGATTATTTGCTTTGAGAGTATGGCGCGTCTGTTTAAACTATGGAACAGTGCTAATAAAAAAACGAACCTTTAAGTTAAGATTTGCGACTTTGTGGGTTTGTAGGAGTATAAAAACTAAGTCCATTAGTGGCATTTAAAATTTCTCCGATCTACAGTTTTTAAGGAATTCGAGGTCAAAGTTGAAACTTGGATCATCTTTTGATTATGAAAGCAGATTTTTCATGAAATTCATTCAATTGGTGTAAATTTTAAAAAACAACTAGAATATGCACCCATTTTTCGAGTTTCTATACAACAGATCAGTTCAGTTATAGTAAAAACTCCGCTTTCCAGGACCGTGCAAGTAAGAAAGAGAACTGAAATCTCAATTCATCAACAGCTCTCTTCATTTTGGCCAATATTTCGTCAGATTTGAGACTTGACTTATGACTAACTTTCACGGTCACAAGAAGCAGTCCGTTTAACTGAAAATCGAACTGGTGAAAATGTATTTCTCAGAATAAAAGCATTTTTTGATTGATAAAAAGTTGAATCAGTAAAATGAGTTTCATGAACAAATATGCTTTCACACCATTGAACAAAAGGCCAAGTTTCAACTCTGTCCTCCAATTTCTCGAAAACTGTCGATCGTTAAAATACTTTTGTTTTAAGTGTTTGTTTGCTTAAAGGATTGGCGACACAGGAATATACTGGTAGCAAAACACTTACAAAGGATACATGGTACCTTAAAAGCTGTCGCGGTTGGTCGGTTCACACAAGCATAAAGTTAACTTAATCCTGCCCATTACTGTATTTTCAGAGGCACAACAAAGGACAATGAACATATCAAGTTTCATGGTCGCCATCAAGAAAGCAGTTACAATGGCTGAAACAATGTTTACCAAATAGATAACCAGGTGAGGAAAAGTGAACCTTTAGCTGTTGCATGAAAAATGTCAATAATGAAAATCATGACGGGTAGACTGATGAGCGAAGGTAGGAGAAGGGAAGAAATAAGGTGACTCAATATGAATTGGGTTGGTGTTGACCCAGCAGATATGCTTCGTTCATACAATGGAGTAGTTATATCATCATGAAATGTGGAAATTGACAAATAGAGGAAAACAAAGAAGGTCCAGTGCATTGTGAACACTTGGATGAAGTAATTTCGAGAATTGTATTGATCTTCTTCAAGTTCAGGCTCAGCTATCGGGTCGACATTCAGGATGGGAGACTGAGCTAACATTGGATGGTGAAGGACATGACGACTAATATCGACCTCCGCCCTCGTGTTTAAATCATATAATTTCTCGATGAAGTGGTTCTACTATAACTTAAACAATTAGTCCCGTCTAGTGATTCCTCTTTAGCCTTTCTACTCCTTTCCCTTTAGGGGCAGTCATTGGAGGTGACTAATTGCTTAAACTGTGCAATTTAACGACTGAGCTAACATTGGATGGTGAAGGACATGACGACTAATACGCCAAGCAGATGCATTCAAAGCCTTGGCGTGATACATTAACAATAACTGTTGTTCCATAGGATCGAGCTATTTCAAGGATACACGCCACATGACTTCAATAACATTTGGATCGCAACCAACTGTTGGCTCATCGAGAATCATCAATCTTGGTTTATGGATAAGAGTACAGATGAATGAAACTCTTCGTTTTTGTCCACCACTTAGTTGACCTATGGATCGAGACTCTTCTGGAAGGCCTAAGCGTTCACACAACACTTTTGCTTTGGCTTTACACTCTTTGTTTGGGATCCTATACAAAGCACCAAAATAGTTGATAATATCAGAAATGGTCAAATTGTCATTTAAAGCTGTATCTTGTGGCATGTAACCCAACCCACAACCAGGAATATCAAGCAATGGATGGCCCAAAGTCAGGCCAAAGAGTCGAGTTGCTTTGAGCCTTGAGAAACTCGAACCTTTAAGTTAAGATTTGAGACTTTGTGGGTTTGTAGGAGTATAAAAACTAAGTCCATTAATGACATTTAAAATTTCTCCGATCGACAGTTTGCGAGGAAATCAAGGTCAAAGTCAAAACTTGGATCATCTTTTGTTTCATTATGAAAAAAGATTTTTCATGAAATTCATTTAACTGTACAACTTTATCTGACCTCCACTTTCCAGGAACGTGAAAGCAAGAATAAAACTGAAATTTATTATTCGTCGATTTCAATTTTGTTGGTAAGCAAAGCTTGTCAACGATTGAACACTTTTTTCAATTCACCAACAGCTCTCTTCATTTTGACCAATATGCTCTCAGATTTGAGATTAGGTTCATTTATTATAAAAGTAAATGGTTACTCGAACACGAATCTCATGATTTGTTAGAAGGATATTCATCATTAAATATCTTCGCTCAGATTTGTTCATATTCAATGAATAAAAGTACGAATAAGATCTGTCTTTATTATGTTCAGTTCTGTCTTGAATTGTTTTTTTTTCTTATCTCTACAAACTAAAAGATGCTTGTGATGAGTCCTCGAAATTGTGTGAAACCCAAAACAAAATCTGACCCTTTTTTGTTGCTGCCTGGACTATCCAACCTTCCCTTAGAGTTAAAGAAAAGCATGGTTGCTGTTCAGATGGACATGCAGTTCTGTAGTGCTTTTAATGCTTCTGATTGGTTACAGATTCCTGACTCTTGTTTGCTGACCAAAACACAGAAAAGATATTTACACTGTACACGCAATTAAGAGATATTTAGCACCTATGATGGAACAATTAGCTATTATTGTCATCGAGTTAGCTTGTATTCAAGTTCTTATAATTGTTTAACAATTATTATATTGGATTCCATAGTGAAAGAGCTCAATGAGAACCTGTTTAAGTAGAAGAGAATCTCTTAATAATCTCGATTTTAACACCTGTGTAAATCGTATACAATCGTTAGACCGATATTTACTATTTACTGGTTACCAAAAAGTTTTCACCAAAGTGATTCAATAACTTTTGCCTTAAGTTTCAACTTTGACCTCGATTTCCTGAAAAAAGTAAATCGTGGAAATTTTAAATGCCACTAATGGGCTCAGTTTTTATGCTCCTACAATCCCACAAAGTCTCAAATCTTAACGTAAATGTTCGTTTTTTTTATTAGCACTATTCCATAGTTTAAACAGACGCGCCATACTCAAAGCAAATAATCAATCCACTAACTATCCAAGGATTAGAATCTCATCAGATATTTTTTAGTACAATGTAATACAAAAATACAACCTACTAATGACAAGTTAAATTAATGAGTGAAACTTCTATTGTGATTGTAAAGACTAATAAATGGAAATTTGGTTAACTTGAAGCCTGAAAAACTTAAGTGAAACTTTTACTGCAACGAATTGTTAAATTCTTATAAAATTTCTATACATCGGTAATAAAGCATCATTACATTTAATATTATTTATTCAATCCTGGTTATGAGTGTAAATTTTGTTATTTATCAACTGAACAACTTTCATCTTTTTTTAGTTTTCACTCTTTTTTAATTTCGATATCAATATTAGTGAATTATGGGTCGCTATTTTAAATGTCCAACTTGGCATGATGCGCTAGATGGACTAGTTGGGCTTATCTGTGTGGTAAGTAGTTTATACAACTTTCATTTAAAATTCAAGCTACTGTTATGTGTGTTTAACATTCTTATGTTATCGGTTATTTGACTCTTCATCAGAGACTAGAAACGTCCTTCAATATATTTACTTCCATATTAAGATTATGATTCATCACACTTTACTGATGAAATCTTCTGTGTTTCTTCTAGTCGCTTACTGGTTTAAGCATTATTTGGGGTGCAAGTCTAATCGCAGTGCACTATGTAGATGTTTTGGCTGTTGGGCGAGGACCTGCTATCATGAGCATCATTGTTGGTGTTTTTGCAATGCTTTTCCATTTAATTGGGTTCTGGTCTTGTATGAAAGATATTCCTCAAGTTTTAAGTATTGTAAGTATCTTACGCTAGTAGGATGCACATGTTTTTATAACAGCGTCGAAAAATATGATCTTTAAATATAAAATAGGAGCAAATTAATTGTTATTTATTTTTTTCCTTCTCTAACATATAAGTTAAGACTTTGGAAGTTTGCTTTACAACAAAAAATAGCAAAGATCTTGAAAGATCTTTAATTTCCAAGTTTATCATCAAAATCTTGTTCTCATTGTTCATTTTTAACTCTTACAGTGCGGGTTAGTTTGTTTTCTCTTGGCCATCGGTGAGCTCATAATCGGTGTCTATGCGTTCAAATATAGCGATCAGCTTGGGGATATAACTATTGAACAATTTCAATCTAAGATCAAGGAAGTTGAAGACGGAAAGGTGCCAGAGTTAAAGGAAAACATGGATAATTTTCAAATGGACATGAAGTGCTGTGGAGCTTTTAATGCTTCTGATTGGTTACAGATTCCTGACTCTTGTTTTGCTGACCAAAAACAAAGAAAAGATATTTACACTGAAGGTTGTGTGCACGCAATTAAGATAGTTTTGGCTCCTACTATGGAACAAATAGCTATTTTTGTCACCGTATTAGCTTGTATTCAAGTTGGTAGAATCATCATTTTAGATCGTATTGGATCATTTTACCAACAATCTGAATACGAACCTGTTTGAGCAAAAACGAATCATTGATAATGTCGTTTTAAACACCATGTAAATCCTATACAATCTTTAGAGCCATGACTTACTATTTACTGGTTACAAAGAGTTTTCACCAAAGTGTTGGAATATCTTTTGCCTTATTAATATACAATACGAATGATACAGAAAAATCATGAATAAGCATTTATTCCTCTTCATTGAAATCTTAATTATGTTATCAACTGTTATATAATAATACATAATTTTAATATTTTTGACTTTTTTCGATAATAACCAATAAACAATTGAAGTTTTTGAGGACCTTTACTCTTTAATATTCTGATTACTTGTGTGTACAATATGCATAAAGCCGGAAAGTTTTGAGACGAGTTACTTTTCTTACGATGGACTCAATATTTTGTCTAAACATTATGGGTATCTTGTCTAAAGTCATGGAGGAACACTGAAATACATCATTCGATTCATTGAAATGGTTGTTCTATGATAAGATTATAAAATAAGATATTTCACTCTGTATTTTGTTAAGGAATATCAAACGTTAAAATTGAATCCTAATTTAATTTGACGGAAAAGTCAGTAGCTATTAGTTATGATGAAGGAAATTAAGCTTATAGCCATGAGAAAAATTGTTAAGCTGTAGAAAATAACTGTTACTATTTGTCCACGAGGACAATGAGTTATGGCCACGAGAAGTTATGATTATAATCACTCGTGCCCCGCCCTCGTGTTTAAATCATATAACTTCTCGATGAAGTGGTTTAACTATAACTTAAACAATTAGTCCCGTCTAGTGATTCCTCTTTAGCCTTTCTACTCCTTTCCCTTTAGGGGCAGTCATTGGAGGTGACTAATTGCTTAAACTGTGCAATTTAACGACTGAGCTAACATTGGATGGTGAAGGACATGACGACTAATTCGACAAGCAGATGCATTCAAAGCCTTAGCGAGATACCTTAACAATAACTGTAGTTCCAAAGGATCGAGCTATTTCAAGGATACACTGCCACCGGACTTCAATAACTATTGGATCGCAACCAACTGTTGGCTCATCGAGAATCATTAACCTTGGTTTATGGATAAGAGTGCAGATGAATGAAACTCTACGTTGTTGCCCACCACTTAGATGACCTATGGATCGAGACTCTTGTGGAAGGCCTAAGCGTTTACACAACACTTTTGCTTTGGCTTTACACTCTTTGTTTGGGATCCTATACAAAGCACCAAAATAGTTGATAATCTCAGAAATGGTCAAATTGTCATTTAAAGCCGTATCTTGTGGCATGTAACCCAACCCACAACCAGGAATATCAAGCAATGGATGGCCCAAAGTCAGGCCAAAGAGTCGAGTTTCACCTGCGTCAAGGATCTTCAAACCAATAAGGGATCGGAGGTAAGTTGTCTTACCGCTACCAGATGGACCAATAAGTGCATAGACACAACCTTTTGGTATTTTAATGTTGAACTTATCCAAAACTGTAGTAGTTTTACCTTCATCAAAATAGGTTAACATTAAATTTCTGGACTCAACAGCCACCTGTTCCTCTGCTCCATTGTTGTTGCATTCCGAATTGATGATTGCTGGCGACTCTGTCATATTCACCAATCAACTGTGAATCAAAGTTATCACACCAACTCTCGAACCAAAGACAAAAGCAAAACTGAATTACTGTGACAACGCCAAAGAGTGACTTTGGACAAGCTTCTCTTTGGACAAAACTTGACGGCCATCGAAGACGGGCCCACCAACAATTAAACTTGTTTGACTGCCTTAATAAATCTTAACTTGCAAGCAATTATTGCCCGTCAATACTAACCTTGATCATTCAACATGATTAAATACAGTCTAATTTATTCAAATATATGCGAAGTACTTGGTGATATTTTGGATTAAACATTTTTTGATGTTATGGTTAGGAAGCTGCTATTCCGCCCCTCACACGAACTTTCTTAACACCCTGTACTTGGTGATATTTTGGATTAAAATTCAGATGTAGCCAGGAATATTCAACCATCTACTTCCTATAAGATGTATGAGATAAGTTTAATTAGGGTCTCACTAAAATTGGCCAAAAATGGCCAAAAATGGCCAAAATTGCTTTAAAACATATAAAATACCCAATCGAATGAAAAATGCTGCGAAATTCAAAAGAAAAGGCTCGCTTAACTGGCAGACATTTTTTATACGCAAAAATGTAAAAAATTGCTTTTCATCATAGCATATTGACGCGTTTGCTCATGTTAATCATGCGTCTCGTAATTATTTTTTCGCGTTGAATCTCGCGCCTTGCAGTCAATTTATTCCCGTAACCATGACTATCATTCAAATTTTTTCTTTTCAGTTGAAAATTAGCTTGAAAGTTAAAGCAATTGCAAACAAGTGATTTTCTAATTTCGTGAAACATTTTTTTGATTAAATTTTCATTTACTATAACCAACATTTGACTTGTTCACTTGAAACTTGTCTTCAGTTCAAGGTAAGTGAATCTTGTATCCATGATATTATGAAACAATTCCTAATGTTGGTTTTCTTTTATAAAATTTAACAGGAGAAATGGCGTCAAATGTTAATCATTTAGTGAAATGTCATGATTGTGACAAAACAATATCCATGAAAGACGAATTTAAGGTCCACAAGTGTTTAACCTTTTATTGTAACAACTGTCCAGCTCGAGGCACTTGCAATTCATGTGGCCAGGAAATCGTGACTCCTGATTTCATTTTTCATGGAAACTTAAAGCCATGTAAATTTACCAATTGTGAAGAAGACGCATCTCTACATTGTACATGTACTCAAATGGAATTGTGCGAGATTCACATGTTAAAAGTTCACAGCAAAGTACCTGAACAAAAGAGGTGTACACCTGTTTACTTGTACCAAGAAAAAGAAGAAACATTTTGTTCGTGCAAAGAGTTTTATTCTTCTTTTTACAACAAGTCTACCCAAGAAGAATTGTGTTTTTCTTGTTTCATTAAACTTGAGGACAAAAATGATTTCATGGAAAAAGATAGCTTGTCACACGAGTATTTTGAATCAAGACTGGAGCTGTTGAGAAATTCTATTTCTACTTATTATAGATTGAACAAGTCACGTGAAGAGAAATTTAAAGATGAAATTGAAATTTATAACAACAAGACTACTGATGTTCTCCTCAAAGTTACTGAACTTGTTGAAGAATCTAAATTGAACAATTTCATGAAGCTAGCGCAAATGAAACAAGCTAATCGAGAAGCACAAATCTTAGCAGACAAATTAGGAGATGCAGCTACTGTCTCAATGCTCATGAAAATTGGTCAGAGTCACAAAAACAAACAGAAAATTGTTCATGATAGGCTTGCGTCATGGGTCAAGGAAAAGGTAAAAAGGCTCAATCAACCATCACTGTCAAAGATATTCATTGACTTGAGGGATCAAGGAACTCGTTGCATTGTGCAAGAAACTATTGAACCACCAGTCACCTCGAATGAAGTTATTTCGGAACCAGGAACAAGTGGTCTTAAGATTGCGAGAACAACTAAACATCAACTTGAGGGTAGTCCTCAAGGCATTAGACCATTTAATAAACTTGTCATTGATATGCGAATTGGACCTAACGTTGATCGAGATGAGCGAATTCATGAACAAGAAGATCAAGTGAGACCGGAACGTGATGAAACGGATTCAATTCACACGGATGATATTTTCGAGTCTGAAGATGACTATGATCCATGTTCCCCGGTGATGGTTTTTGATAACCAACAAATAGGCCCATTGAGGAAACTTGACTATCAAGAGCAACAAGAAGTTCACGTAAGGTTAACTGGAATAAGGTGTCCTCTTTGGCTCTTTTTCGAGATTCCAGAGCTTCAAGAAAAACGAATCGAAATAATAAATATGCTCGATGATGAAACATTGATCTTGACAAGAGCTTTTGATATCAAGACGGGTGATTTTGTTATCATTCAGGATAAAGAACAATTTGGATCAAAAAAGAAACGAGCGAAGATCATGAGACCAGGTACAAGTCCAAATCGATGGCTTGTCAAGCTCCTTGATTATGGACGCGCAATTTCTGTTCCAGCCAGCAAGATTTTCTCGTACCCTGAAACTTTTGACTACACGGATGAAACATGTTTTCATGCAGCTCTGCTTGATATACGACCAAGATCAAGATTTGTTTTCGTGATGAACCAGCCTTATAACGCAGTTTGGTTTATCAAGAATCAACTTTTACACCCAAGTGGCCTAGCTATGGTAACTCGAAAATACATGTCACAAGATGGCCGTGTTTGGTGTCACGTCAAGTCAAAGCGAAACAATGTCGTGTATGATTGGGCCAGGGAACTAGTAAAAGCTAATTTGGCATTAGCTTATATTGAAGCTTTCATACCATCGAAAGATTATTGTTATCTTGGACATTTTTATGGAAAGTGTCGACAAGATTGCCCGCGCGTACATGATTGTCCATTCTGTGAGCAGAAACACCTCCTGACTTCTTGTTTTGCTTTGGTTCAAGAAACAAAGGCCAAAGAAAAACAAGCAATTCGACTAGCATGATATCATGTAAATTTTCAATGTTTCATTTTTCAAAAATCACTTTCAAAATTCATTATTTTTTTCTTTTATTTTTCAATTCAATTCAAAACAAACTTGGTTTTATGAATACATGTATCTTTTCTGAGGAATAAACAAATAGTTTTGTCATTTCATGTTTAAATTTCAAGTAATTGCGTGTATCATTCAATCTAGTCGCAAGCGCGATATTCGGAATCGAGCATTTCATGTTGTTATTTTGATGCTGTGTTTCTAGATCAAGTGACCAGCTTACATTTTGTGTAATTAGATGAACCTCGAATATAATGATTTCGTGAACCTTGATTATCGTTATTATTTTATAGATTTTCGCATGCAATTCAATATACGAGTTGCACCTTTTTTTGTCATTATCATATGTACTAGTTGAATAGGCAATGTTTGATATTTTTATAAAACTTGTTACCATGAACTCTTGGTCCGTGTTGATTTCATTAGCATGGCAAAAGCTGATTAATTCACTGTTTTGTGTAGTAAGTCTTGTAAATTTACCACTTATTGATGGGCTTCTCCGAATCGCCAGGAAATCTAGTTCGTCATGATTCATGTGGTCCTGCAAATCTTCTTGATAAGACAGAATCTGGTTTGACAATTTCAATTTGTAAAGATTCATTATACCTTGAGGAACGTCAACATATTTTCTTGAAATTCTTTTCAATCTTCCCATTTCATTCTCTGAGTTGAAAGCTGATATTCTTGAAGCAGGGCCCAATCTTGCTACTGAATCAGCGAGGTGTAGAATCACATGACTATTGTAGGTCATGAAATCACGATCATATAAGTGCTCTAAGTTTTTTACGAAATCATACATTAAATATTTGGCCACAAGAACATCTTCATTCTTAACTGGAACTGATTGCAACATTAGGATTGCTTGAGCGAGTTGCCCTACATGTACCAAGTATTTGAAAGGTAAAATGCCATCCAATATTGGGTAAATGAAATAGCAAAGAAAGGATGCAAATTCATTTGCTTTCCAGTCTTTGAAGTCAGCAAGAGATCTCGGTGGCCTTACATGTTCACTTGTAACACGAATCTTCTTCATCCGTGCATCCATGATTCGCAATTTACCAGCTGTACCAAGAAAATAAGGTTTTTCCCTCATTGAAACATTAAACCATCCGCGTTTGAAAATGTCCTTCATGACACCAAGGTATACTGAATGCATAATATCGACTGAGAAACCCCAGACAAGATCAAAAGAATTGAGATACAGAAACGGTGTAATTGATTTGATTGAATGTGAAACTGCCTGTTCTAAAATGAATCCTTGAGCATATAACAAGAACTCATCTTTGGTTCTTGTTAAATCTTGAATAACATATGACTCGAGTAAAGGAAACTTGTTTGCACTTTCCTCGTAAACAGTTTCAATTTTGCACCAGTCACAAGGAAACTTTGAGTTGTATTGTTTCACTGATCTTAGATATGCTCTCATTGGAGCGTCAGCAATTATAGCAATTAATTTGAATTTCTTGTGGCACGGAATTTGACTTCCATGCATTATCCATGTGAGACCAGTTTCTTCTACTTCTTTTAATTCGTCAACAAGTGGCTTAAAAAAATCTGAACAATCTTGTGGTTTCTTGTAGCCAACAAAAATGCATGTCAACATCGCGTTATCTTGCCTAATAGTAACTGGCAACTCGTTAATCATTAGGTACACAGGAAAAATCGATAATTTACTTGACTTTGATGCTGGAAGTTCATCCGTGAAAAGCGTAAGCGTGAGTGAATCTTCATTTGCTTTTGCTTCTTTAGCATACAAGGAGTCACGAATATCATGCACTATGTGATTTGCGTCACTTGGTAACACAATATGATGAGCAAGCTTAGGCAGCAAAACTGTCAGTATCTTGATAGGTGACAGATTGATGAAATAACTTGTTTTCTTGATTGAAGGTGCAAAAGTTCCATTTTCACATTGAAAATTGTCAAAGAATCTTGGTTGACTAAATCTAGGACCATGAGAATGCCCATGTTCACACATGAACCAGTATTCTTGATCAATCTCCAAACTATTTGCTGACCATATCATCTGAATTTTTGGCATCATATAATTCACGTGAAAACGATTTAAAACCAAACTTATCACCTTGATAACATGTTCACATTGGTTTTTTGATAAATTACATGATACAATGAGCTTACCAATTAGGCAATGCATGATTGCATCAATTTCACTTTTACTTGTGTAAATATCCATAGAGCAAGATGAGCTAGAATCGTGATCTGGCCAAACTTCATTGTTGTTTGTATCATGAATCTCTTGCACAGGCAAATTTAACAGTCTCTCAACATTTAATCGCCTCAAAATTGAGGAAGAACGAGAGAAAGTAGCATCAGAAACACGATCCATGAGAAAAGGCTGGAAGTACTTATTCACGATAACAGTTATAATTGATAAATATTGATTACAAATACATCAAACATGAGTAAGAAAATACAGTAAGAGGAATTCAAGAAAGATTTGTCTCTTTGGTATGTATCATGTCACGTGATTCACATGATTTCCTTTTCCTTTTGAATATTTACATGCTTCATGTTTCCATGCTTTCAGTCATCAAGTGTCTATTTGCTTAATTTGAGTTCTTTTCTTGTGTCTATTTATTAATTGTCTAAATGAGTGATTTACAAGGTGCCATGATTCGTGATTTACTCGGTTGCTTGAAACCTTATGGCAAGGTTGCAAAAAAGAAACGAGGTAGACCAAGGAAATCGCCAGTGATCAAGAAATCAGTTAGCCAACCTGGACTTGTTGAATATCTCAGCCAAAAAGGTGTATCATCAACAATAGTCAATGACGCTGATAGCTTTTGTGAATTGACAAAACGGATTAACAACAACATGAATGATGAATTAATTTATGTTTTGGTTTTCGCAACAAATTCTGAGCTGGCAGCTATCGAGATTTTCATTCTCCTCATAAACGAGATGAAACTTGAATCTTGTAAACATGAAGAATCATTTTACATTAGATTTCGATGTAATCAACATAGCTTCGTAGGCCGTGTGATGATGAAAGCAAGTAAGTTTGATATCTAGATTGTTCTTCATTATACTAAGATTTTTGTGTGATTCTTAATTCAATTTATAGAAAGCTTGCATGATGTCCAGTCTAACACGAAAGAAGTGATGAATCGTGTATCAAAATTACCTGGCTATGCAGTTCTCAAACCAAAGGTGATGATATCAGCTACTAAAGAAACTGAGTTCATGAATCCTGACAAATTCGATGCTCGGAGGTTGTTCTTGAAACAAAGGCTAGCAGAAAAAATCGGCACATGTCATGAACAAACCGGTCATGAAGTTCCATCAAGCAACCAAGTAAACATGGATCAAGAGAATCAAAAACGATTTGATGTGTTTACTTTGCCTTCTGACCAAGAATCCGAGGTAGAAGCAAGAGAGAAAAGCCATAAAAAAAGCCGAGTACACAAGTTTTCCAAGCTGAAAGTCATCACTAAAATTCGTGATCAAAGAGTACAATTGTCAAAAGCAACTGAAATTAATATTGTTCAACTTATAGATAAATTGAGAGAAATTGCGCCAACATTACCAGCATCTGAACATGGTACAATTTTCATGAAGTCATTGTTCCAATTAATTATTGAAATTAATACAAAGTTGAATTGCTTCAAGGAAACTCGGTCACATGAAACGAGTATACCTCTGGATCGCGAGATAAAGATTTCCAAGGCTCATGGCAAGGTAATAAAAGCCTGTAACATTTTTTATCGATAATATATTCTCGTTTTTCTCGCTTCTTACAGGAGGAAATCAAGTTAAATGACAGAATGAATCTCCCTCTACTTGCATATGCAAAAGCTATTGATGCAGATAAACCACATCTCGTGGTTTCAAGAATCATAAGATTTTGTTTTGATACTGATTTCAAGCTCAATTGTGAGTTGAATGAAGAGCCAAATGAAAGCAACTTTCTATATCGACTTGGTAACAGTAATCTTGAAGGCATGGAACGCGTAGAAGATGGGCGAGATATTTTGGACATGATAATTGAACATGCCCATATGGTCAAAGAATATTCAAGCATGTCATCACAAAGTTATCGAGAGTCAATGCAACAAGTTACTAAAGCACTATATGATTGCAAGCGTCGTGAGATTGACCGGTTGGAAAAGGTTTTGGAGCAAGAGAGACATGGTAAACAAGATTTCAATCAGGAAGATGATACTGTTGAAATCCAATATGAAGATCTTGAAGCGATTCACGATAAACATGACAATCTTGCCACTAATCTACTGACTCCATCCTTTTCCTTCCATTCAATTTGACCATATTGACTCGTTTTTTTATTAATACATTGTCTTTCATTTAATTTAATATATACTTTTGATACTCATTCTTTCAGGCCAACATGAACTCATGATTACTTTTCAGGCTCATTTGATTTAAGTTTATATCTTCAATCATTGTTTCTTGTTTCTAGTCATTGTATTGATTTCTAGTGTTCACTAGTATTCATTTTTTGTTATTTGCTATTAAATTTCATAACTATTTTCCCTTTAAACAAAGCCTCAATAATAGAAAAACCGCGTAAGATTCATTTAACTGCATTCACGCTAAAAATTTACTCGCATAACATGTTACAAGCGCTCGTATTCATATTTTAATGCAATTTTTGCGTCTTATTTGAAAAGCAAGTTACACGCGCATTTATCTAGCGTGCATGCAGCAACTGACTGGGTATGTATTTTTGATATTTTTTAATATAATTTAGCTTATCACTGATGCTCATTAAGTATTTTTAGATTAAAAAAAGTTGTAATTAGCAAAAAACGTTAAGATTGCAATAAAATAACAAATTGAAGCAAATTTGGATACGTTCCCTCAAATTTTTACAACAGATGGCAGCACATTGCCATTTTTGGCCAATTTTGGTCTTTTGCAAGTGAGACCCGTTTAATTATGGAAATGAGTTTACTTGAATCTAATTCGTTTCTTTTAAACCAGACTTTGATTGACACACAATTGTAATATATTGACTTCAGTTAATAACATAATTAAAAAATTTAATGAGAAGGAATAAATACTTATTCATGATTTTTCTGTATCACTCGTATTGTATATAAGGCAAAAGATATTCGAACACTTTGGTGAAACTCTTTGTAACAGTAAATTGTAAGTCAACGGTGTTAAAGATTGTATAGGATTTACTCAGGTGTTAAAATCGCGATTATTAATGACTAGCTTTTGCTTAAACAGGCTTGTATTCAGCTCGTTTGCTACGTGAATGAAAATAATATAAAACGAGAATTCTAGCAACTTGAACACAAGCTAATACGGTAACAAACATAGCTAATTGTTCCATCATAGGAGCCAAAAGTATCTTAATTGCGTGCACACAACCTTCAGTGTAAATATCTTTTCTTTGTTTTTGGTCAGCAAAACAAGAGTCAGGAATCTGTAACCAATCAGAAGCATTAAAAGCTCCACAGCACTTCATTTCCATTTGAAAATTATCCATGTTTTCCTTTGACGCTGGCACCTTTACGTCTTCAACTTCCTTGATCTTCGATTGAAATTGTTCAATAGTTACATCCCCAAGTTGCTTGCTATATTTGAACGCAAAAACACCGATAATGAACTCAGCGATGGCCAAGAGAAAAAAAATCAAGCCATTCTGTAAGAGTTAAAAAATGAACAATGAGAACGAGATTTTGATTTCCAAAGCCTTAACTTATATGTTAGAGAAGGAAAAAAATAAATGACAATTAATTTGCTCCTATTTTATATTTAAAGATCATATTTTTCGACGCTGTTATAAAAACATGTGCATCCTACTAGCGTAAGATACTTACAACTCTTAACGCATCAGGATTATATTTCATACAACGCCAGAACCCAAATAAATGGAAAAGCATTGCAAAAACACCAACAATGATGCTCATGATAGCAGGTCCTCGCCCAACAGCCAAAACATCTACATAGTGCACTGCGATTAGACTTGCACCCCAAATAATGCTTAAACCACTAAACAACTAAAAGAAAGACAAAAATTACGTCAGTAAAGTGTGATGAATCATAATCATAAGAACATATATTGAAGGACGTTTCTAGACTCTGTTCAAGAGTCAAATAACCGATAACATAAGAATGTTAAACATAACAGTAGCTTGAATTTTAAATGAAAGTTGTATAAACCACTTACCATACAGATAAGCTCAACTGTTCCATCTAGCGCATCATGCCAAGTTGAAAAATCAAAATAGCGACCCATAATTCACTAATATTGATTTTCGTAAGAACTATTAATAACTAAAAAAGAGTGAAAACTGGAAAAAGATGAAAGTTGTTCAGTTGATAAATAACAAAATCCGAATAACCAGGATTGAATAAATGATTATTATTTAATAGCATTAAATTTAATCATTACATTGTAATGATGCTTTATAACCGATGTATCGAAATGATAAAACAATCCAACAATTCGTTGGACGAAAGTTTCACTGAGGTTGGTCAGGTGCAAAGTTGACTAAATTTTAAATTATCGATCTTTCCAATTACAAGAAAAGTTTCACTTATAAGTTTAATTTGTCATTAATGCGTTGTAGTTTTGTATATTTAATAAAAAATATCTGATGAGATTCTAATCCTTGGATAGTTAGTGGATTGATTATTTGCTTAAAAAGTATGGCGCGTCTGTTTAAACTATGGAATAGTGCTAATAAAAACTTGAACATTTACGTTAAGATTTGAGATTTTGTGGGTTTGTAGGAGCATAAAAACTGAGTCCATTAGTGGCATTTAAAATTTCTCCGATCGACAGTTTTTAAGGAATCCGAGGTCAAAGTTGAAACTTGGATCATCTTTTGATTATGAAAGCAGATTTTTCATGAAATTCATTCAATTGGTGTAACTTTTAAAAAACAACTAGAATATGCACTCATTTTTCGAGTTTCGTGTACAACAGATCAGTTCAGTTATAGTCAAAACTCCGCTTTCCAGGACCGTAAAAGTAAGAAAGAGAACTGAAATATCAATTCATCAACAGCTCTCTTCATTTTGGCCAATATTTCGTCAGGTTTGAGACTTGACTAATGACTAACTACCACGGTCACAAGAAGCAGTCCGTTTAACTGAAAATCGAACTGGTGAAAATGGATCCAATCCATTGCCATGGACCATGACATCAATCATTGCCTCATTATTGTGCTTATTTGAAAATACCCATGTTAAAGGCTTCATAAAGTATGGCAATGCGTCTGCTGAAATATTACCAGCACCGCAAAAGATGGACAAAAAATCATGAGCAGAGGCACAACAAAGGACAATGAACATATCAAGTTTCATGGTCGCCATCAAGAAGGCAGTTACAATGGCTGAAACAATGTTTATCAAATAGATGAACCAGGTGAGGAAAAGTGAACCTTTAGCTGTTGCATGAAAAATGTCAATAATGCAAATCAGAACGGGTAAACTGATGAGCGAAGGTAGGAGAAGGGAAGAAATAACTGGGTGTCTATATTCATCCATTCAGAATGGCTGTTTTACCCAAGATATCTATAGCATAGTCAGGAATGGAAATACGAATTGATTGTTAGTTCTGTAATGTTGTAAAAAGCTCTGAAATCATGTAATTCATCGTTGGTCAAGTTGTGTAATGATTTTGTATTTACCCGAAGTTCAATATTATTTCAATAGATGGCAGTGACAACTCAATCTACATCTTCATTTGACTTGGATTTAAAGTTAAGGAAAACTTATTGGAAACCGTTTGGTATAACTTCCGTATCTAGTCTGCAGAATTTCTTGGTGAAACTTTGAGACTTATAGTTGAAACTTGGATCATCCTTTGTTCAATTACGAAAGCAGATTTTTCATGGAATTCATTTAATTCGTCAACTTTGTCTAACCTCCACTTTCCAGGAACGTGAAAGTAAGAAAAAGAACTGAAATTAATTATTCGTGGAGTCTAAACTTGTTGGTAAGCATCAACGATTGAACACTTTTTTCAATTCACCAACAGCTCTCTTCATTTATTTTACATTTATTTCATTTCAAGAAAGGATTTATCTCAATATGAAAAGAATCAAAAGAATGTAACTCAAATTATTACAGTTTTGTAAACCAATGGCGATTCCAATGATTCCGATTCCAGGGTGATGGACCCTGGACCAAGACACGAATCATTGCCCCATTATGGTGCTATTTCGAAATACCCGTGTTAAAGACTTCATAAAGTATGGCAATGTGTCTTCTGAAATATTACCAGCGCCATGAAAATAAAAAACTTACAGCGACTACTAGCTCATTGTACCTGCTCTTATTAACAAGCACAACAAAATGTCGCTCTCTAAAAATAGCTTAACGATTTTAAACATCACTTACCGTGGCCATAACCATTGTTCATTTGCATTTAGTTGTTTCTCCATGACTTTGGACAAGTTCCCATAATTTCAGACAAAATATTGAGCCGAATTCGTAGAACCAGTAACTGTTCTCAAAACGTTCTGACAGTGTGCAAGTAATCAGAATATTAAAGAGTAAAGGTTTACAAAAATTTCAATTGTTTATTGGTTATAATTGGAAAAAAGTCAAAAATATTAAAATTATGTATAATGTGTTATTATAAACATGTAACATTCAATAACGTAGTTGCAAGATTTGAATGAGGAGGAATAAATGCGTATTCATGATCTTTCTGTATCATTCGTATTGAATATTAATAAGGCGAAAGATATTCGAAGATATGATGAAAACTCTTTGTAACCAGTAAATAGTAAGTCAGCGGATTGAGCGGCAAAGATTGTATACGATTTACATGGTGTTTAAAACGACATTATCAATGATTCGTTTTTGCTCAAACAGGTTCGTATTCAGCTCGTTCGTAATGGTATCTGACAATTTGTATCAACATTATAAGAATTTGAGAACAAGCTAACATGGGCACAAAAATAGCTAATTCTTTCATCGTAGGAGCCAAAAGTATCTTAATTGCGTGTACACAACCTTCAGTGTAAATATCTTTTCTTTGTTTTTGGTCAGCAAAACAAGAGTCAGGAATCTGTAACCAATCAGAAGCATTAAAAGCACCACAGCACTTCATTTCCATTTGAAAATTATCCATGTTTTCCTTTAACTCTGGCGCCTTTCCGTCTTCAACTTCCTTGATCTTCGATTGAAATTGTTCAATAGTTACATCACCAAATTGCTTGCTATATTTGAACGCAAAAACACCGATAATGAACTCAGCTATGATGAGAAGTAACGAAATACAGCAAACCTGTAAGAGTTAAAAAGGGACAATGAGAATGGGATTTTGATGATAAACTTGGAAACTAAAGATCTTGCAAGATCTTTGCGATTTTTGTTGTAAAGCAAATTTCTAAAGTCTTAACTTATATGTTAGAGAAAGAAAAAAAATTGAATGGTTTGATAACTAATGATTAGACTTTATTATGCTGTAATATAATATGACTGAATACAGAAGCAAATCTTGGCAAACATATTTAATAATGAATATCATTCTAACACTCGCGATTTGTTTGCAAGTATTCATTTTTATATAAACCAAGTACAGCAAGTCTTACAGCATAAGTAATGTAATACTGTAATAAATTTTGTATAATCTTGACATTGTAAACTTTGTATACAACAGAACTAAAATGAAATCTAAGTTTGAAAGCGATTTCATCGAAAACGATGGAAAAAGAAATTTTTAAATTACACAAATAAGCTCAGTCTTGATGGACTGGAAATCCATCATAGAACAATGTTTTAGTATATTATAATATAATATAATACTATATATTATGAATAATAATATAATATATTACTTTCACTTAATATTATTTTAAAGTATGTCAAATAACTACGTGATAATTCTGTGGATTATACTGACCGAATATGATCAAGATCTGACTTCTGTAGTTTCACCCATTAGTGATCTAACATATACTTACAACTCTTAACGCATCAGGAATATGTTTCACAATACAACGCCAGCACCCAAATAAATGGAAAAGTATTGCAAAAACACCAACAATGATGCTCATGATAGCAGGTGCTCGCCCAACAGCCAAAACATCTTCATAGTGCACTGCGATTAGAACTTCACCCCAGATAATGCTTACATAACTAAGTATCTAAAAGAAACACAAAAAATTTCATCAGTAAATTGTGATGAATCATAATCTTAATATGGAAGAAAATATATTGAAGGACGTTTCTAGTCTCTGATGAAGAGTCAAATAACCGATAACATAAGAATGGTAAACACAAATAACAGTAACTTGAATTTCAAACAAAAGTTGAATAAACCACTTACAAAAACGATGCACTTAAAAAATATTAGAAGCAAGTCAGCCCAAATTGGTAATTCGAAGTAACTGCACATAATTTACTATTATTTTTTGTGAGTACTATTCAGTAGGAAAAGAGTGAAAAATTAGACTAAAATGAAAATTGATTAACAACAAAATTTACTGTGAGACGAATAACTACAGGGTGTAAAAAAGATTGTAGGATTGAATAAATAAAAGAATAAACAATTTATTGATGCTTTATAACCGATCTGTCGAAATGTTAAAACATTCAACAATTCGTTGAAGTAACAAGTTAAAAATCTTTACAATCACAAGAGAAGTTTCACTCATTAATTTAACTTGTCATTAATAGGTTTCAGTTTTGTTTATTATTATCATTATTACTATAAAAATATCTGATAAGATTCTAAGTCTTGGATAGTTAGTGGATTGATTATTTGCTTTAAAAGTATGGCGCGTCTGTTTAAACTATGGAATAGTGCTAATAAAAACTTGAACATTTACGTTAAGATTTGAGATTTTGTGGGTTTGTAGGAGCATAAAAACTGAGTCCATTAGTGGCATTTAAAATTTCTCCGATCGACAGTTTTTAAGGAAATCGAGGTCAAAGTTGAAACTTGGATCGTCTTTAGATTATGAAAGCAGATTTTTCATGAAATTCATTCAATTGGTGTAACTTTTAAAAAACAACTAGAATATGCACCCATTTTTCGAGTTTCTATACAACAGATCAGTTCAGTTATAGTAAAAATTCCGCTTTCCAGGACCGTAAAAGTAAGAAAGAGAACTGAAATAACTTAATAAAAAGTTAAATCAGTAAAATGAGTTTCATGAACAAATATGCTTTCACACCATTGAACAAAAGGCCAAGTTTCAACTCTGTCCTCCAATTTCTCGAAAACTGTCGATCGTTAAAATACTTTTGTGTTTTAAGTGTTTGTTTGCTTAAAGGATTGGCGACACAGGAATATACTGGTAGGCAAAACACTTACAAAGGATACATGGTACCTTAAAAGCTGTCGCGGTTGGTCGGTTCACACAAGAATAAAGTTAACTTAATCCTGCCCATTACTGTATTTTCATTTATTTCATTTCAAGAAAGGATCAATCTCAATATATAAAGAATCAAAAGAATGTAACTCAAATTATAAATTACAGTTTTGTAAACCAATGGTGATTCCAATCCATCGCCATGGACCATGACACGAATCATTGCCTCATTATTGTGCTTATTTGGAAATACCCATGTTAAAGGCTTCATAAAGTATGGCAATGCGTCTGCTGAAATATTACCAGCACCGCAAAAGATGGACAAAAAATCATAAGCAGAGGCACAACAAAGGACAATGAACATATCAAGTTTCATGGTCGCCATCAAGAAGGCAGTTACAATGGCTGAAACAATGTTTACCAAATAGATGAACCAGGTGAGAAAAAGTGAACCTTTAGCTGTTGCATGGAAAATGTCAATAATACAAATCATGACGGGTAAACTGATGAGCGAAGGTAGGAGAAGGGAAGAAATAAGGTGACTCAATATGAATTGGGTTGGTGTTGAACCAGCAGATATGCTTCGTTCATACAATGGAGTAGTTATATCATCATGAAATGTGGAAATTGACAGATAAAGGAAGACAAAGAAGGACCAGTGCATCGTGAACACTTGGATGAAGTAATTGCGAGAATTGTATTGATCTTCTTCAAGTTCAGGCTCAGCTATCGGGTCGACATTCAGGATGGGCGACTGAGCTAACATTGGATGGTGAAGGACATGACGACTAATACGCCAAGCAGATGCATTCAAAGCCTTGGTGAGATAATGTACAATTGTCACTGAATGCATATCAGCTTTTAACTGGTAAAGAGTTACTAACCGCCTTGAAGCAAGGCTAGCATTGATTTTGCTCGATCCTTGGCTAAATGTCAACTTTGATATCATCTTTTCAGTGTAATCTAGTGAAATTGTCAAGTAAGCACGGATCTTACCAGCCTTCATATCATCTTCAGCTTCACCTGTATCGTTGTATTCAACCAAGTTTATTATGTGAGTGTTAATTGAATGGATAAATGAATGACTATATTCAACTGGCGACTCATTGTTGATAAAACCAATATCAAGATTGTGAGGTGTTGGACCAAAGCAAATAGCTGATAGGCTGATCAAAGTCAATGTCAAAAGGGTTGTTGCGATAAGATAAGTTTTACTTTTTATGTAGATTAAGAGGACTCGATGTAAAACAGCTAAGAAAATCTGGAGGTAAGTTTTCAATCTAAAAGTGTTATTTGATGAAAAAGGTGATTTTGAAGGTTCCAGTGTTGTTTTATTTTCTTTAATAGTGCCTAAAGTACCACTAGGAGGAGTTATGCTTCTTCTAATTTTATCTTGCTTAACCATTATAGCAAAGGCCTTTTCAATGCTTGAAACCTTGTAAAGATTCATAATCTTGGCTGGACTTCCTTGGGCGAGTAAATGTCCTTTTCTCATGAAGCCAATCATGTCCGTCTTCCTGGCCTCTTCCAGATAATGGGTTGTAACAATAACTGTAGTTCCAAAGGATCGAGCTATTTCAAGGATACACTGCCACATGACTTCAATAACTATTGGATCGCAACCAACTGTTGGCTCATCGAGAATCATTAACCTTGGTTTATGGATAAGAGTGCAGATGAATGAAACTCTTCGTTTTTGTCCACCACTTAGTTGACCTATGGAGCGAGACTCTTCTGGAAGGCCTAAGCGTTGACACAACACTTTTGCTTTGGCTTTACACTCTTTGTTTGGAATCCTATACAAAGCACCAAAATAGTTGATAATCTCAGAAATGGTCAAATTGTCATTTAAAGCCGTATCCTGTGGCATGTAACCCAACCCACAACCAGGAATATCAAGCAATGGATGGCCCAAAGTCAGGCCAAAGAGTCGAGTTTCACCTGCGTCAAGGATCTTCAAACCAATAAGGGATCGCAGGTAAGTTGTCTTACCGCTACCAGATGGACCAATAAGTGCATAGACACAACCTTTTGGTATTTTAATGTTGAACTTGTCCAAAACTGTAGTAGTTTTACCTTCATCAAAATAGGTTAACATTAAATTTCTGGACTCAACAGCCACCTGTTCCTCTGCTCCATTGTTGTTGCATTCCGAATTGATGATTGCTGGCGACTCTGTCATATTCACCAATCAACTGTGAATCAAAGTTATCACACCAACTCTCGAACCAAAGACAAAAGCAAAACTGAATTACTGTGACAACACCAAAGAGTGACTTTGGACAAGCTTCTCTTTGGACAAAACTTGACGGCCATCGAAGACGGGCCCACCAACAATTAAACTTGTTTGACTGCCTGTAATAAATCTTAACTTGCAAGCAATTATTGCCCGTCAATACTAACCTTGATCATTCAACATGATTAAACACAGTCTAATTTATTCAAATATATGCGAAATACTTTGTGATATTTTGGATTAAAATTCAGATGTAGCCAGGAATATTCAACCATCTACTTCCTATAAGATGTATGAGATAAGTTTAATTATGGAGATGAGTTTACTTGAATCTAATTCGTTTCTTTTAAACCAGACTTTGATTGACACCAATTGTAATATATTGACTTCTGTCTTTTGCAGGTTTAAAAATTTCACCATTTTTCCTCAAAAAAAAGATTCATTTGGCTTTACAAATTCAGGTAATTATTCAAATGTTATTAAGAATCTCAACTCCAAATAATCTATAATATTAGGCGAGTCAATAAGTCCGTATAAAAACATGCTTCTCTTTTTTTGCGAAAACAACCGATAGGGTGGAATCGTAAAGACAATATTGAAGGTCAACTTTACGAAATTTCGCAGATTTACCTCAATGTTCTCAAAAGTTATTGGCCATTAAAGGTCAACAGATCGCTGTATTTTCGTGATTTGATAAAATTGTCTGTCCTAAAAGGCCTATCATTTTCCGCAGTTGAGGTCAATTTGAATCAGTTTGCGGTGCTGATAAAGTGGGTTCTTTCGCTATTAGAATATATACACATAAATTGAAAAATAGGCATGTCAAAATATTTAATAGGCCATTTTCGGCATGATCTCTGAAAGTCGGTAATTTACGGATTTCTGGACTTATCAGGTCTATCATTTCCGTTATTTTTCTTATGATCTCAAAAAATTAGAAGGCCATCCTTGATGAATCTAGGAACATGATGATAAATATTCTGCACATCAAGAATTGAGTCAGAGAGGCAGCCGAAAAATAGCTGCTCCATTCAGCCAAATCGGCTTTTTTGCTACATTCACGTCGAAGTTACAAAAAAGGCCATTTAGACAGGAAAATCCTTACTGCCCTGTCTAATGAGCCTATTCTGACTTCTATAACTTTGTTTGCCTTCGTTTATCTCAAAAGGTCACATCGTTGGACATGTTTTTTAAGCGAAAAACGGAAAACGGGACTGTTTTTTCCAGGCCCGTTTTCCGGTCACAATTACGACTCAGAACCTTGTCGAATTCTTAACGGAACCTTTAAGACTTGAATACTGATAATCTATAAAACGAAAGTTCTCAGACATCGGGAACATATTTTTTATACGGACTTATTGACTCGCCTAATAGATAATCGTAAAACAGAAAAAATCTGATTTCTCTTTTTTTCATTTTCATTACAGATTTTGCTTAAATTATTTACATAAGGATTGGATAACCATTGGATTCCATTGGAATTGGTGAATGCATAGTCAACAGGACAAAATCAAAGTTAATTATAACTTCTTTTAACATTTCCAATCAACATTAACAGCAGCATCGTCATTTCAACTTGAACCTGAAAAAAAAGATGTTGAAAAATACATTTAATTTTAAGGATGCAATAACCATGAACGTCAAATAATCAACATTCACTAATGGTAATGCTGATGAAACAAATTATGCAAATGATGGAAAAAAAAGTCAATCTCAGATTATCTAGTTAATCAACGTTAATTAATTCATTCAATTTCATCTCATTTTTTTGTTTCACCCTTTAAGCTTACTGATCATGATACATATCATTAAGCAATATAATTCCTAATTAACTTATCAGCCAATCTAAATATTCATTGAGTTTAAACGTCAACAACTAATTAACCCAATCATCCTACCAACCTAACCAAGAAAGATGAGTAAATAACAAAGTATCCAATCCAGATAACCTTTACCAATATCATTGAATCCATTGGTAAATGTATTTCAATGACAACTTAAACATTCATATTTGAGTGATTTCAACATGTAATATTATTGTCAGTTGAAAATCACGCAATAATCAGACAATTGAGGTTTAAAAGAGGTAACCAGAAAATAGATTAACCTGAGAAATGACTAGTAACAAAGGGTAAAGACAACTCAACATGTTAATACATTTAGATGAGGTGAAAAGGGATATAAAAGATGATTGCGTTTACCTTGATAAAGTTGATTGTGGAAACATCAATTGTTTCAAGTAGAGTGAAAACCTTTCGTTCAGTCAGATATTCCGAGGCAATAAGACTCTTAATCCGCAATGAGAGTGGGATTTTCATGGCTTTGAATTCAATTAGATGATGTAATTGGGTTACGCATTCATCGTACTTGTCAAAGGAACCACAATAACACAGAAAAAATGAATCAAAAAAAGGAAGAGAAGAAAAAAAATGAAGGCAAAATTGATTAAAACATTTTGTCTTGTCAACAAGGAGATAAAGAAAATATTACATGTAAATATCATGGATTGTTGTATTCAATTGATCTTTCTTGATTTATCTTTTTTCCGTCAGTTTAATTTGAACAATTTCAAGCCTTAAATAAGATTGAATATGATTATGAGCAACTAATATCACTCTGAACAAGTGAACTTTAAAGATAACATTATCATCTCATTGTCATCCTCTGGGATTTAGTTGAGTGTTTATTGGCTTCACACTGTTCAATATTATCATTTTTTCAGCATTTTTTTATCATTTTCATATTCACACAATATTAGACTTTCAGTGTGTTGATAGATTATTATTGTTATTAAACATTTTATCATGTAATAATGGATATTTTTTCAGAGGTAAAATATTCTTTTCCTCATATTTTCTCCTTTTATCTTCAACCTGTTATTTGATTAAGATTAGTGGTTAGTCAAGGTGAATGTTAATCAATTTGAAAAATGGTTCTCGAAATGCCAACCTTTTGTTGTTTAACTCTATTTTTAAGCGAAAATACAATCTTCTAAATATAAGAATATCTAAATTATTTTCTTAATTTGATTTCAAAATTAATGATCTATCCTTTTTAACGAGCACTTTATGTTGTCTTTTTTGTATCACTTTAGGTTATCAGTTTGGTGGTTTACTTACTCGATGTTGAGCATAAGATCCGGCAATGAAGTAGATGACTTGACCGTAAAGAATGGTTAAAAAACCGAGAAATCTGATCACATATTTGGGTGGCCCTTCAATATCCACGAAAAAGGTCAGGTAGAGGCAAAGAGTTTCATTCAAAAAAGTGCCCGTAAAGATGATACTAGACACTGGAGCCATAAATCTATTTATCTTAACCATATCACGACTCAATGAGATCATACGTGTTTTAAATTTGGTCAAAAAACGGATAAAATATTCATTGTAATCACTTTGGGTTGAGGCTGCAACCAGTTTTGCCTTTGAAGCCATCCTGTGATGTTTGCGTCCATAAACGTACAAATAATGACCAGTTAAAATGGTAAAGTTGACTTCATAGCAGCCAACAAGATAACCATGAAAGGCTGTGAAAAAGGTATGGGCAAGAGTAACGGGCAACCATTGAATAGGAAAGCCAATAATGATGGGCAGATGAACGGCAGCAGCACAAATGGTGCCGGCAATTAGGTTGAATCGTAAGATGAGTAAAGTCAATTTGGATCCTCTTTGAGTACTCAAATCTCGTGAATACTCTGGATGTTGAAGGTGAATCATTGATTTCATCCATTCTTGGTAACTAACTTTATAATTGGATATTTCACTGTAGACTCGGGAAATCAGTGCTGCAACGAACCAGACAAGGCAAGCTAAAAGAAACCAGAATGAAGCTTGGCCCATGAAAAAGGAAAAATCAGCCAGCAAAGTTGAATAAAATGGATGACCAACATGGAAAATTAAAAAGGCAAATCGTAGAGTACCAAGAAACAGAGCAGGGAATGAGATTACATACAAAAACCAGGCTAAATCGTGTTCACGAAAGGATCCATCTGATACATAAGTGTACCTCAGACAACAGGATTTGAAAAATTCACCCAATTTAGGGTGAATAGTCTCAGAGTGGAGAGTCTTCAGTGGAAACAAAAGGCTAGCTAAAATGTCGGTTAACATTGTAATCAACTTTAGGTGAAATTGTTGCTTTGATAAGATTCACTTTCAATTGTTAAATTGAACATTTATTTCAACCTTTTCTCAATGTTATTCAATGTTGACAGACAACAATGAATTTTACTTCTAAATTGTCAAAAAATATTGAAATGAATGTCATGAGATGCTTTCATAATCAGCGATCTGGGAAATACATTATTTTGCTCAAATTAAACTCCTTTATTTACACGCAATTCATAACCATCTAAGACTTATAAATTGCATGATTACATGATGTTGTTACAATTGTTTTCAATTAAAGATTCTTAAGTTGATTGATCCTTTATCTTGATGGAAAATACAAACTCAGTTTCAGGTTAAATAACCAGAATTGCTGGTCAATTGAATAAATGAATTTCTAGTTTATTTTACCGATTGAATAAAAGATGAAGAAAGCTGCTTCCAAAGATTCAGAGCAACATCCAACGAAACAATTGTTTGAGAAATGAAGAAATGCGTTTTTATTTTCAAATTTTGTCTTTTTTATTCATCAAATTGAAATTTCACAATTAAAAACAAATTGAAACAATTAATTGAAACATTAGACTACAATGAACTGAAATAATATCACTCTTCATTATCATTTGCAATATTATGTTAATAACAAAAATGTAGTCATTTTTTTGCCCATTTTTGTTGATTTATTTTCGTAGCTTCTTCTCTTCTTCTTTGCTCATATTTATTATTAATGAAGACTAATTAGTTAATTATATTAAAAAGTCAACTCCAAAAAGATAAACCAAATTGAAATTAAAGGAACAGATTGAAAAGTATAATCACTATAATTAATATCATGATCTGGTGAAATAGTTATGAGCTAAATTTGGTTCATGTAAAACATTTTTTTTCTGGTTTCTTATTAAGACTACTTTTGTTGTTGAATCAGTATAACTTCATTTCAGTTGGTTAATTGGTGCCAAATCTTATTAATTACAATGTTCAATCAGCTTTTATCCATTTCTTTTCACCTTGATTGTTCATTCATCTCATGAGCATCCGATTCCAGTCTCTCCATTAGTTGGGCTGTTAAAATTTCTGGTAAAGAACTGGTAAAAGTTGGGCGAAAAATCATTTTAAAAACTCAAATTAATTTACCTTTCCAAGTTGGTTGACACTTCAATAGACTGATAATAGACGGAATTCAAATTTGCTCAAAATATTTAGACTTGGGTTTTGGGTTTGGACGATACATTTTGTGTCTTTGGCAAACCTTTGAAAAGGTTAACTCGACCTGACTATTTTGGCTTTAGAATCAATTTTAGCTTCAAAAATTTTATTCCTGTGATTTAAATTGGGTCCAGGGTCATTTGAGCAAAGGATATTTGAGCAAACCCCATCCGAGCAAAGCCTCTTAATCGTCTTTTGCTTTGCTGGTTTTTGCTAAGATGACCCTAGCCCTTAAATTGTCTTTTCCTGAAGATTTCGATTAACAATGAAAACAAAATGCTTTTAAACTCAATATTAAAATATATAAATCCCTGTATAATCCCTGTACAAATGCTTAAATCGTCAAATTAACACTAAATGTAATGTTTATTAGAATCATATAAATCTTATTCATTGAATAAATCCATTTTTTGATCAAGTTTGCTATGTTTCCCATCAAAATCTTATCACAATAATAATGCAAAATAACGCAATGATGCTCATAATGAACTTGAATCAGTCAGATCAGATAAACTTTGCGTGAATGTGATAATGAAAATAAGTTAAACTCAAATGTCAATGTCTAATCAATTCACACTGTCAACTCATCCACCAACGTGAAAGTGTTTTCTCAATAGTCCAAAATGAACAAATGATACTCACATTAACCTTTTAAATAAACTCACTTTGTCAGTCAAATTTCAGAAAATGAATGATCTGAAAAGTGTCGAAAATCTCAACATTTCCAAATCACGGATTGGCACAGGAATAACTCGCGATTTGCTTAAATCGATATGAAACTGATTTCAAATTTATGTATTACTTGACATTATATTAACAGATTTGGTACAAATAACGGAACCAGAAAATATTATCAGAATATCTCAAAGCTTAGCTGTCCATTAAAACCCAAGTCATACTAGTTATTGAAGCAAACTGTAGATAAATGGAGAAATGTTTAGCTTTACTTACATTGTCTTTGATAACGGACTGTTTGTCCGTTTACCAAAACCTCGAGCTGTTGAGATTGTTAACGGCATGTAACCTCTTGTCTGTAAACCTCGATAGGCTCGGAGTCGTGGTTTCTGGGCCAAACTGAGTACCACAAGTGTTCCCATTAATCCAAGCAAAATGGTAACAAATATTTTTGAAATTTTCATGACTGTGAAGGTTTTGTGAGTTGACAAGGACAAAAAAAGATCACAATGATTTGGAGAACGCAAATTGAATTTCAATTTTAGCAGCTTTTCCTCGACACTTGATCAACACTAAAAGAGTAACTCAATCGTTTCCGATTCTTAAAAGTAATCAACAATATCGATGTTTTTTTATTGCGAAAACAAAATGATTTGAAATGTTGAGCACCAAAAGTTGATTCTTAAATGCATCTTTCGATGTGATTTTTGTTTATCTATTAACACACAAACATCCATCATCCATCATCATCCCTATCATCCCTATCATCCTCATCATCATCACCTAAACTTTCATCTTTTATCATGAACGCCTTCGAAATATCAAGCTGCTCATGAAAATGCTCATGCGTCTCAATAAAATAACGCATTTTCATCAATTTTAATACAAACAATTCTCATCCAATTTCATCTGATTAACTTTGCTCAAAATTTTCTCCCATTCAACAGATTCCATGATAAAAGTGCATTCTAATTGAAATCAAATTATTGCATGTAAAACATTCTGATCACAAATTTTCAAATGTATTCTCGATCAATGGATAAACGATTGAAAGAAATTCATTTATTTATATTCAAACATGATACATTGATGGTTACGCTTAGCGTATTTCCGTGATTAAGAACATAAATGGAATCCTGAGAAAGTTGTGAATAAGTTGAAGTGGTTAACCTTTTCATCCTGAATGATACATTTGATACAAAATGAATCAATGAAATTTTGTTAAGTCTTCAATCTTTTGCTCAACATTGAAAGGTTGACTAAACTGTTGCTCAAATGGTCAAGGTAAAGATGCTGAACAAAAGGCGAAACAAAGTTCAATCTGAATCTCTAAGAAGCATTTCGATTATGAAAAATGATGATTATGATGATGTTAAAGTTGACTGAAAATTGAGATGAAAAGTGAAGGATGATGAATCCCTGGGATTACAGACTCTGTAGACTCTCGACTCATTTGGGTTCAACTTGCCATTGAGCCTCATCTCGGTCAACCAGTGGTTCAAGTTGCTGCTGTACCGACACACAAAAGCTTGGCCAATTGATCGTCTTGGTTGCAAACGTCGATAAACTCTTCCAATGAAACTTTACCATCTCGATTATAATCCATTGTATCAAAGATGAACTGAACCTTTTTATCCTGTTCGTTGAAAGCCACACTATCAGAGCCCAACATTTGGTATAAAGACTGTAATAAAGGGCAACAATTAGACAAAAAGACAAATAAATCAATGAAAAGCCATTTTCAATGTTAATAGCAAATCTTTAAAAATAGAAAGTTATTTCATTTGAAAATTCAATTTCAATATTTCAATAAACCTTTGCTTCTCATTGCTATTTTAATCTGGTTAAGTGACAATTTGAGCTGAAACATGTTTCATTTGAGCATCTAATTACATTTTTCCAGTTTGTATTACAGCATATTCAATGTAATTAATTTAATTTACCAACATTAACTGCTCCAATGTTTGTTTCCCAAGTTAATGCAAACATTTTAACATAATTAAATTGAATCAACCCAGGTAAATAAGGTCAATCAATAGTAACATCCAAATGAAAGTAATAAACATAAAACAAAAATATTACAATCAATAGCAACAGTTAATCAATTTTCTAATTCAAGTTTAACCTAAAAGATTTTGCTTCCAACAAGAAATAGTAAAAGCTCAGATCCATCTTCATTTGCTTCCAATTAAATCCATTTTCTAATTTAAGACTTAATTACACTTTCAGTTTCATCTCATCTTAAGCACTTTATCAACCTGAAAAAATCCTAAAAATCGAAATCAAAAAGCGACAAAAATCTTCATTTTTACACAGTTTCACAGTAAATCATTGGAGTGCAAACAAGTGTACAAAGTTGATCAAAAGAACCAAAAAGTAACTTTGGGTTTATCTCAAGTGAAGATGTACTGAACCTAAACTTTACTTCAATATGTCGCTATCAATCTGGATATTCATTTGGAATCGCTAATTGAACAATGTTGCTCTTGAAATGTTATTCTGGTTGAAGGTTGGCTCTGTTTGCTTGTACCTTCAATATCAATTGTCACAAAAGTAACTCTCAAAATGGAATCAAAACTTGCCAATATTTACCTAACATTAATCAAACTGATCAACATTTTTCATAACCAGAAAACATGATTTGCTTTCCGGCAATTCATTTAAAAATAGAAATGAAAAACGAATAAAAAGCGTAAAGTTTAATGTAAACATTTACTAATGTTTTCCTTAATCACCATTAATAACAATCAAGTAATCAGGTTTATGACAAAAACTATCAATGATAATGAATATGGAAAGGTGAACTTTCATGAACTCATTAACAAGTAAACACAAGTAAACTTGAGGCGGAAAGATGTTAACATTTTAAGAAGCTTTAATTAAATTTAATGTTTTGTTTTTGGTTCCTCAAAATTCATCCATTTTCATATTACAATCATAAATAATGATAAGTTGTGAAAGTATTTCAATCGTGAACAGTTAATCAACAGAAGGTGAAATAAAAAAATAACGTTCAACTTGTTTCATAAGGATCAGAGACTGTGTTTGTCTTTCAAGTTGATTTTGATATTCATTTAAATTAGTACTGAAAGTTACAAGAAAAAATATGAAATGTTACATTATCATTTGCATGATGATGAATTGAATTTACCTTGCATCAGACAAGAATCTTGTATCCATAATAAACAATAAGAGTAAAAATAACAGAAGCATCAAGATGAAGATTCTTGTTAATGTTGAGATGTTTTTTGGTTGTTGCTTTTGATTACCTTAATACTCAATGAACACGAGTAAATTAACCTTCAAAGTTAAAGGTTTAATTTAATTAGACTGACAATTGTTGATTGAAAAGAGTTTTAGGTTGCACTTCGAACTAAAATAATTACAATTTACTGGTTAACCAGAATAATTTTTGTACATTTTGTTTGCTTCTTTTACACTCTGTACACTTCTTCTTTTGTGACCAAGAAATTGAACGTTTAATGAATAAACAGAACTTAAGATCTTTTCTGAACTGATGCCGAGTATTTTTGAAAGGTCTTTAACTATTATTAATAGTTTTATCCAAGTCCAAATCATATATTATTTTAAAACAGTGAGCTTTGTTGCTAAAAAGATACAAATAGCAACAATTGATGCATTTATGCTTAAATTGACATAAACTGACAAAACACTTAAACAAAAATGGGCAAAACTGTGTGAAAATTAAGTTGGTGAAAATTTAAACTCTGTTACTTTGTAGAAAATTAAAAACTGAATCCATTTGTGTGATTAAAAAGTTTCTATGATCAATAGTTATTGAGGAATTTGAGTTCGAAGTTGAAACTTCAATCGCCTTTTATGCAGTTTTGGGAACAGATTTTTTCATGAAACTTCAGTAAGCAGATGTAATTTTTGATGGTGAATCAGTAAATGCAACTATTATGAGCAATAAAATTCCTTGTTTTCTGTAAAACAGATAAGTTCGATTTTCATTTAAACCGACCTCTTCTTATGAACTGCAGATTAAGAGTCCTGATACTTATTATTCATACATTAAAATTATTTGCACACATCATGGACTCAATAATTTTTTGAATTTCTCAACAGATCGCTTGATTTTGACCAGTGGACTTGCAACTTTTGGGCCTCACTATTTCGAGGATGACAGCACCTACAATCACCATTCTTTGGCGAATCATTAGATTTTATTATGGTCTATGATATAATGAAATTTGAAACTATTCGCGTTCCTACAATAAAAGTTATTGAATAGCATTCTTTATGTTTACCAGTTTTTAGACTTTGTTTATAAAGTTGAATGGTTGTGCAAACAAAAATCTTATGTTTTCATATCTTATTCATCATTAAATGAATCAGCTCAGATTTTATCCGGTATTGATTCATATTAAATCATAGCCCATAATGGAATCTAATGATTGGCCAAAGAATGGTGATTTTAGGTGCTGTCATCCTCGAAATATTGAGGTCCAAAAGTATTCCGTTCAATGGTCAAAATAAGAAGATCTATTGATCAATTCAAAAAAATATTCAATTCATAACGAGCACAAACAATTTTTATCTACTGATACTAAGTTTCAGATCTCTAAATCTTAAGGACTCAGAAAAAGGCCGATTTAAATCAAAATCGAAGAATCGAAGTTATACGGAAACAGAAAATTAAATTTCTCAAAATAAGTTCATTTTCTGGTTTATAATCAAAAGCATCATCTGCAAAATAAGTTACGTGAAAAAATCTGCCTCCGTTTTTGTACAATAAGCGATCGAAGTTTCAAATTTGACCTCAATTTTCTAGAGAACTATTGATCAGAGAAATTTTCGACTAGCACCACTTAATTCAGTTTTTGATCTGCTACAATTTAACAGAAAGTAAATTTGCAAAAAGTTAATTATCAAACGTTTAAGCCCATTTTTCTTTCAACACTTTGTCAATTTGTGTCAATTTGTGCGTAAAAGCAACAATTGTTGCTGTTTGTGTCTTTTTAGCTGCAACAAAAGTAATAACTTAATAACTTAACGCCTTTTAGCCTAACTTAAATGCCATAAAGAAATAATACTTTGCAAAAGAAGTTCGTTCAGGTATTTCCATTGATCACTGAATAATTGGAAAGCTATTTTCAATGCAGATCATGTCTATTCATATTGTAATTACGAACTAAACAGTAAATTAACACAAGTAGCTAAATTGATCATAATACATGTTAAAACTAGACTCTATGAGAAGAAGTTATTGATATTATCGACTGTTCGATCATTTAAAAGTCAATTAAAAGTGTTTTCATCTTAATTGGCCCAACATTTTTGCATAAATTGAAAGATCACCCCAAAAAACCAGAAAATTTACCTTCACTTATTGACTCTACTTTCATTGAAAAGCATAATGATGGCTTTTAATAACCAAAAACAGACTGTTATGAGTTCTGAAGACAAGATTTAGATTGAAAAAATGAATCGTTCTCATTGTCTCACAAGTTTCTCGTAGTTCGTAAAGGTTTACCTTGATTATTTTGCTCATTTCGTCCACATCAATCAGTCCATCTCGGTTAATATCGTACATTCTAAAGGCCCATTTAAGCTTTTCTCGTGGATTTGAACCAGTTGTTATACCAACAGCCAGAAGGAACTCTTTAAAGTCAATGTAACCATCGCCATCTGAGTCAAATGTACGATAAATGTGATCACAAAATTGAGTGGGCGATCCATCGGGACAAAACATTGAATATATTTCGAGAAACTTTTTCTTGGTTAACCGTCCATCCGGACAGTCTGATTGGAAACCCTTGTACCAATCGCGAATCTCTTGATCAGAGTAGCTAGTGTTTCGAGTTAAATATTCAATATCATCATCACTCAGCGTAATTGGAGTTGTCTTTGAAGTTGTACAACCCATTACAATAAACTGGTTAACACAAAGTAAAGGTAAAATTGGGTAAAAAGCAAACTTAAGGCAATTGCAAGTCTTTAAGAGACACTTTTACAAATGTAAATCAACCTTTAAACCTTAACAAATAAATTGGCAAAATTTGAACTTTAATCACACAAATGCACAATTAGATGGGAAAACCGTTGCAAATGAATGTTACTTTTCCTTCGATGGCGATGACGATGTTTAATCATTCGTAATGTTCAACTAAATGTAATATTTCACAAGGAATAAATAAAGTTAATTCTGGTCTCACCCAATTGATTTAACCTTTCATTTTTACCTTTTATTCTGTTCTTTCCCCTGGTTCCCTGTTAGGTTTTACAGTTATTATGCTTATTATTATAATGGTTTACCTTGTGTTTTTTTATGCTCAAGGATTGGTTGACCAAGAGAGAGAGGGACCTTTATGTGACCAGTCAACCATATTATCTAGGCTACCAATGGATATAATATATTCAATAATTTTCTCATTTGTAAATATTCAATGTTAATTGTTGCTAAAAATGTCGATCAAGTGATTAAAAATATCTGAAATGGACAAGAAATGCTAATTGGAAAGCTGATTAACCAGCCTTCAATGTTTAATATTTTGCTTACACTGTTTCAATATTCAATTGAAGAGACAAGAAGCTGTTTGGGTTTACCTGGGTCTTTTGGGTTAATGTGAAATGGTTTAGGTTAAAGGCTACAAATCATGATTATGGTTATTATGATGATGGGATGATACTTGGAGTGGCCTTTAATCAATTGATAAAACCTTTAATTGTAATCATTAGCTTTGCGTGATTCACTATAACTGATTATTATTTCTCTAGAGATGTTAACCAGTTAACCTTTTCTGGTTTCATCTCAATAAGTTTCACCTTTTTTTTATTTAACCCAACAAAAGCCATTTGATAAATTGCCTTTAATCGCAATTAGGTGAACAATGTGCTAAGCTTCTTGATTAACCATAAAACTGATCAAATAGATTCCACAAGAAACAATGGTTTTAGGTAAAACTGGTTGAAAAAAACTGGTTAAAAAATTGAAAGTAAAATTATTCTTATTCACTTTTTGGGTTCTCTTGGAGTGACTCTTGTTTTTACTCGATAACTCATTAATTGTGATTTAGTTTATATTTATTATCATCTTATTAACACTGTTAATCAGATGAAACAATCAATCGATTGGTTATTCGGGTCAATTGTGATACATTTATGATGAAAATGGTTCAACTCCGAGTACATTTACATTACTCTTGATGTATTAATGTTTACCTTTTATGCTTTTATTCAACTTTTCCCATCAACTAACCATAATTAGTTTGGATGGTTACAATTAAAGTATAATTATTGTTAAATAGTTAATAAAGAGGTAAATTGTGATCATCTTTTTGTTTCCTTGTCTATTGATATACATAAGCAGCCCATCAACCTTTAACACGCTTATTAAATTTGATAATCTTTAACCCAAATTAACATATAACCAGACAGTTAAGATGCTTTTAGGTTGTCTGTTGGAAAACAGTTTTATCAATACAATTTGTATTATTTGATTAACATGTTAAATATGAATTATCTAGTTATAATGATAATGGAAACATTATTATTAATCAAGAGAGTAAAAAAGGTGAAGATGATCAACAATCTGGTTAGTATTGTTATTAACAATGACAATTCAATTTGACTTTCATGAGGTAAACCTTTTCTCTCCCAATTTTCATCATTAATAATAATCTGAATTGAATGTTCATTCACAGTCATTTCATTCTATAGATTCATGTTTTCACCTTAAAACTCATCTTTTTAAAAAGCTTCAACTTTGGCTTCTCATTTCACCATTTAACTTGTTAATTTATTTTCCCTTCCCAATCAACTGATTGAATTAAGATTATTGAAATGGTTTCTGGTCAATCACATTTTAAATTTACCTTTCAATTGAACGGACAATAGTAAAGGTTGAAAAGGTTATACTTTTCAAATATATGAAAGTATTTTACGTTGAATCTTTCAATATATCATTATGAACCTAATTCAATTATATGATTATCATTTGTTTGACGACTGAATATCTTAATCAACAATCAACCTTTCCCATGTTTGTTTACTCTGAGCATTAAGTTTAATGGCAACAAGATTCATATCTAGCAAATGTTGAACCTTTATTTCAATTAAACCATATGATTAACTAATTACATTAAGCATACTCTGAGTAACACTGATTACATTTGATAATTACAACAACAAAACAAGATTTAATAAAGGAAAAAGCAAAAGGGTCAAAAATAAATCAAAAGGAAACCTTGAAAACCTAAAAAAAGACCAGAAAACCCAAATCTGGTTGAAACATGAAAAGCATAACAAGATGATTTGCATTGATTGATGTAAACACACTTGAAACAAAGGTTAATTAACCAGCTAATTAAATGGATTCAATAGTCAATAATCTTACTGACCAGATGAAGACATTGACAAAACCAAAGATGAAGACCAATATTGAACATGTTTAACTGGTTAACTTGATTGTCATTGGTATTCAACTCACAATCAACTGGAAATGGGATGCAAAAAGGTTGAAAAAGCTGTCAACTGTATCATAAAACCCTTGAGAATCTCAAACTGAATGGCTGGGAATGGAAGCAAGAAACGAGTTAATCAGTTTAAATAATCATGATTAGTATGTAAAATAGATTGATTAAACATTTTATTATTAAGATTGTTCTTTAATTAAAATGGTTGACATTTGAATGGAGATTTGATCGTTGATTCTGTTGATTAGTCTGCTATTAATTTAGTCGTTTTTTTCCACTTCTCTCAAACAATATTAACTTCAATTTCCTTTCCAGTCTTATTGTTGTTTTACCTTCACCTTACACTGTTATTTCACTGTCAAGTTATCAAATTAATTAAATAATCAATTTATCCAAGCATTAACATCAACAATGAAAGATTCAAGATTAGATTCATTGGGTTAATTCAAGTGATTTCAGCTAATTTCAATTATAAACTGAGTATGCAAATAAACATTACAAAAATCATCATTTAAAGCAACCAATTCAACTGTAATGATCAACTGTGATCAAAGTAAAGTCCATTAAAAAAAGGGTAAATTTGAACATTACAATTGCCAATGTTATGACTTTATATTAGTAAACATTGAAAAAATCAACTTTTGATTGCTCTTTAGCATTAAACTTTGGTTGAAGGGAAAGTAAACACTAAAATGATGAAAATCTTTGCCATTTACTGATCATTTTGGATATTATCATTGTTATTATTATGGGTTTGCATTGAAAGGGATTGAAGGTGCAAGTTGAAACATTCAATTTTTGTTTTAACCCTGAAAATGAGATGAAACCTGGAAAAAAGGGAAACTGGTGAAGGCTGTTTACCATGTAAATGTATTTTGCTTCAAGGAATGGATTCACTTAATGGTATTAAAATGTGTGTAACCAGAAAAAAAACTAATCATAACCCAGTAGCCAGTAATTGTTTTGATTATTGGTGGACTCAAATTGTTGGTTTATTTGTTAATGGGTAAAACACTTTGTCTAACAACAGTAAAGGAAGAGGCCATTCCAGGTGTAAGTTAATCGATAAATAACAAAAGTAAATGCGCTTTTGTTATATTACAATCATAGTCAGTCGATATTGCAGCAATTGAGTCCTTTTGGTTATCCTTTGTTTCCTTCAAAGTTGAACCTTCTCCTTTAAATCCTCAATGTGTAATTTAATTCTAACGTAATCAAACTCAATCTAATCTCACTGAATTATTCATTTCCATCCGCGTTAAGATGAAAAATGAAAATGAAAAAATTCTGGTTATAAATGTCAATCATTTTAGGTAAACTAGTGAATAAACATGACACTAGATGGCAGTGTCAACGCGGGTTTTTAATTCTGGTAACATCTGATTTTCATGTTTCATTGTGAATATTTTAAGTAATTGTTCATCTCTATTGATTGATAAGATTAACTGTCTACAAGGCTTCGGACATAATTAACTGTCACGGTAGCCTTGCTGACTTAGATGGTGATTTGCTGTCAACAGCTGGTTAAGCTTGGATGTAAAGATTGGGTTTGTTTTGTTGGTTTGATTTAACATTGTTCACATTATTACATTGATTGGAGCAAAGGATTACTTTACTGTTGATGTTGGTTCTAGAAAGGCAAAATATCATCTTCAAATCTTACATGTAATCATCATCATACCAGTTTTGATTAATTATAGCTTAATGTACATTTATTAATCATCTTCTTGTTTATTTTGAGATGTTATTTTTATGAGTTATTTTTTTCCGTTGCTTCTTACTTTTCCTGATTACTATTATTATTAATTCAGTGTTGATAATTGAATTTGAATGTGTTTAATACAAGATTAAGTTATAATCCTTGATAGACTTTTTTGCCTTCACTCTTTTTGTTTGGCAGGAAAAAATTGCAATTGAAATTGTGATGAACATCAAATAATGAACTGATGTTATTTAATCATTCTTTACATGCAATAATCCACTGATTGAGTCTTGACTTGATTTTATATTAAAATTGGTATCATGAAGAGTTGTGCAAAAAAACATTGAATCGTATTGACCAGCTGAGATTGAATCTGGTTGAGTTACAATATAAGTTCAAAAGCTAATCGATACATTTGTAACAATTTGGTGCGAAAATTGTGATTTTTATGATTATTTGGTAGCTTCAATGGTTTACTTTGAAAGGATTGATTGTTGGTAATGGAAGATCAATTATTGATCAAATTGTGAACAAAATAATTGTGTTTGTCCATTAAATATTGATCTTTGTAATAAATTGCCATTTTGGCTTTTCTGGTTCAATCTGTTTGGCTTTTGTCCTCAAATGTTATTGTAAGCAGAGATTGGTCTAAGTCTAACCGAAGATACTTTAATTGTATTTCGATCAAACAAATTGTTGAATCAATTACTCTTAATCAACATTTTAATATTTATTTGGTTAATCATTGTCGTTGGTGCGCCATCTAGTTAACTTGTTAGCAACAGTCGAGCAGCTGGTTTCGTTGATTTATTTCAAGTTTGTTTAGTTTTAATGTTACAGTGAAATTTATGGTAATGTTTGCATTGATCGTTTAAATGGATTTATGCTCATTTAACGCGCTAATCAACGTTTAACCATTCAAATACATGTCAGTTTGTTGGTGAATGATGAAAATGTTGATGAATATATTACGTTGTTGTTTGAATTGGATAATATATTGTGGCTATAAAATCAATAAAATGAACCCGATTAACAAGGGCGTCGAGAGTATCAATGATATGGAGGAATAACAAAACAATAAGCTAAAAAATGTGGAAAGAAAAAAAAGTAAAGCAAAGACTAAATTGTATAAATATCCTGCTTAATCATGCTGAATTGGTGTAAAATTTGTATTCACGGTTTCCTCTTTTCCAATGTCAATTAAATCTATTGTTATTAATGAAACAACATCACAACATCATTTAGATTGGGTTATAATGTGTGTTTTGTTTAGACGTTTTCAACCAGGCCAAGAAAAAAAAAGAGTAAACTCCGCCAATAATTAGTCTATTTGGGTTGATATAAACGTTTGCTTTAGACAATGAAGAGGTAAAAACAAATGGACATTTTTGAAGGTTTTGAATGGCAAAGATTTATCACACAATTAGATCAATTGAATATTCATTGAGACTTTCAACGACTGACAAATAAATTAGTCAAGGTGTAAATTAAAGAACAATCAAACACACAAATAATTACACAATTGATAAAGTTGTTTAACTTATTGAATTGGATTAACATTGTAAGGTAATTGATTTAAAGGTGCTTTCACTCGGCGCTACTCTCTAGCGACATCTACTTTCATTATGGTTAAACTTTTGTGCACAAATGTTTTAGTTTGTAGGAAACTATTTTGAGATGCAGCATCTTGTTTGGTGTTTTTTGTTTAAAGTAAATATCCAATGAGCAAATTAATCAATGTAATACATTTATGCTGATTATTTGAGCAATAGATCTTTCTTTAACCTGTTGATCCATTTCTCTTTTCCACAATCCATGTAAGTTTAAAACAAAATATGGCTTTGACTTCAGTGGCCTTCTTGTTGTGATAATCTTCTTTTGTGATCCGTTTTCCCATCTTGAAAGTGATTCTTTTTTGTTTACCCATTAGTAATTTAAGTGATCAATTTTGTAGTGATATATTATCGGACAAATTTTAATTTTGTGACAATGATGAGTAAAACGGGTTACACTTGTATCAGACGGAGTCTGTGTTTCTTTAATTTCATTTTCTGGGTAAGTTTTTTTTGGTGACCAAAGTTTTGTTTCATTTTTTCTTTCATTGATCTCACCTTTTTTTTAATATCTTTACAACCTTTCTTTATGAGCTTTCTAATCTTGATGTATTATTTACTTTTAGGTTAGTGGCGCCGTTCTCTTTGCCTTTGGTCTATGGTTAAATTTATCTCTCAACAGTTACTCCAGGGTTTTAAGCCCTTACCATCTTTTATCAGCCGGTAATCTTATGATAGCTGTTGGATTCCTTGTGTTCTCAGTCTCTTTATGTGGCTTATGTGGTTCATGGTTTCAAAACAAATGGCTTCTTGGTGCCTTTCTATTCACTATTGTGCTTATCATGGCATTAGAAGTTGTAACTGCCATTTTGGGTTATGTCATACGGGACTCTATTCGTGATACACTTCGAGATGAGCTTCTCGTTGGTATTAAATACAAGTATAATGTAAATGATACCAATGGTCTAGTTTCATTTTGGGACGCTGTTCAAACTAATTTGGATTGCTGTGGTGTCAACTCCCACAAAGATTGGTTTAAAATTGACGCCTGGAAAGATGAGAACAGAGTACCACAGTCATGTTGTAATCCCGCAATTACAACTACTAATTTATATTGTGAAGAAGGTGACCTACGGGAACATGGATGTTATGTTAGACTTAAGCGTGCTCTCCTGGAAAATCTTCATTGGGTTGCTATCACTTGTGTTGTATTTGCATTTGTCCAATTTTTCTCAGTTGTATCATCTCTTTTGATGATTTGTACAGTTGACCACAGAAGAAATTACCGTCCAGGCAGTAATAACCGTTCTCCAACTTACAATCGAGTGCCTACTTTATGAATCACACAAGCGCCCTTCAATAAAATCGGCAGAAAACATTCTCAATGATCATTGATTGGTCTGCAAAAATTGTTGCTGAAGACGTCGTAATTTAGATTGCAAATCTTTATGTGCTTACCTAATTTTTGGTTTTATCAGCACCAAAAATTATCACCATTACCATCAAAATGACATCATAATTTTCATCACGATTAATGATTTTGTTTCATTTGCCTCAAACTAACTTAGTTTATTGTCCATCAGAATCTCGCAAATCAACAAAGGACAGGTTTGTCCACACCTATTTAGTTTATTTTTTCAGAAATTGAGATTTTCGCCTGGTTGTGTCCCCAATTAATTTTGCTTTCTATCAAATTTAATTTAACAATATCATATCAAAACAATAGACCTCACCTTCTTTATGCTTCTTTTCCGGCAACTACACCTAATTTGCATTTATATGTATACATTTAAAATGAAATTAATGAAGTGAAAAATATGTAAAAAAAACAAATGAGTGAAAACGAAAAAAAGTTTACAAGAATAAACTATTTCAATCAAAAACATTCTGGACTATAAATTATTCAATAACTATTATGATACCTGAATCAGCCGCATTGAACCACCTTTTCCGTTCAAATAGCTATTCGATATTGTAACTACATGGTTACATTGAATATTTCGCGTTAATCTTTGCGATCTTCAAATTATTTGTCGCTCACAAATTGTGTGTCTGATCCGATGGCCATTGATCCATAGAAACCTCTTCAAAGCATATTGTTTAGATATTTATCGCCTTTTTAGGCTGATGGAAACATGGAACATGAAAATTAATGTTCATCAATGATCACTATTGCTTTGGTCTTTAATTGTGTGATGGATAAAAATGGATATGAATCAATTTCTCATGAAAAACATTAATGATGTTGGACTGCAATGATGATTCTGGGAACAGAGATAAGTTTGCGATTTCCATGGAAATCTAGGGTTTGTTGGAGATAGAATTAGATTTAATTTGAATAGGAGTATTGCTAGTAAAATAATTGAATTTGTTTGTATGCCTCGTAATTGATGATTAATATCACAAGGTTCAATGATAATTGGAAACAAATAAAATTTCATTACTTTCTCTGATGAAATTATTGTTCGATTGTTTGCTCATTTCGATATATCGACTCAAAATGCGTCATTAGATACAGCAATTGAGGGTAAAAGTATTCATTTGTCATCTTATTTATCCAATCCTGGTTGTGCGTTTTACAACAAATTTTGTTATTAATCAACTGTTCAACTTTCATTTTTGTTTAATTTTTCACTCTTCTCTTTTCGATTAGTACTTACTCAAATCAATATTAGTAAATTATGAATTCCTTTATTGGATCAACGACCAAATACGGTCTCATCTTCTTCAACTTCATCTGTCTGGTAAGTGGTTTATACAACTTTTCAAATTCAAGTTACTTCAATGTGTTAACTTTCCTATGTTAATTGGTATAAATTTACTCTTTTACATAGACTAGAAACGTCCTTGAATCTATTTTCCTTCAATATTACGATTATAATTCATCACACTTTACTAATGTAACTTTGGTGTTTCGTTTTTAGGTATTTGGCCTGCTTTGTATTATTTTTGGTGCCCTAGCTCGAAGCTCAGCAAACTATGGAGATGTCTTGGCTGTTGGGCAAGGCCCCGCTAACATGAGCATCATTGTTGGTGTTTGTGTGTTTGTTATTTGTTTCTTGGGATGCTGTGGTGCCTTGAAAGAAAATCGTTGTATGCTAATTACTGTAAGTATCATAGTCATGGTTTTAGTAATATTATTAATTTCATTAATATAACGTCGCATTAGTAATGATAGTTTGAAAAAAAGACAGAGAGCTTATTATCTTTTCTTTCTTTCATATGCAGCTTTTGTTAAAGCTTCACCAAATATTCCATTATTTTTATCTTTCTATTTCTCTTTCTGTCATTATCTGGTATCTATAGTCGTATTTGTGAAAACAATTAATCTGATAACAAATGTTTGTATAGTTCATAAGATCGTTTGTTAAATTGCCAGATTATTCAGCCAATATGATGTCATATCCACAATATGTTTTAAAATAAGTTTAGCGGTTTGTTTGAGACTATAAAAAAATTTCTTGTAAAGATATCAAGTTTAGTGCTGAGGTCTAACCTGAAACTAGTTTTATAGCAAAGTTCAAGAAACTGTCAAAATATTTAACCTGTTATTATGGTGAACAGAACTTGGTTTTCTTTTAACTGGTTATTCAACTGATGCCGATCATTAATCAAAGAGATTGTATTGTTAATTAATCGCGAAAATTTTAATGAAATAGGATCTTCATTCATTTTATACAAAGATTATATTTATTGGTGTGATTGATTTCCATTAGTATCATTAGATTTAGGGTGATTGCATCCAAATAAATTGCACTTAGATTGATCAATTTTTTATGGTGTTGATTACATCATCTAGTATTGTATTGTTCATCATACAGAGACAGATAGATTTCACTACTCTAGGTGGATTAACAGGACTTACTATTTAGCTGAAAAACAATCATCTTCCACAAAAACTAATAATTTTCTGCATTTAATATTTGAAAAATATAGAAAATCTGAACGAATTTATTGCTATTTTATAATATTTGAATTTTTCCTGATATTCTAACTTTCCTCATAATTTTCAGACTTTTTGAAATAAAAAATCGATCTTGTAAATCTGATCTGACAATCGATGGTGTCGATAAAAACTGATTATCTTATTGGTTTCCAAGCAAATCAACAAAATCTTATTCTCATTGTTTATTTTTGAACTCTTGCAGTTTGGCTGTATCGTTTTCCTCTTGGTCATCGTTGAATTCGCTATTGGTGGATTTGCATACAAATATCGAAACAAACTTGAGGATGTATCTGTTGACCAATTCAAGGGAATGATCGAGAAAGCTGAAACGGAAGCTGGAAAGGATTTAAAGAAAAACCTCGATGATCTTCAGAGTAATTTGAAGTGTTGTGGAGCTGTTAATGCTAGTGATTGGGGATCTTTTGATAAAATTCCTGACTCTTGTTACGAAGACAAAAAAGCCAAAAAAGTCTACGCTGAAGGTTGTGTACAAGCAATTAAGGAAACTCTTGCCCCTGCTATGAAAGTATTATCTATTACCGTCATCATATTCGCTTGTATTCAAGTTCTTGGAATTCTTGGTTCATGTTGTGTTGCATCATGTATTCGACGGGCACAATATGACCATGTTTAAGCAAAAGGGAGTCATTAATAATCTCGATTGAAACACCTATGTAAATCCTATACAATTTGTAGACCAGTGACTTACTACACTGGCTACTCAGAGTTAAAAATTTTGCCAAAACTCTCAGACTATCTTTTGCCATATTAATATCCAATAACAATGATAATGCATCATTCGAGAAGATTGTTTTTCTATGATAAGATTTCAACTCATTACACCTATTTTTCACTCTGTATTTGTGAAGGAATTTCAAACGGTTAAGTAAAGCTAATTTTTTTATAAAACATAAATCAAGTCTCACCAGCTGCCAATAATTTCTCTATCCAAATAATAATCATTTGATTTTGAATTTAAATCGACAAAGTAGATTATTTTTGTTTCCTATGAATGCTTTCACTCTAGAAATTTCGATATTTTCAGCTATTATATCTTTTAGTAATGAAAGATCCGTAAAATTTGATGGTTGATTCAGTAAATTTTTTTCAATAATCATTCTACATTATTTAGTTATTCATTAATGTAACTGCATGCTTGATACTTTCAAGGTGATTGCAGTTAGCTCTAATTTAAAGAGTGTTGTGTTTGTAAGTTATTAAACGTACACTCTTTTTATAAAATAAAATTATTTATTATGATTACTTTGATTACTTGAATCGATGAGGATTCACTCCCATGAAAACAGTTTTTTTCTTAATCAAAAAACAGTTTGTTTTTTCTCTGATTCGCTAATCAACATCAAAAATATCATTATCTAATAACTCATTGACAACATGTGAAAATGATTGAAAATGTACTTTTGATCTTGAAATCAATTGGAAAATGAACTTAGATTATAATGTAAAATTTATTATTGCGATCTACTAATTGACAATTTTAGTTTTTGTTTGCTTGTTGGATGTAAAAAAAGAGGAAAAATAACATTTATTTTGATTGATTGAAATTCAATGATCAATCGAGTTAAAAAATGTCAACAAGTTTCGTATTTCCTTTTCATTTTCCACCGCTTCTTTCCCACATTATGATGATGGTAATGAGCCAATAATAATTTGTTAGACTATTCTAGTAAATGAGCTTGATTGACAACAAACATGCAGCAAAAGTATAGATGAATACATTAGGTGAAACTTGATTAACCAATGAACGAATTAAAGGCAGCACCCAAGAGTATTGTGTATTTGTAACTTTCAATGGATTTTGTTGATTTAAGTTAATTCCTGCCGTCTTCAAATAACGCAAAACTGATTCTTTGTCCACTGGTGGAAGGTAAACCTTTTTGAAATCTCGTTTCCACCAAGCTCCAGTTTTTCTGCGTTCAAATGAATTTGTGTAATGATACAGATATTGTTTGACACGAATATGTTTGGGTCCTTGACTGTAAGGTAAACTTTTGTTGTCAATAAGATCCAAAACTGCTTTCTCGTTATTTAAAAGTCTGTAAACCAAACTCAGAAGCCATGGATTATTTTCATAATCATTCAGAGCTGCAAACCACATCTGCCAATCAAGTCGAGGTTGATGAGGTACTGATGATGAAAATAAATAATAAAAAAATGAGTAATTAGATTAATTGATGACAATAATGGCAAGTAGTAAAACAAATAGTAGAATCTCAAACAGAAAGTGTCTGTTGGATGAACTCACTCAAGAACTTGGGTGCTTCATTCAATTTTCCAGGTTTATACAGGAAATTATATTCTTTCCAACCAGTTTCCAGGTCGTTAGAAGCTTCGATAATCAATTCGGGACGACCACCGACTCCAGTCATTTGACGGAAAAGTCCGTAGCTATTAGTGATGATCAAGGGATTTGAGTTGTGATGCCATTGATGGATAACTGGCGAGATCTTGGTGTACACAGATTTATCAAGTTGTCCAGTGAAGGGAATTAAGCTTATAGCAAATATGAGAAAAGCTGCTAAGCTGTAGAGAATAACTGCGACTATTCGTCCAAAACGTGCAAAGTATGATCCATGTTTGAAAGCTCTAATGATAAATATAATAAAGATTTAGAATAGAAAATATATAAGAGATAAAAATCTATATTACCTGTAAACCGATCGAATAAAGACCAACCCCAGAGAAATAAGACCGACGGTGATTGACGCATGTAACGCTTTTCCAATAAAATATTTGAGTTCAGGCTCTTGAAAGTTGACTTTGGAGGATAATGTTCTATCTTTTTCGATATGCAAATTGAATAGCTTAACAGTCTCGTACAGTATAAAGCCTATTCCAAAACTAGCTATAATTGTATCTGAGGAATTTCTCCTTGCAGGCGGAACACGATGAGACCGTCGTAGGAAGCGTGGAAAGTCAGCATCTTGCAACAAAGGTATACACAACACAATCGTAAGTAGATTGAAGAAGTTGTAATTTCCAGTTAGAATTATGCAAAATTGGAATATCACCTGAAAAAAGAGGAATGATGAAACATTAGAAATAAAATTGATTCTTGATTTTTATATCTTTGCTTATAAAAAAGCAATAATTATTTGGGATTAAAGGTGGATTATTAAACATCGGAAAGCCATCTTAAATAGATTGATTAAGATTGGTAACGATGAGAGACTAAAAAAGTAAGTCTCTTTAATAAATTATTTCCTGATAGCATTATAATCACCGAAAAGTAATTATTATGATAACTTAGAATTGCATCTTTAATCGTAAATATGTCAGAACTATGGAGTAACTTCATTCCTGATAACTTTTATCATACAAAGCATCAAGAAAATTCACGATTTTTTATGCTGCAAATGTGAGTTATCAATAATAAAGCATAAATTGAAAATATTGTGGGAATATTTACCTGAGCCCAGAAACTTATTCTTCTCAATACAGCAGGTCCGAAGAAAAAGAAAGGGATTATAATTTCGACGACGTAAGTACCAACAACACCTAATCTCAATAACCAACTGGGCAAGTGATGTGCATACCAAGAGAAGGGAGTAGGTAAACATTGGCTTTCGAAATGGTAATTAAGTGCCGTCAATCCCCACCAAGTAGGACATTTAGAGGTTAATTTGACAATTCCTGAACTAAACATTAAACGGAAAAGCAACCATTTGACGAGCCATAATGTGATTGGATCACGAGACGGTGAATGGTTAAATGAATTGCTGAATGGAGCAATTATAATACAAAGGAATCCTGCCTCAAGAAGAAGTATATCCCATTGGAACCAAAGAAATTCTTGACCGACCTGACCATGCAATACAATAAAAGCAAAAATATTAATATTGCGATTCATTTTCACATTTAACATTCAATTTACCTGATACAGGGAAAAGTACAAAATATAAAGGAGACCGAAAAGGAGTGGATTTTTAGCTTTGCTAGAAATAATAACAAATGAAGAAACGATTATCCCAGATAATGCAACTAAATCTAACATCAAATCAAAGTTTAGGCCAAGTTTAGGTGCAAGCCAAACGAGACTAGGTTTGGATTCTAAAACTTCATCCAACACAGATAATCCGCGTTTATCTAATTGAGCATAGCTATGGACAGGTAATATACCTTTATCACCAATTAAACCTAAATAAAGCAAGAAAAAGTTTGACATAGGTAAACATTGAGGACTATAGAAGGTTCTGGTGTAAGCGACACATCAGCAGCAAATCAAATATTCAAATATTCAAAAATTACCTGGTAATTGGTGATAAAGAGAAGCGAATGCAAATAAATAAATAAATCCCATGCCTGAAAGGAATACATCTCTGGTCAGGATGACCCCAAATGCCTTGTCACGACGGCCCATTGAAGCAGCTGCTAGAACACTCTATCTACAGGGAACATGAAGAAAAGTTCTAGCATTAGAATCGAGGCATATATAGCTAAGATATTCAGGCATGACATGCATAACAGATAAAAAGGACAAGCATTAATTACCAAAATAATTTAGATGATCACCGAGGGGAGCGAAAGGCTTTAAATCATACAGATGGCCAGAAGCGATAACTAGAAAAGGATAACCAAAAGAAACATTAGAAAACCAACGGAATACAGGTCTAAAAAATTTGACATTACCTTTAATCGATTGATAGTAAAGTTGAATTATATTTCTCTCATCAGAATTCAGAATAATTTACATCCTATGATGATTAAAGAAAATTAGATGATGAGACGTGATGATGCAGAGAAGAGCTGATGAATTACTTACAGAGTGGCACTGTTAATCCTAAAGATGGCAGTCTCAGCTGTTTTAACTTATAAGTCACGGAACACAAAGGTGTTACAATCTTAGATTATTGCTTTTTAATTATTAGACTATTCAAAATCAATGTAATTTAAACATTTGTGGATTTGTGTTAAGTGATATTATGTTTTATTTTGGTTAAATCAGGTATGTGCATTTATTAACATGCTAAGATCACCTCATGTTTGTCGGGTTTTCAGTTAACCGGTTTATTATCGCATGCTCAAATAATTTCAGCAACTTTCACCTTATTAAGGATATAAAAGATTAAAAATTATGCAAGTTACACAATTTTTATTAATTATTCAAAAATCTTCGCAGAAGAAGGACATTCATGCGATAAGGAATTGATCACATTAATAACCTTTATTATCTCTGAGTAATCATTGTCTTTATTTTTAAACCTAACTTCCTCATATCAATGTTTACTTGGGCCTTATATGCTTAAATCTTCTCTGCATTGATTTGAATATCCAGTCTTGGTTTATGTTTCATCCTTCTGATCAATTTGATTGATCTAGTAAGAAAATCACCTTGATTTCATTAAGTTGCCTATCACTTCGTGATATTTAAGTTCAATTCCAAGCCGAGAATGAAAACAAAGGAAATAAATATAGTCACATGATAGGCTTTTAATGTTTTCATACCAACTTGTACATTGTAAACATTTCACTCGCCATCGGATCCTTTTTTTAATTGTTATCAGTTTTGTTGTTTGAACCTCAATTACTTGAATTTAAATTGTGATTGTAGGAATTTATTGTTTTTTTAACTTGTGTTCCTTTGAAAAATCCGCTTCTATTTATATTTGTTGCGACGTATTCTTATTTACATTTTATGGTGCAAATCCTTATTCACTTTTAGATGAAGCTCTGGTCTTGGCTAAGATCTTCATGGTTTCCAACAATGCTTCCTTCGAATAATCAAAGAGGTCTTTCCAATAAAAAAGACGGAGATACTGATGAATCCTCTTGGGAAGATGACTACGACCAGCATTACTTATCAAATCTACCTTTTGTCTATCATGAAGTAAAATGTAAAAGTAAGGCCGTTTGTTTTTAGTCTCTTTGTTTACAAAATCATGCTTCTTTTTTAAATACATTGTATCTTTATATTTGCGTCCATGTTATTTTTTAGGTGAATCCAAACCTCGCCCTAGAAGTGGACATCGTATAATTACTGATTCTCATGGTAATATCTATTGTCTTGGAGGTTATAACCCGGAGGGACTTCAACGAGATGATAGTCCAAATGCTTTATTCAAAGAGCTTTGGAAATTCAATATGAGTTCTCTGAAATGGACCAAAATAAAGATGAATGGTTCACCACCTCAATTATTATGCTCTTTTGCTGCCCTTTGTATCGATGATCTATTGTTTGTTCAAGGTGGCACAGGTGTCCCTTTCGGCCGTAATGGATCAAATAGATTGTATGTCTGCCAATTGTCCACTGGATTTTGGAAAAAGTATCGATTAAAAGCAGACAATGATGATATACCACCCAAACAATATGGACAAGCTTTAGCATTTGATCCAGATGAGCTAATCTTGTACTCTGTTGGTGGTACATGTGGCCATAGTTATAATTTAGGTGTTACTCGAATCAACCTTAGAGACAATACTGCTGAGCTGCTCTATCCATACAATAATTTCGATGGACCTGGTAGTTATCGCCATGAAATAGCTCTTCACAATAACAGAATTTATTTATTTGGTGGTGGAACATCCACTTATAATATTGGTTTTGAAGAGGTAATTAATTTATTAATAGTAATATAGTTTGTATATTTGCTAACTCTACCATTCTTTTATTATTTTCAGCTGTTTTATTTTGACCTTTCCAGTAAATTATGGAAAACTATTAAAACATTTCCTGACTCAACTCATGGTCACCCCACTGCTCGAAAGTTTCATGGTTTGGTTACGCTCGATGAGCAAATTTATATGATTGGAGGAGCTTCGCACTTACCAAACGGTCTTGTCGCATTAGATGATTTATGGAGGTTTAATCTCAACTCGCTTGAATGGACTTTCATTACAAAAATACCAAAACCTGTTTATTTTCATTCAGCAACATTATCATCCTCTGGTCTAATGACAGTGTTTGGAGGCGTAGAAGCTTCTACCACAGGACGATCATTGCGTACTCAACGAACAGACGCCCTTTACACAATGTGGCTTAAAGTTCCTTCATTAGGAGAAATGGCGTGGATCGCATTTCTAAACAATTTTCCTGATGTCACTAAAATACCTTCTTCTAGATTATTAGAAATTGGAGTTCCACCTTCCTATATTGCCCGATTAAATGACTAAACTCTGCCTAATCAAGTAACAAATCATGTGTCATCAAAAATCTATCCAACCAAATGAACTGCAGGTTTATTTGCTTTTTGGATAAACTGATCAATTGCCGGTGTGATACTTTTGTACACTTCTGTTTATACATCATCTTTAATTAAATTGTCCTCAGTCAAAGTACAATGTTTCAATGTAATCACTTGGATATTTTATGTATATTAACCTGTACACTAAGATATCTTCAATGAATAATCACCGAATAACATAATGACTGATTGTATGAAAACCATAATATTTTATCATCTTTACAACTTGCACTAATTATCCGGTCAACGCAACTTTTTCAATGCACTTTTTTTCTCGCACAATTATCCATTGCTTTTTCAATTGTTACTTTTCCTCTAACATTCATCGTTCTTAATATTATTTAATTGAAAAGTGATCAAGTGCTGATTCTTTTTTTCGTGGTTAAACGATTATTTTTTTGCTGTTGATACAAAAACAAGAGATAGTCCATTACTAATCCATTGCTATGAAGATTTACTATTACAATTAGTGCATACAAAAAAGTGCTCGATTAACTTGATATTTAACAGGAATGCGAAATAATTTGAGGTTAATTTCTTAATTTATATTTATCAAGTTCACTTTTATTCATTTTAGTTCAATTTACCAGCAAATTGGGTAACGATTAGTCATTTTTTATGGATAACAATTAAAAATTGGTGATTTTTGAAGTTTAAACATCATTAAAATGCATTTGATTGGATTAAATGTAAATCAAAATGATTATCAAAAATTATATTAGTCAAAATGGATTAAGCTCAATATCGCTCTCCAATTTCCGAACAATTTAGCTGACAATTTTTTCTCTTTTTAACTAAACATTTTTTCGTGATTAATACAAAAAATTATGATTAACAATAATATTGAGCATAACCATTACTTGAACCATTAAATTCTTATTGATTCAATTACCAATTCCTAAATTGCTTCCGAAATTGCTATACATAACAGAATGAAGAAACTAATTCAATACATTTAACCATTAACTTAAGCTATTATTGTTAGTAAACACATCTTCACAATAAAATCAATTTCAGCAATTTGTTCTTCTTTTAAATCAACTGATTTGATTTTTTAAAAAAAACCATTTATCAACAATTTACTGATTGACTTGATTTGCCCTTGGATAAGTTGAATAGTTCATTGAATTTCAATTATTTGCATTTTTAATGCAGTCTCAATGAAATATTCAAATATAATCACCAATGATTATCAGGTTTAATTAGTGTAAGGTCAATTGGATATTACCTAAATTAAATGTGAAAATTGAACGTTTAGCCTGATTGTTACATAAAATCAAACATGTAACTGACTCGGTTAACAGCAATGTTAATAGATCTGGAAAGCATAGACAATTTACATAAGAAAAAATTGTTAATCAAACCAATCGATTCTAAAGTAATGCTAATTCATTCAACAATCTAATCAGCAATCAAGAATTTTAAGTTTGAATTTTGGTAGATTAATCAATGATCCCTAGATTTGCCAAAATAACCAAATATTGTGTTCATTCACATATCATTACCAGATTGGCAATTTGTATCAATATAAAGGATTTGGTGACTTTAAGTGTGGATATTTTTATTCATTGGAAACTGCTAATTAGTAAAAGTTAATTGTTGTCTTTTTTGCATAATTTGGTGAATAATAATGATATCATTAAGGACAGTAAACACCAATCAAACACTAACACACTACACACAAGATTGAGATTGAAAATGTAAACAAATGTGGCTTGTCTTTCAACACCATTTAATTTATGGTACCACAATCAAGCTAATCACTAAATATTATATCACATAATTTATTAACTAATTATCTGGTAGCGTTTTAACAACTAATTTAAAGAAGGGAACAAAAAATAAAGCAAATATTGATGATAATCAAATAAACACTGAACAATGACAAGCAGCACCAACTACACTTTACCTGCCTCAATATCATCATTTTTACCTTTACGTTTATAATCCAATCTCCTCCTGTTTACTTGGCTTTTACACTCATTTTTGTCACCTAAAACATCATGTTGTTGGTGATCATCATGATGATCAAAAATTAAAAAATACTATCACCACCAACCTCACCAACAACTTACCTTTTTTTGTCATCTTTTTTCTTCTTATCACGTATCGATACAATTTACAGTTGAGTTCGACCTTTAAAATTAACTTCCTTCAAATTTTTAAAAACTCCTTCCTTTGCACTTGTTAATCTTCTTCTTGATGGATTTATTTCACCATCATGAACAATTTTCACCTAATAATAAGGCTTAATACTAACCTTTTTTATCCACTTTTTTGGGTAGCAAAAGTGCACAACATTTTAAAACAAAAAGCTAAACACTTTCAATGGTAAAAGTTGGCTCCACCTTTGTATAATGGAAACAACGAAGATCACAAGATAACAAATTGAAATAATTATATGTTCGTGATTATGACGTTTCTGTTGATATAATTTGATCACTTTTAGTATATAAGAGCGGTTTCGGTCAACTTTAAGATCACAACTTCAACTGTTGACAAACCAACAACAACAACAACAACAACAACAACAACAACAACATTAGAAAAGAAAAAGTGTTTCTCATTAGTTCAACTTGTAAACTCTGACTAACCGTTTCAACTATGACAAAGGTTTGTTCCATCTGGCTCTTTGTGTAACTCTTTCAATGTTTTCAAGACTAACTTATATGTTCAGGATTATTGTACAAAATTGTTAACCATCAAATGATTTTCTAACTTCTATCATGTGCCTCTCTATTACCTGATCTCTTGAATATTTCATCTTGTTTCACCTAGTTTAACACTTACCCATCTTTTTGTTTCATTTCATTCAATTGATTAGATTATTTATTTGGCTGCTTCTTTATTGATTGTTGGAGTAATTTCCAGTGCTCAAGCCAAGGGTTGGGATAACCACCATGGTGGCCACAGTAACACCTATAGAAAGCAAGATGTAAGTTTATGGACATGGACTTGGATGAATCTTATGAACGTGCTGTAAACACAGCACCGTGCCTTATTGTGAACAAGTCAAACAAACTAATCTTACTCGAGCTAATTTTACCTTTACCTTAAATCATGTTCTTCTTCTAGGCTTGGGGAAATTACAAATTCGGTTATGATATCGTAGATGGTTGGGGAGCCAAAAACTCACGACACGAAGAAGGAGATGCTTGGGGAAACAAGCACGGTGAATACACCTTAAAGGATGTCGATGGCCGAGAACGTCGTGTTCAATATGTTGCCGACAAGAAGGGTTTCCGTGCGAAGATCAAGACCAACGAACCTGGAACCGGATCAATTGATGCTGCTGACGCTATCTACAATGGACCAGACCCCCACACTCACGGGTAAGTTAACTGTGAATGATCACCATACAAGAACAGTGCAACAAAAATTTCTGAAGGAAAAGTAGTGAATTAGATTTTATAAATGCCTCAAGGATTTACATTTACAAAAAATTCCTCACTATCTATCTTGAACCTTACCTGATATTTCGAAAAAGATTCAGTTTTTAAAAATATTCCACTTTATTCTCCTTTGTAGAAACACTCATGTTCCATCAGGATGGAAAGGTCACAGCCACGGTTGGGATGGACACCACGGTCACGGTCATCACGGCCATCACGGTCATCATGGACACCATGGATGGGGACACCACGACAGTCACGGTCACCACGGCCACGACAGCCATGGCCACCACGGTCATCACGGTCATCATGATCACGGACACCATGGTCATCATGGACATCATGGACATCACTAATTTATCAAACCTCGCATCATCATTATATCACATGTTTTTAAGTATTTGTATAAAAAAACCAAAAAATGTACATTAGCTAGATAGTTGTTTAAAAAAACTATTTTTTATAACAATATTAAAAAACGTTAGACCGCAAAAAAAATTTTCAATAAATAAATTTAATTTAAATGTCAAATGTTCAATGTTATTTTGTTACAAGTAGATCAACAAAGTGGGTCCATTAACAGCCAATCACAATACAAACACAATTATCATCGTCAAATTAAAACGCTTCATCATTCCATCCACCATTACCAATGTTTATAACTCTTTATTAATAGTCTGTGATCCTAAGCTTTCATTTAGTGTTCTTGATCCTTTATCCTGTTCAACAAGCTAAACAAAGTGTGTTCTATTCTCTTTTATTCTCAAAATGGTTGTACCGGTCATCCAAGAGCAAGTGAAAAACAAGGAATTACTCATCGAAGTTGATTCAATTGTCAACGACAATAAAGATAACCTGGCCAATGTATCGCTATCATCAAACGATTCATTAAGTAAAAGTCGCAGGAAATGGAGACTCATCAGGATCATCAACAAACTGAACCCAGCATTAGCCGAAAGGAGATATCAATTTCCCACCTTTAAGTTCTTTTTCGCCTTGTTTTTGATTATTTTAACCAGTATGGTCATCTATTGGTCAATTGCTTCTCGTTCTGTGGCCAACTCTCAACCAGACTGTCCTTCATCAATATCATTGAAATCATCAGCCCCACAACCAGTGTCACCCTCACCAACCCCACAAGTATCACCACGTATACCAACAAAGATATCACTTCAACCATCAACAACACCATCACCACCAATTTATGATCCACCGGCATACTATACTTCTTATCCGGTAACATTTTCTAAAGTCCAAGTTGATGATGAAGAAGATAATGATGAAGAAGCTGATTCCTGGGTCCCTATTGAGTTTTCTGAGGAACCTATCCGAGGGTACGAACCTCCACCTTATTTTCCTGATGAAGAATTGTTTGATGTCTTTGATTATCCTAATTCAGAGGAACTCACTTTCAAATTTCCTGACTCTTTCGATGATTTGCCAGACTCATTTGCCCTGAGATCTACTGGTGTCAATGCTGATGCAGTCATGAAATCTGTCGACAAATTTATCAATTTTTTTAAATCAATGATCAACTTTTAATCATTATTCTGTACAATCGCTCTTTTTATTTATTTTTATCCCATTATCTTCTCATAGCAATGCTTGTCAATCATGTTGATCTTCAATCTTGCTCTTCATTTGTATTATTTTATTTCAAAATGTCAATCCAAAAGGATTGATTGAAAAAATAAGATTTCTTAGAAATTATAAACTCAATTCAAGTGCAAACGCTTTTATCACCATAATTGAAAAATTATTTAACCCTTGATTCAGATGGGTTTATAATTTGGTCAGGTCAAAAGAGTCATTAATGGTTAAAAGCCTAATTAAACAGCCCAATTCAATTTAGCATCGTCAAAACCAATGAATCGGTTCATTTGCGGTTACTTTTGTATTCATCAATTTCCAACTGACTCACCATCGGCCAAATCATCTTCCTTTTGTGCTCACCATTAGTTAACATTAATAAAAAGGATTTGCAAAAGATCAACTCAATTTGTTTTGTCTTTTGCTGTTATAATCAACTTTTGAATCATAGTCACAAGTTGCAGTCTTTTTTATCTTCGTTTCCATAGTCACACTGGTATAAACAGTATTAACGTCTTTACCGCTTATCCCTTGTTTTTGCCTTCTATTGTTAATTTTGATTGTGATTTAAATCAAGCAAACCTAATTTACCAGTTTCTTTTTAAACACAGAACCTATTGGTTTGAACAGCCTGGACCAAAAGATTTCACCAGTGAAATGATCTACCTAAAGTTATTCGGTTTAACTTTATTATTCTCTCTTGTTTCAACCTTTTCAACGCCAATTCCAGCCAATTACACTGTTTTTTGGTATCAACAAAAGGTGAGTAAATCCATTTTGTATTAAAGTGTACCTCTAGAGATCAATTTAATAACCCAAAACCCACCTTGATCCCTACTAGAACCCTCTAATCCAACAATTTAGCTTTGATTTGCTTCTGCAACTTATTTTTGAGCTTCAGCTAACTTTACATTGGTGTTTTAACACTGGTTTGTATGGCAAGTCTGGTTTTTGCTTGATGTGTTAAAGCTCGCATTGGTTGTTGAGGTTGAGATTCTTTAGTGTTTGAAATTCATAAATAATGAAACATTAATACATATTCCTTTTAATCTTAATTGTAATTCAAACATTGATTAGTTTACTTTGTTTGCTAACAAAATCATTGAACCAATCTTATTTGTATACAATTGAGATTTAGCTAAGCTTCATTAATACTTATTAATGATAGTTATTAGTTCATTTTGAATAAAGTTAATCACTGCCTAATCTAATGGAGCTTGACAAATTATTATTGAAGTCAAAGTATATCATTTTTTGGTTTAACCTTTATCGGCTATTCCTTCCACTATTGACGCCCTTGTTAATGATTTTTGGGTTAATCAAATCAATATTCATAGGAATGTTAATTCGCCATCTTCAATATTCAATATTGATACAAGCTAAATGCAATCATAATTGCTCAACAATTAAGAGAATAGTCATTTGTTTTAATGTTTCATTTCCCCGTAGATTAACCCCTGTCTTTAAGTTGATATATGGTTAGTGTCTTCAACCTGGTAGGTAATTATTTCCTTATTACTAACAGTTATTTTAATTGTTGTTTAGTTATTGTTAGATATTTGATGTTATAACCTGGACAAATTGAGTAGTCAATCAGAGTGCAGGGTTTAACAAGTAAACTGGGAAGTGAGGGTAAAAACAAGGAAGATGAAAATAAAATTTATCAACAATTAAATGGTGTTATGATTAGATTAAAGGAAGCGTTTAAAGGTTGATTCTATTGATAGTAAATGATATGATTGTTAAGCACTTTTTCAATTGTTCCAATACAATTAATAATTATCGCTGTCCGATTGGATACGATGTGTTGTCCAATTCAAGAAATGGATATTTGACTCAATTTTATTTTCCACCAAGAAACTGACCAACTAATGTCTTATTTTTTCTTATTTTCCGCAGGTTGACCATTTTAATTACATCAATAATGACACATTTCAACAAAGAGTAATCATATCAACTGACCATTGGTGTACAGATGGATGTCCGATATTTTTCTATGCCGGAAACGAGGGCGATGTCTTCTCGTTTGCCAATAATACCGGTTTCATGTGGGAAAATGCACCAAGATTCAAAGCCATGGTTATTTTTGCTGAACATCGTTATTATGGTGAATCATTACCCTATGGTGATAAATCATTTGCAGTATGTAACAATAAATCACCATGAATTTACTCTAAGAGTCTACATTAAGAGTGATACAAGAAATTATGGCTTGTTTCATTGACGAATCTTGTTGCTCCAGACATGTTAGACTCTTTAATCAAGTCTCTGTTTAACTTTACACAAAGTCAATTAACTGTTTTTTTTCTTCTTCTTCATGATGCTCTTCTTTCAATCCACAGAGTTTAGATAAATTAGGTTTTCTTTCGGTTGAACAAGCTTTGGCAGATTTTGCGGAGCTTATACAAGAAATCAAAGTAAGCTATCCAGCAGCTAGGAAAAGTCCTGTTGTTATGTTTGGTGGCTCTTATGGTGGAATGTTGGCTGCCTGGTTCAGAATAAAATATCCCCATCTAATTGTCGGGTAATGTATATAAAAGATAGTAGATCAGTTACCATTAATTAAATCATCATTTTTCAGCATTTTTTTTCATATACTGACTTGTTGAATTAACCTTTCTTTTTTTTATGTTACTCTTCGTACAGTGCATTAGCTGCATCAGCTCCAATCCTCCAATTTCCTGGTTTATATGATTGTAATGGATACAATAGTATTGTTACCAAAAGCTTCCGTTCATATTCAGAACAATGTTATCTTTCCATTAAAAATTCATGGGATGCTATTCAAAGAGTTGGTTCCAATGGGGCTGGATTAAGATGGATTTCGGATAATTTCAACCTTTGTAAACCCTTGTCCAATTCAAGTGACCTAAATGATTTCTCCAGCTGGCTTCAAGATACTTTTGGCAGTTTAGCCATGATTGACTATCCTAATCCTGCAGACTTCTTGGAACCTCTTCCAGCCTATCCAATCGGGGTAAATTGATTAATCAATCCCATTGATGGAAACAAAAGCAAATTACATCATAATTAGCTGGCTTCGGTGAATCTTAGAATTGAACTGATAGACTGATGTTAAAGCTTGTTCAGCAAAAATTATAACAGGGTTAATTATCAGGCTATCAACAATAACTATATTGATTAACCTTATGATACAATTTTTTTATCTCAAATAATTGATTTTATCATTTCAAATGGGATAAAAAAATCAATCAGTCATGTCGATCAGTTAATTGTTACAAATTGTTAATCGTAGACTTAATTACCAATTATTTTTATCTTATTACTGTTGCCTTTTATTTAGTGATCTCTATGATACTAATGCATTTCAATTGAACAAAGGTTAACTGTTGCTAGCTGTAAACATTGAAAAATGGCAGCAAAAACGCACAACTTATAATTTGCTAATTGCTTTTACTGATCAACGTATCTTTTTTAATTCAATTGGTCAATTAATCTTCTTCTGTTTCTCTTCATTTCAGGTTTTATGCTCCAAGTTGCCTGATTCAACTAAACAAGATAAACCGTTGTTAGTCGATCTTTACCAAGCTATCTCAGTCTACTACAACTATTCTGGACAAAGATCATGCTTTGATTACAGAGATAACTCTGAAGGAGGTAAGAATCCTTTCAACCTTTTAACATAACTGACTAAATCAACTCAAAGTGACAAGAGAAAATAAGAAAACTTCAAGAAAGTTCATGAGAAAAGCGCATGTTGACAAGCTGTTATTGACTTTAAATCTTCACCTACATTTTTTTCATAAATTCAATAATTTCATGCGACACTCAATTTTAAACTTGACATAATCTTTTCAAAACAAAATTATCATTTGCATAATAATGAAATATTTTCACAATTTTGTTTCTTGAATTTAGTAAATTCAACTGAATCTATCATAAATTGTAAAGACTCTGCCAAAAAAAAGTCAATCAGCTATTTGAATTTTTTATTCATAGTTCAACATATCGATTTTATTGTAATGAAACAAATTTCCTACAATTGGACATCTTAACACATATTATCATTTGAATTTATTGTTATTTTCTCATTTTCTCCTCTTCCATTCATTTTGGATTACTTTTTTATGTAAATTTTCATATAATGTAACAATGTACTTCATATTTATCTAATATATTTTTCTGTTTACCCAATTTAATTATTTCTATTTGTATCCATTACAGGTCGATTAGGTGGTGATGGCTGGGGATTCCAATCCTGTACTGAAATGGTTCTACCTATTTGCAGTACACTCAACGATTCAATGTTTCCTCAAGCAACCTGGGATCTGAGTCAAGTTAAAGCTGATTGTGTTAAAACCTATGGTGTTGCACCCGAAGAGTCTAAAGCTCTCTGGCTATTTGGTGGGGAAAACATAGCTTCAGCATCAAACATTATCTTCTCTAACGGTGCTCGAGATCCTTGGTCAGCCGGAGGAGTCCTGAAAAATACTTACGCTGAAACACTTATAGCCATAATTATTGAAGGAGCTTGTCACCACGAAGATCTCAGATCAACTGGACCAAATGATCCAATCCCACTGATTCGAGCTCGACAAAGGGAAATAATTATAATAAAAGATTGGATTGATAAATATTATCAAGCAATTAACCACTGGCCAGCTGAATGGAGCAGAGATTCAAATCTTATCTAATTACTCGGGAGGCACTCAGAAGAGCCAAAACAAAACAGCCAAATTCAAAATAGCCAAAAGTATAAGATTTATAATTGCATAAAAAGAGTCAAATTGAACAATTAAAAGCTTTCAATATGACTATTTAGATCTTTGATTGCATTATATATTCAAAAATAATAAAAAATTGACATCAATTAAACATAAACTCGATTTATCAAACCAAATATATTTGGCCATTTTGCATTTGGCTGTTTTGTTTTGGCTCTTCTGAGGTGCAACCAATTACTCAAGTTGCTCTTTTGAGGTTTTTTTAAATGAATAACTAAGTCTATCAAAACTATTGATTTTTTCAAATTCGCTAATCAAAATGACTGTTTGTTAGCTTTTTTTGTCCCTACAGACTATAATTTTTAATAAATCCGTTTCATGGAAAGTGATTTCAATAATTTATGGTTAATCAATTTGGGAAAAAAATGGAACAATTGAGGTTCTCTGAACAGTTTGAATAGCAAATCATCGAGCTAAAAGAGTACATTGACGCTGAACCTGAAACATCTGATTGTGAACTAAATGTTAGTCACTTCACCAGCTAATTGAAACAAATGATTTATTAACAGATTCCTAAATCATTACCAATCAGTAGCATTCGGGTTAACACAAGTGAAACATTTCAGTGAACTTTGCAATTCTAAACTGTTGAATGTCAAAAATGGCTGCGATTTGTTCATATAAGAGTTGGTTATTTCAACTATAAATATTTCAGTGTAAAAAAAGCTGTTTTCTCCTAATTAATGTTGATTTTTTTCCTCTAAGTAAATTATGATTAATGATTTGTACTGAGAAAGAATCAAGGTTACCTTTATCTTGACCTGGCAAGGTTTCACAAATGAGTAAATAGTGATTAACATTTTAAATGGTTCATGAAGATGAGCTACTGAAACAAACAGAAGCACACACACACAGAACCTTCAATCAGATGATGATAATGATGCTGATAAGGAGGAGGAGGATAAATTCTTGGAAAGTCAAACAAAATATATTGGATGGAGTGAAAAAGCAAAAAACCAGAGCAAGAGTGTTAAGTGTACTTTACTGCATTTCTGTTGCTCTCTGTAATAAGACGAACATGGCAAAGAAAGTGGAAAATGTCTGATAAACTTGTTAAGAATTCATCTGAATAACCTAAATACTTTCCTGATTCCATCATCAATCTCGTTCTCAGTCTCTCACAAAATATTGAAGTTTATGGTGGTTCAATTGAAGACGTCAATAACATCAAACAAGTTGATGCATCTTTGATTGACTCAAGTTTAAAGGTTTCATAAAGTTAATCAAAAATGATCAACATGATAATAGAATCATGATTTATATCATATCCATGTTGATTTAAAATATAAAAAGGATTCAGAGGACAGGAAAATCTCCAAACACTGAAAATTGAATGAGAGCTGAAAACCAGAAAATATTATCATGAAAAGCTACTGGATTTGATGATTGGAAAGATGTAGCTGGTGATGAAAAGCTAAATGTATGTGCAACTGGTTAAAAATTTGGGTTTACTCTGCCAAAATTAGCTGATTGTGCCAGGTTTTTTGTTTTCATTTTTGCACAATTGTCATGCCTTAAAAATGGCAATATTAATTATCTTTTCAGGCTAAACATGATCGGTGTAAACAATTTCATCTCTCACTATTTAATTATCATCGTCAACTCACTTTTCTCGATCATCTTCGCCTTCTTTTTTTTGCCATCATCTACATTTTATTTACACCATTTGTTTACCTCAAAACTGTGCATCTCTAGGCTTTAAGACTGTTGCCTTTTTTGCCTTTAAATCACTAATTTCCATTACTTTTACTTTGTTTATTGTGTTTAAAATTGAACATTTATTTTAACCAACAGTCAATCCAATCGTTTAATCATTTATTGATTCACGGTCATTTAAGTTGATCACTTTTATTGGTTTCATTTGTTTTCTTGGCATCTATACATTAAAGCTGTTTATTTTCCCTTCAATCTCAAGTTTGCCTTTGTTTCTATTTTCACCATCGACTATTCCTACTGGTCATTATCATTGTTTTTTTTGCTTTACTCCATTATTATGGCAATGAAGGAAACTGTCAACGGAATTGATAACAGAATCGATATAAATAATAATAATAATAACAATAATAATGATTCTGATGAAGAAACGTACGAATATGTTTCACTTTCAGAAAGGATTGCAAGCTACCAAAAGAAACTAGAAGCTGAACAAAGGAAGCTTGAAAAACCATGTAAAACAAAATCAGAGTGAGTTTTGTTTCTTTTTTTTCCTCCTCATCCTTTTTTATCTTCTTCTTCCTCTTTTTTTACCTTCAAATTTAATTTTATATCCTTGTTACATCCCCATCATCTTGTTTCCTCTTCAGCATCATTCAAGGCTCAACTAAGTTGTACTTTAGAGCAACATCTAGATACTTTTAGAAATCTTTTTGATTTACTTTTCAAGTTTTCAACTCTCAAGATTTCAGTCTAATAATGAATACAACTTTATACTTTTTAGTTATTAGATTGAGCCTTTCAAGGCAACCTAACAATACAAATGGTAAAGTAAAGTTGTCACAATTTGTTCACCATTCAATTTAACTCATTCATCATTACATACACTATCATCATGTATTGAACCAGTGTTTTGGGTCCAGTTAAGGGTTCAATATTGGTTACAAAGTTTGTTTCCCGGGAAAAAACATTTACTGCTTTAAACCTTTTCAGGTTAAGCTGTAAAGGTGTAACTAGGCTTTAAAGGTGAACTTTCAAAATACAGGTTAAGATGAATTGATCCTTGTGTTTTGTCTTTTCAAAAGGTAAATATTGATCCCCGTGTAATTTTTGTAATGATTACAGAATAAATCTTACATTCTGCCTTTCCATCCATAGACTTTGCTTTGTACTAAATAATTTTCAGTTTACATTTTATATTATCAAGATTGACATGAGGCACATTATCAAGCTTTAAGATTCACATTTTTTTGGCTCATGATGCCACCGATAATGATGATGATAAGTTATCTTTCTTCTTTTACTCCTTGAGATTCCTTGGACTGATTATTCCCTGTTGTTATCCTGAATTATTCTGTAAAGTAAAAGAGATACAAAAAAGAGTAAAATGTCAAATCTAAATACACTCAAAGTTTCAAGTGAAACTAACGATGAGATGAATAAGATCACTCATTTTTTCTCGTCTACTTTTCATTTTAAGCAAGCTTAATATTCATTCTTACCTTTGCCAATCTTTAAGTCAATCAATCTTCAGAGGTTTAATTGAATCAGATCCTTGATCGTTTGATTGTGATGAAATGAAGAGACAATTCAGCTCTTCAGGGAAAAGTATTCATGATAATTTTCAATTATGATGAGAAATGGATGATAGAAAGGTTGTTATTTTGATTGTTAAATCAATAAATCAATGGTACAATATAATTGGATAAAATATTTGGCAAAAAAATAATTTAATCAGCTGAAACCTTTTCATCAATCTATCGATAATAGTTCGATATTGATATTTCCCACTGATTGGGAAATGTTTGTTTGAATAAAAATGCCATTAATTTTACATTAACTCATTTCAGTAATTTTTGATTAACTCGTTTGTTAATTTATCTTACTTATAGTGGATTTTAACATGATTATTTAATCATTAGGAACACCTTGCTTCCATTAATTAGTGTCTCTTGGAGAGGTGAGATTGATGTTGAATGGTTAATCAGCTGTTAAATCTAAACTTGTGTACAATGTGCTATTGTTTTTGTATCCCTTGATCACTACACTGATTAATAAGTAGTTTATGATTTAAAATATAATACAATATTTTTAATTACAATTGATTAACCATTAGTTTGATTGGTTTATTTATTGATGGTTTCTTTTTGCTTTACTCTTTAGTTATGGAAGACCATTGGAAGGATCAAAAACTCAAGCAAGAGGAATCAAAGCTTACGATACAATAGCCCAAGAAATACGTGATTTGTGTACATTCATTGCTAATAATGGAACCAAAAATGACGATAATACAATTACAATTACGTTTGGTCAACTTTTTGAGGTAAAATATTGGCCCTCAATAGTGTCTTTATTAAATAATTGGATAAACCAAAGGCTAACATGAATACACAATTAACAATTAACATGTCCACCGCTTTAAAAAAAACTGAACCAATAAACCTTTAGGAAGAAGAAGAAGCCAGAAGTTTAACACAATGGATAACCAGACGATATTTATCACTTTTAAATTGCTATTATTAGCAATGTAATAATTAACACGATACTCCTAAATTAATGTGATTGTTTCTATCCCATAATATCATCATACATCAAGTTAATTGCTTGTTTTCAAACACAAATTGTTTAACCATTTTTTTGTCACAACTCTTGTTTTCCCATCTTTGCTTCATTCATGTATTTAACATGCTTGTTTACTTTGTTGGTGCAAAGAGTAAATGATAAATGTTATGAATGACAATTTGTTTGCTTCTTCTGATGTCAGCTTGAAATAAGTTTATCTAGTTGATTCCGATTCTTACATCTACTTTACGTTGTGAATAATAAATCAAGGTAAACACACCCAAATATGTACATTTTATAAATGTTGATGTGATTCACCCAATGTGTATAAAACCGTAAGTTGAGTTATATTCATATTAACCTCGCCTACCAAACATCAAACAGCTATCAATTGTAAAAGTCATTCTGATTCTTGATTTCAGCCAAAAATAAATTTCTTACCAATGTTTAAATGATGCTTGATTAATGAAGTTATCAGATTATTAAAATGAATACTTATTTCAATAAGAAACAATATTTACTCTCTATTTGTTTCAATAATTTCTTGATGTAATCAAATATTCTTGAAAGCTAATTTACTTCCAAATTAACCACATTATATTTAATATTTACATTCCTTGATATTCACAATAATCATGATAATATTGTTGAACCTTTTCCTGCTGTTGCCCCGAAAATATTGTAATCAAAAAGTGAGAATATCTAATGTTAGTCAATTTAAATCAAAACTGGTTCAATGATTTGACAAGCTAAATCATTTGTACTTCATTAGTATTCAGTAAATCAAAAAATGACAGAAAAAAAGTGACTATTATTTGTCAATCACTTGATTTAATGAGAAAATGTTGAACAAAATTGAAATTTGTACTTTCAAGTAATTATCAGATCTTTAAAGGATTGTGATCTTTTAACATGATATGAATAAAAAAGGATATCTGATCTGCAAATCCTGCAAATGTCAACCTTAAACCCTTTTGTATTTCAATAAACAAATCCTTTTGACAGATAAATGTAATTAAAATAAAAACCAACAACTCTAATTACCATTTAAATTAACCCTTACAACTTTACTGTTTACCATACTGTCAAGTTATGTGAAAGTGAAAATGCCATGTTTAACCAGTTGACAATAAACTAAACAAAGAAACCAACCCGTTTATAACCAAAAGGTAAACCCAATCAATTTTTTGTTACAATTAACAAATCTACCAAATTGATCATCATTTCCACTCAGTTATTCAACTGCCAATCAACAAATAGACCAATTGCTGTTTATAAATTGATGAATATACTTTTTTATTAGAGTTTATAAAAGGCAAAATGTTAGGCCTAATGTACCTTTGTATGTGTTCAGCAAATGTGTGTAACAAACCCTAAACCTAACCTTTCAACCTAACAACATTTTAAGGTCATTTAAACATAATACAGCCTGTAACCTTTCAAATAATCACCTACACATATTAAGTTTTAATATGAATAATCTAAATATTCACCTAAACCCATAATCATTTCCTAGATAAAGGTTCATTTCCAAAACATTTAACCCTATTTCAATGTTACATCTTGTCCTAACTCACAACATTATAAAGCAACCCTTTTTATATACCAGAAAAAAAAGGTTAACCAAAACCAATTTAATCAACTTGGAAGGCCATTATAAATCTGTAATCTATGTGAATAACAATTAGACAAAGCTAAACTGAAACCCAAAATCTGGTTAAACCAAGCTTCATTCATATGTTTAACAGGTTAAAACCTAAACCAATAAGTGAAACCAAGAGTTATAGTGAAATATATAATTAATATTTACTCTATTACCTGTGTATGCTGATCACTATTAATATCAGTATTAGTATTATTATTATACAACATACTTTGAGTAAATATTTATGAACTACTCGAGTTTATCATGAACAAGGAAAAAAAACCTAAAACTTCTTTTGTGCTTTTACTCATCTTATATAATAACTTAATATCTCAAACTATCAACTAGTCTTGATGGTAATAATAATCATAATGGAAACCTATTCGTAGGGCAACAATTAATTTATGGTTGACTGATAATTAAGGGAAAAAACAAGAGTTGCTTTTTTTACTATTATTTCAATGAGCATTCATGTTGCTCATGAATGTTCATTGTCTCGAATCATTAGTTTTATACTCATCTTGATGATGGACTAGATGGGAAAAGATGGTTAAATTAACCAAATATCATGTTGATTATCATTTAAAGACACAATGAGAAGAGGTGAAAGGATCATGATTATTATCATATTTTCACATTTCCTTGATTGACAATTTATTAACAACATTCACCTAATATCGTTGGTTAAATCATTATTAGGTTTTTGTTTTCAACCCAAATATCCTTAGACATTGAATATTGACAAAATGATTGACTAGCTTTTCTGGTGTTGCTTTATTAACTCCATGATTGATGATCAAAGATTTACCAATTTGAATACATTCACTGCAATCTGGTTCAAATGTCTGTGTTTGAAACATGAATTTAATTTCATTTCAACACTTGAACTTAATTAATACCATTAGTTTATTAAATATCTGATTATGATTGGTTTCTTTATTCTCAATCCATTGAGTTTAAGTAGATTCAACCTTTTCAATTTGATCACTTTTCACTTGGATATTAATACAATAAAAATGGTTAATAAAGAGTTGGTTCATTCAATTTTGTCCCATTTCTTTGGATCCATTTCATTTCTTTTCTTTGCCTTCAAATTCATCATTACAGTTACGTTTCGTGATCAGAATATCTTGAAACTGAATAGCTCAAGAGTCGAATTGTTTTCTACAGATTGACGAAAAAAAGCTATTCATTGAGATTTGTTCCAGTTGCCACTGAATGTTGCCAGAGAAAAAGTTGATCATAATGATTATATTATTGATACAAGCATACAAGTTGACAATCAAAGCAAGGCAAATACAATACAAAAAAAGTAAAGTTACTATCAGAATCTTTTCATTTCATTTCAGAATTATTACTCTGTTTTTTTCATCCATTCAACCTTTTGATTGTCGATACATTCCCAAAGTTAAAGGTAATATTACAAGGCAAGGCGAAAAATGAAAATGCTAGTTGACAATCAGTCATCAAAATGATGATAATAATAGTTAACAATGGAGTAAAAGTGAACATTTGACTGAGTCTTTTCATTGAAACATCTTTTTACCTTTACCTTTTAAAATTTCAATCAGTCGATAACTTTCCTATTTTTAACCTTTTTGAATATGTTATACATTTGATATTTTGGGATCACCTTTCAAACATCATCAAATGCCATTGGTGTTTTATTTGTTTATGATTTGCTGTTGATTTGTATAATGCCTGGCATGACAGACGACACACATTGAGGGTGATGTCAACAATGTGCTAAAATAAATGTTGAATGTTCAGTTATTTGCCCTCTAGTTGTGAATACTTCACATAACACATTAAAAGCTAATGTTTACATCAATCCATATTTTTACTCTTTCCGATTTCCATCCTTGAAACTCCAACTTCCTGAAAATGATTCAATGTAACCATGTTGTCTCTATTTTTGCGTTCATTTTATTGTCCAATCGAATAATCATTTCTTTCTCTTTTTTATCCATTTTCCCTGGTCAATCTTTATTTGGATCTGGATGTCCATTGGATCTTGATTGGTAATCATCATTGGTAATCATCTGGTTGGCCTTCCAGTCTTATGAAATGTTATCCAATAAATTGGTTGGAATCTTGTTGAGAGCTTGTAAACATGGTTTTGTTCATTTTGAGGGTGAAATTTTGTACCAAAGACGAGATGATGGTGTTGTTATAACACTATTGAAAATGCCTCCAGATGATTTCAAATTGGCTTATTAACAGCATCCAAAACAATTGGCTGGTGACAAAAACAAAGTTAACCAGACGAGTTGTAAATTGGTGACGACAAAGAAGACAATATTGCTGGCAATTCAACAGCTTATTAGCATTGCTTATTTTTTTCAATCAACCAACATAAAGGACTACAGCTAAACAAAAGGGTTTTTCATCAAGAGAACAAATTGAAATTAATTATTTTCCAAATTTATAATTCTACGGATTATAAAAGCTCATTTAAAGCTGTGCAACTTTACCTTTTGAATTACCTCCAAGAAGACACTCACACGTAAACAAAAATGTCATTAAACTGGAAAAAAACTGAATAATAAACAATTGAACATTTGTTCACTTTTCATTACAAAAATGAACCTTTTGTGCGAATCCTTTTTTCACTTGTTTGCGTATTTGCCAAATGCAAGTCCACCATTAATATTGTCTAATAACAGTCATATGTTAATCTTTAAAAAGGCAAGTTTCATCAAATATTAATATCGGCTGGTTGTTCAATCCATCCATGGACTATCTTCAAGTCAATCAAATGAAGCCAATGAGTTAATGTTAACCTAAACAGAAGGCAAAAAAAAGTATTATAACATGGAGATGTAAACAAATGAGAAAAGCATAAATAAGCAAAACAAATGTAAATACAAAAGCAAATTATCAGTTGATTGTTACCCTCTTCAAGAAATAACCTTTTTCCTGCTATTACATATAAATATATATGAATACAAAGTTTTCATATGTAGTTACCATGGAGTGAATATAAGATAAGGTTAACCTTCATGTTTTCATTCCCAGTTAGACTCTCCTGGCTTTTTTATACTCTCATGATAACATTAACTAAGGATTTTGCGTCGACTTTTCTTCCTTTACATCTTCCTATCTTCTTCAATCTCTCTCTCTCTTTATTTCTCTTCATACTTGTGACATTTACACCAGATTATTTCAGCATTCAACATCAGATTTTTCTGTCCACCTGATATTAAACACTTTTGTGAACAGCATTCAAAAGTGAGTCTCAGTTGTCATCTTTCACTGGAAACTTTCGCCTACTTTTTTCCTTAACAGTTCAACTCACTGATTCTCTCACTCTCTTCACACCATTATCATCAGTATTTTTATCAACATCATCTTCATTGTCCTCTTCATTATACAACTTGTTTCATCAACATCTTCAACTTATCACCAACACTATCTTGACTAGAGCAAATCAAACGGAGTTAACTCAACGTTTATTCAAGAAAATCTTGTATCTTTACTCTTCACTACCTTTGATATCTATCATTACCACTATCATTATCATCAGTGCCTTTATTCATTAACAATTTATGCTTTGTTAACTTGATAATAGGGTTAAATAAAGAAAAGACTGAAGACAATCAACATTATCTTTTAGTTAATTCAAAAAGTGGAAGAAACAGCAACAAGAAGAAGAAGAAAAAATAGGAAAAGCAAAAAATCTACTTACATCGACATTTCCTGCAGTGCGAAAACTCTTTTTGTTTGTTTGTTTTACTTAATCATCTTTTTTTAGATCAACATCGTTATCCATCTTTGCTCGGTTTATCATCATTATAATCATCACTATCAACAGCTACTAATAGATACCACACAGTGAGATAATCAGTGTTTTAAAAAGGTAGTCACTGAGTTCATCTTTGTGTTTAAAGGATATAAAGTTTCAGATTTTCTTCAATGGAATATCCTGTATCATCATCTTCTTCGTCATCTTCCCCTTTATCTGCGTCTTCGTCTCGGTTAAGTCCTCGAAGGGCACCTCTACACTATGAAAGAACCGGTCCAACCGGACGTCGAAGTCCATCCATTTCTTATGTCGATGCAACTGGAATTAATTCATTTTCACCTTCACCATCAGGTCCTCCTTTGACCCTTACACTGGCCTCGAGCCATTCTGCTTCTTATTCATCAGCTTCTTCCCATCAGCTAACTTCACTTTCTTCACCTTCGACAAATATCACGCCTTCACCGGCAACCACTACCACAATGGCAACAGCAACATCATCTACGTCCTCCTCAACAGCTAGTCACTCGAAATTGTCTCCAAATCGATCAAATCGATCTCCTAGTGTAAGTCCTGTTCGGGAGACTGGTTTACCAGTCGGTTATATTAACCAGCGACGGAACACGTTACCCAAACACTCAGCTCAGTATTTATCTCCTGAAGCTCGCAATACTGGTGATGCAACTGTTTTCTCTCGATATCGATCCAATTCGTATTATAACCGTTCTCCAAGCCATCGAAGAAGACGAAGCTTCAAGGAACCACCGGCTACTTCTGCTTCAGCCAATACTTCACCATCATCATCCTCGACCATCACTACTATAGTAGGTCCATATGCATCTTCCGCAGCTCGTCGAGTATCCGCTCTTGAACAAGACACATGGGATTCCTATTCGGCTTTGATCAAATCATCTCAAGATAGGAGAAAAATGTCTTTGCCTGTTTCTGAACCAATCTCACCCGGCTGGACAACTAAATTTATCAATGTAATAATTGTTGGTGGTCCAAATGTTGGTAAATATAGTTTGGTCCGTCATCTCGTTGATGATGAAAACAATGCTTCAAAAACTCGAGTTGATCCAAACTCATCGCTAGACAAAAGTGTAAATGTTCACAGACTAAATTTTCCACTTTATGATACTCACATTGAAATAATTTTCGAATATTATCAAAATGTTAACAAAATCATGGATACAGTAACAGACAACGGTTGTAAGGTAAGCAAATCATTAAACGAAATAAAAAACTATACGAAATAAGAATAACACCACAGCATTTTACGACGTTACAGCTTCAGGGCTCGTTTGTAAATTTACAACAGATTTTGTTAATTAAGAGATCAAAAATAGCTGCATGAATGCATTCACTGGTCCAATGATTTGGAAGCATTTATTTAGTTAATAATATTTAGTCAGTAAATGCCCAATGTTTTAGGCAATTGTACTTGAACTAAAAGGATAATTTGTGTTTGATATAAATTTGATCTTAAATCAATTTGTTCATCAAATGTGTTTGTAACTTGCCAGAAATGGCTTATTGCTTATTGGGTATCACCTTCTAGGAGTTAGAAATTCCCAAAAATTTTCAACTCCTTCCAGCCTATCATTTACCAACCTACAATTAGGAACCATTGCATTATAATCAGCCACATTCAGAAAATTTGAAAAACCAAAAAATTAGTAAAACTGAATCTCTTATTTAGAAAAGAAAAGAAAAACAATTATCTTGAATTTGGCAGACAGAGTCTCGGTGTGTAGAGGACTTGCATTTTTCACTGATTTGACAGCAATTGATTGAATCTGGTTATATTAAAATAAAGAATGAACAATTCAAAATGTATTTTGAATTATAATTTTGAGATTACAGCACGATTCAACTACCAAGCAGTCTAATGTATGAAATCAATCAGATCACCCATGCCATCCTCTTTGAACAGCTTTAAACTATCTTCCAGGATTGTCTAAACTGTATCAACAGGTTCCATGTTAGATTAATGATATTCAGATGTGTCTTTGTGGTTGGATGTTATGTTGTTTATATTTTGTTTAGGCATAAAACTAATGAAAATTAATCTACTTTAATGGAACCATTGGCTTGCAGAATATCCAAATCTTGTTAAAATCACAAATTATTTATAAAAATAGTTGATTACAATTTATTTTAGGTGAATGAAAAATTTCTTGAAATAAAGATGTAAAGAAGGCGGCAAATGTGACTTGTCACTTTTTATAAACATCGCCATCTTCTGTAAGAAGGGTTTAATTAAGAAAGAGAGGGAAAAACTAATCACCTGAACCATCAGATGAATTGAAGATTACATTTCAATGTCGCTTAAACTTGACTTTTAGAGTAACATTACCATTAAAGCTAATGAAAGTTCAACCATGCAAGTTTGTTATTCATGGAATTCCCTGTTGAGAATGTGATACCAATCCAGTCAATCTCACAAAAAAAACCATGAAACACACACACATAAATCTATTCTAATTTTATCGAAATGATTAGTTTTATTATTTATAATTTTAACCCAACACATTAATAAGATAAATTGAAACAGTTTGTCGCTTCATATTACCTTAATCAATAATTGACCTTTTAAAAACTGAGCCCATAATTTAATAACATTAGTACCAGACTTGTATGCAAAGTGACATTGACTGAATGGTAAACATGAAAGTTGAACACCACTTCAAGTGTCAAGTAGACTAAACAACTGATTGAACAACTAACCCAAATCATCATTAATGTTGCTATTAATATCATTATCATCATGAAAAATCATCACAATAATCGCCATTTATATCATTATGATAACAGCATATTAAAAGCCAGAAGCTATAAAATAACACATAATGACAAGATTACACTTAAATATCAACATATGGCTAATCTTATTAAAAGTATTAATCAAATAAAGACATAGCTGTCATCACTTAATACAAGGTGATGATTAACTGTCAATAGATCATCACAGTAAACCAATATTAGCATATTAATTAAACTAAATCAAGAAAAGGTAAAACAAATTCAAAATGTAACCCAAAAAAACTGGTGACATTGGGTTAGCACAGTTTGGCTGCTCGTCTGGCAACTCTTTTGGTATTGATTACCCAAAAAAAATATCAAATAGCAAATGTTAACATTTAAAGCAAATTAAATTGAATGCCATTTAGGTCTGAATAATGATTTTTGCCAAAAAACAATTTATCGACAATTGAATAACAATCAATAGTTATTAGTTATCAAGTAACTCCATTATTTGCCAATGAAAAGTCGTTAAATTATTGATTGAAATCCATTAGTAACTCTATTCCTCCATTGAATTTGGTGAAATGTTGAAGTGAAAATTTTCACTTGAAACTGTGACAATTGAATGTTATCATTTAAACAACTAATTAAGGCAAGATTGTCATCTAAGTGTTAAGGCAAAAACAGATGATATCACTAATGACAATGATGATTAACATATTAATTGCCAGTCTAATTGATATAAGTTTAAATTTCATCCTTTAACACCATATCAATAAAGTTGAAGGGAAAATGTGTCCACAAGAAAGAGTATTAAAATTGAACGTTTTTCAAATGTTGCCATGTTAATCAGCAGATTTGTTTGTTGAAATTGTTACGGATCATGTTACCATGTTGATTGCAATTAGAGTTTCAGGGCTTCAAATGTTCCATTAATCCCTTTGAGAAGCAAAATTACAATTGATAATAATGAGTTTGATAAAACAAAAGTTGTCATGGTAAAGTAAATCACAATTTGGGCTTTTTGTCTTCATTTTCATTTCACTTGAGCCACCATTTCAATTCATGTTGGGAGAAAGGTTTCATTTTTGCTTCATTAAAATACAATTATTTGTTTCAATTTTATTGGTGAAAAAAAAGGATTCAATAAGAATATGAATTTTCCGAAAAATTGTATTCAAAGTGAACATTTTTCTGCCTGTTTTCCCTTTTTTCATATTTTGCTTTTCACTTTTGTCAATTGACTTTACATTGAAATGATTGATTGAATTTGTGATTCAAGTCAATGGCCTAGTCAGGATAATTTGCTTTCTGTTGATTCTTTCATTGATTTTCAACTCATAATTAATGTGAATTTGAAACAGCAAAACAAATGTTGCTTTTACTTGCCAAACCTTCAAATTGATTATCGTTTATTCATTGAATATTATCGATGAATTTTTCAAGCTCAGTTTATGTGAAGATGAACAAGTGAAATGTTGGAGACGTCAAGTTGGTAATGAAGGTGTTGAACAAGAAACAGTTTGATTGCAAAGTGACAAGTTAATAGAGTGAATTGTTTCAGCTGATTAACAATTGATTAGTGGCAAGTTTCACTGGCAAGGAACAAGCTAATCGATTATCCATGAAACTTTAACAGTAAAAAATTCAATTCTATAACTTTGTTAATTAACTTTAACATTTGTCAAAGATGAAAGTTTCAAGTTGGTTGAACAATCATGCAATAGCTGAATGGATTGGATGGATAAAAATGGAAACCAAAGTTGACTTCAAATTGATAAGCCACAAAGATTCAAATTGGATCCAAAAATTTCATGAGAAACTAATCATCTGACAAGTCAATTGAATCCATTTGTTTCCTTTTAACAAAGCAACCATTTGTTAAGCTAATGTCCAATGTTTCAATGAATCTCATTCTTTTCATTCCATTCCTTTTTCCAGGACAAACATGGCAACATACAGCTAATCAAGTAACACAGCTACTGAATGTTCAGAATCAAGTTTGAAAATTCTCTATGAATAATCTAGATTTTGATTGAAAAACAAATCTTGATTCACCAGACAAGCAAAATGTGATAAAAATCATTAAACCTTTTACATTGTCTGGCGATATAATTTTGATACAACATTCATGGTTTTGATATTGAAATGAATTTTGATTCAAATATGAACTAATCAGCCTTCCAATTTACTCCTTTATTTGACAAAAAGGATTGAATTGAAACATGAAGTCAGTTATTATCGTCTTCACTCAATCATTGAAAGTGTCACCCAAAACTGGTAAATAGACAAATGTAAATGTAAAAACAAACTGAATCACAACTAATGGACAATTGATTGGTAAACAGTTTGTATAGCTTGGATTAACATTGTCATTGGAAATTACTTTCACCATTATATCATGCAAACCTTTGAATTGTAATCTTTGAATGAATCAACATTTTGATGTTGCAAAAAGGCGAAAAACAAAATGTAATAATGTTAGACTGGAAGGCTCTGATAATCCAATGTTTGGTGGGAAGAAGAGGATAAATTTACTGGACAAATGGCGAGTAACAATATTTTTAGGGTTCATCTTAATTCTTGCTATTCATCCATGGATTGCTAATATGGATTGAAGGGAGGAAAAACATTTCAAGTAAATGAATGATAAGATTATCAATATCTTGCAGTTTATCCAAGTCAAAATCCCTGATGAACATTAGGTTTGAGCATCAACTTTCATTAGGAGTTAAAGTGAAAAGTTAAAGGTGAACAAACACTTCCCAGCTTGAACACTTAACATGAAATAAACATGTCAATTATTGAACAACATTCAATTCAATTGAAATACTTGGCTTTCAAAGGCAACTCCAATGGAACCCAAATTTTACCCAAATTCATTGTTTCCATAATTTTTACTCAAACCAATAAATGAATAATTGTAATCAAACCTTTTTTTTGCTAACCTTTTCTCATCATAAACATGAAAGGTTGAACAATTTTTTGTCCCAATTTATCCTTTAAATTGAATATTAACAATTTAAATTTATTGCTTCTCATAATGTGCTTACACAGGGAAAACCTTGATTCTTATGGTAATAATAATTGTGATAATAACTTGAGCCTCTTGAAATATCATTTATATTGATATTAGTATCATTATTTACGTTTCATATCAAATTTCATTTTGTATTCAGTTGCATATTTTGATTGATTATTTGCCAAATGTTCAATTGGACAATTGAATTGTGTATATTTGATTTCGCCTTCAACCTATTGTTCACTATTGCAATAACAATTTATTGGAAATGATAAAAAATTGAAAAATTGAAAATTGCGATTCTACAGATTGAACATTTTGTTCAACTTGAATCTTGCTTTTTTTTTAAATATTGAAATATTATACAAACCTTTTTTTCACTTTGATTTATAACTCACTTTCAGGTGAAATGCTCTGAAAAACAAGATCAACTTAAAATTTAAGCTTCTTTCTTATAAATAAAAAATTTCAGTTCAAGAAATTTCTCTACTCAGCTCTGGGTATAAAAAAAGGAGCCTTTTGATAAACTCGTAGTTTTCAATTTGCTTCGTGTCAAATCCTTAATTGAATTTAATGTGATCAGTCCTCTTGAGTATAACAGTGAAAATGTCGGTAAACTGCTTTACACAGTGGTTTAAGGTTATAAGGAAGATGCAAGCGATATCTTTATCTCAAAGACTGGAACTGTCTTTGAATCTAACATTTTTGGGTGAAGAAAATTCAGTGAAATTCTAGCCTCAGAGACACGGACAGTGAATGCCTTTCACCTTTTTTGCTTCAGGAATAGTCTTTATATTTGTCCATCGTTGTCTGTCTTAAAGCTTGAGTTTAAGCTCGTCTTGAAGCAAAAAAAACCAGATCAAAATGTTTGCTGTGAAAAGATTTAAATATATGACAATGTATGCCAAGCTCTTGCTTTTTGTTTGTCTATGAATTAGTTTAGTGAAAGTGTTTAATGCTTAATGGATGCGTTTTGTATCTTGGATTAGGTTCACATTGGCATTTTATTAACCTTTATATCGCATTGAATTGTGTTGATTCAAAGTGTGAAAGTTATTAGAAGAGGAAATGTTTCGGTTCTTCATGCTTGCACTTTACACACCACAAGATTGTGAAAATTATCAGGAAAATATGCAAATGTATTGAGCAAAATTGAGCAAGACAGGAACCAATCGAGAATTGAACTTCTTTTGATGAGGAAATTTTTCTCCAACTGAAAGTTCAATTTTTCTTGTTTTGCAAGAAAAGGGCTTTAAATTCAAAAGATGTTCAAAATATAAACTGATTTTATGGATCAGAGTTTTTCACCTGAAAGTAACTTGAAATTGAAAGTAAAATAAACTGTAAAAATGATGAATAAAATACTTTTATAGAAACATTTCAAATGAATCAAACTAAATGTTTAAAGCTACAATTTATCAACAGATTTATCCATCATTTATCAATGAATAGTCGGGCTTTGCAAAAATGAAAATTAAGCTGAGATTTTAATTTTTGTCGATTTTTCTCTTAAATTTTTAATTCTTTTTCCACAATCTTTTCATTCTTCAACAGGTACGGCATATGGACATTTTAATTGTCATGTATTCGGTGACTGATCGGCGATCTTTTGAAATGTCTGCTCAATACTTGACCAATGCTGTGTTTACCTGTAAAAAGATGAATCCCGATTTGGTTATATCTTTGGTTGCCAATAAAACTGACCTGGTTCGGGTTCGTGAAGTTTCCAGTGAAGAAGGTCGCTCTTTGGCTGTTAAATTTGAGGTTCCCTTCATGGAGGTTTCCATTGAATTGGATGACAATTTTGAGTTGATTGTTGAATGGTTAACCAATGTGATCAAGGATAAGTTGAAGATTGGTGATCCAACCCAGTCAAGTGGCCTTAGCACAACCCCAATCAAGAAAAATGTAACCCTTTCTGGACGAGCTTTTCGTTTTGTCAAGAAAATTCTGAACCGTCGAGGTTCCAAATCTAAATCCTGTGATAATATAAATCTCATGTAAAAAAGTAAAAGAAAAAAGTTAAATGTTAAAAAATAGCAAATTAATAACATTATTGACCGGCAAATGGTTAACATGAAATACTGACATTTCAATTGATATGGAAAAACAATTTACAACGAAATTAACTGATGATTTGGATTTTTAAAGTCTCCAAACATTATTATCATAAAGTATTATTAGATGTAAAAATACATCAACATGAAAAATTGAATTAATTGTCAAAACAAATCATTCTGTTGAAAATAAAATGTTTAGTCTTAATTTTGTTTTAATTTTTAATCGATCAACCATTAAAAAATCATTTTATTCAAAATATTGATGTTTAATGAAACAAAATGTCAAAAGCTTTTCAAGATTCAATTGACATTTCAAGGGAAATTTCAATTTCACTGAAAGATCAACATTTGATTTACATTTGTTGATTGTTTCAGACGAAATGGTTTCTTCTGATTATTGAGATATTTGCAAAAATAATCAAGACTTACAATAATCAGAGACAATTCAGTTTATTAATGTTGAATATTTCGTTTAGACTGTATTGGTTTAATCATTAACACTTGAACGGAGTAATCAAGACTAACTTTAATAATGTAATAATGAAATCAAGTAAAATCAAGGATAATCGTAAAGGATAGATAAATGTATTAATTGCTCTAATTGTGAATGGACAACAATACTGTTCATTGTTAACTGTTAACTTCAACAGCCACCTTTGTTGTCATTTCACAACGAGTTTCAATCAACTGTCCATAAAATTTCTGTTGATAAGTTCATGAATCTTGGTCCAGGTAATGGTTTAGTCAGAAGGTCAGCTAAGTTATCAGCTGAAGAAATATAATTAAGATTGATTAATTTACTTTCTACTGCTTGTCTAATGAAATGATACTGAATATCAATATGTTTCGTTCTTGAATGATAAATAGGATTTTTAGCTAACTTCAATGCTCCTTGATTATCACCAAATAATTCAACAATATCAATATCTATACCCAATTCATTAAGCATCCTCATCAACCAGATTGCCTCTTTTGTCGCTGCAGTTAGCGCCATGTACTCTGCTTCTGTAGTTGATAAAGCTACAGTTGCTTGCTTTTTGCTACTCCATGAAATCGGATTACCATTGAGTCTGAACAAATACCCAGTAAATGATTTTCTGTCGATCTTATCACCACCCCAATCTGAATCGGCAAAACCTTCTAAATTAAACATGCATTTATTATTTCCTAGTTTTATTCCTAATTTTGCAGTTGACTTCAAATATCGAAACACTCTCTTAACCGCTGACCAATGATGTTCTTCTGGTTTCGAGTTAAATTGGGATAAAATACTAACAATAATGGCCAAGTCAGGTCTTGTACAGGTTACAAGATAATTCAAAGAACCAGTAGCACTTTGATAACGAGTAACAAACGATTCGTTTTGGGTTAGATTTTTAGGTTCAGTTTGAGCAATATTAATGTTACCATCATATGGAGTCTTAACACTCTTACACTGAGTCATTTGAAATTTGTCAAGTATCTCATTAATATATCGTTCTTGAAATAGATAAATGACACTTTTTTTCCTGTCCCACTTCATGTTAATGCCGAGAAATTGTTCAATATTTTCAATAATTGTCATATCGAACTTAAGATTAAGCCGATTTTTCAATTCAACCAAACATTTTTCGTTCGATCCAATGGCAAGAAGATCATCGACATAAAGAATTATGAAGATTTCATCTGATTCACGTTTTCGCCTGAATATACAAGTATCATTGTTCAAATTGGTAAAACCAATACTTTTCAAAGTTCCATCAACTTCTTTAAACCAAACCAATGCTGCTTGTTTCAATCCATAAATACTTTTTCTCAATTTACAAACTTTACCTTCATCTTGTACAAAACCATCGGGCTGTTTCATGTACACAGTTTCAGTTAGTTCACCATTGAGGAAAGCAGTTTTTACATCCATTTGGATTAAGGTCATTTGTTTTACCATTGCAATACAAAGTACAGCTCGAATAGATGTGAACTTGCTAACTGGTGAGAAGGTCTCATCATAGTCAACAAATGGAATTTGCTTGAAGCCTTTAGCAACCAACCTTGCCTTAGCTCGATTGATCGAACCATCACTATTCAACTTGTAAGTGAATACCCAACGACAATCAATTACATTCATTTCATCCTGATGATCAACCAATTCCCATGTTTTGTTAGCAATCAATGAATCCATTTCTTGTTGAGCTGCTTTTAACCATATGTTTTTGTCTTGTCTGTTATTAAGTTCAAGCATTGATGAAGGTGGTTTAACAATTGTATTTTGGTGCTCGGACAAGTTAGCTGAATCAGTGTAATTATCAACGATATCATCATTGAACACAACATCTCTAGTTACTATCAACTTTCCTTCAGCTTCATCCCAAACTTTAAATGCCTTTTGATTCTCAGGGTAACCAAGAAAAATACATTTACGTGTTTTTGATTCTAACTTATTTCTAAGTTCTTTTGGTACATGAACGTAACAATAACAGCCAAAGATCTTTATTTTACTAAAATCAATAGGTTTACCTGACCAAATTTCTTCAGGTATTTTAAAGTCAATGCTTGAATTAGGTCTACGATTGATAAGATAAACTGCTGTATCAACAGCTTCACCCCAAAATTCATCTGTCATATTAGCATCATGTAACATACAACGAACAGTTTCCATTATTGTACGATTCATTCGTTCTGCTACACCATTTTGCTGAGGTGAATAACGAACAGAAAGCTGATGTTGAATACCATTGAGTGATAAATAATCTTCAACCTCTTTAGCAATAAACTCTTTTGCTCCGTCTGTACGTAATACTTTTACATTTTTGTTTTTAATATTCCCAATTCGCTTCAAGAACTTGATAATAATACTTTGAGATTGATCTCTTTTCGCCATCAAATACACAAATGTCTTCTTACTGAAGTCATCAATAAACGTTTGAAAATATTTATTACCACCAATTGACTCAACTGGCATAGGACCACAAATGTCGCTATGAATTAAGTCAAGACACTCAGATGACTTAGAGGTTGACTCTTCAAATAATTTTCTTGTTTGTTTACCGTAGAGACATGACTCACAAGTTTTAACAATATCATGGTTTACTTGTTTCGATAATTTGAGTTTCTCCTCTTTAACCAACCTTTCAACGGTTCGAACATTACAATGACCTAATCTTCGATGCCATAAAACAGTTTCATCCATTTTCAATTCATTTGCAATATTACATTGAACAGAAGAGTTTACAATATTTTTGATCTGATATAAACCATTAATCAATTTTGCTTCAATCAATAACCGATTTTTACCATTTTTTATCGAACAATATCCAGCTTCAATCAAAATCTTAGCACCATTGGCACTTGCAACTGACATTGATAATAGATTCTTACCCAATTTAGGAATGTAATAAGTATTCATTAGATTAATAACATTGATACCACCAGTTGTTTCAATTTTCAATGTTACTGTACCAATACCAATAGCATTAATTTTACTGTCATCTGCAAGTGTAATTGGTACATTTTCAATATACTTTAAATCAGAAAACCATTTAAGATTGTTAACCATGTGAGAAGAAGCACCAGAGTCAATATACCATTGATCAACATGGTTAGCTCCAGTATTAACCATGAGTGCTGAAACGTTAACAGAATCAGAAGCATCTTTCATCTTATCTTCGTCATTCTGTTTCTTTTTACACTCTCGAGCCCAATGACCTTTTTGCTTACAATAATTGCACTTTCCAAAGCGCTTTTGTCTTAATTTATTAGCATTAATTGCCTTGATTTGCTTCTTGTTGTTGTTGTTGATACTCAATTTACTGGTTAGCAAAGCAATCTGACTATCATTATTTGCTATATCAAGGTTGAGCTTACGATTATACTCCTCGAGAACACGACCTTTAACAAAATTGAAGTCAATTTTTGATGAACCGAATTGAGATTCAAGGGAAACAATCAGAGTTTCATATGTACTCGGTAAACTTTGAAGTAATGCAATAACCATGTCATTATCACCGACAGTCTGATTGATAGCTTCCAATTTTTGCTTCAAATCAATTAGAGTATTAATATGCTTGACCATATCCCCAGATATATATTTAATATTCAATAATTGTTTCCGTAAATTGAACTGATTTGCAAGACAAATTTTCTCAAAATTTTCGCAAAGACAAATCCAAGCAGCTCTTGGATCTTTCGAGTCTCTGATGAGAGTTAAAAACTGATCCTCGACATTAAGAGCAATCAATCTCATCAACTTCTTCTGCTTCTTAACAAAAGCAGTCAACTGTTGACCATTCAACTTATCACCTTTCTCGTCACCGGTAAGAATATTCCACAAATCCAAATCTTCACAGATCAACTTGATCTTGAATTTCCAGTTAACCCAATTTTCCTGGTTTAATTTTTCAATTGATATAGATTTTGAATCTTCCATGGTGTAAATAGGTTTCGTCAATGATTAATAAAACAATACCTTTAAACGCAACTAATAAACAAAGCACGATGAGCCCATAACCTGTTGAATATTTCGTTTAGACTGTATTGGTTTAATCATTAACACTTGAACGGAGTAATCAAGACTAACTTTAATAATGTAATAATGAAATCAAGTAAAATCAAGGATAATCGTAAAGGATAGATAAATGTATTAATTGCTCTAATTGTGAATGGACAACAATACTGTTCATTGTTAACTGTTAACTTCAACAATTAATAAAATCCTCCAAACAACATTGAATAATCTAGTTGCCATTTACTGACTCCAATGAAAAATGTCAGTCTTTTTACAATATCAATATTTTGGTTCAATATTAAAAATCAATAAGATTGAAAATAGACTCACTTGAATAGTCAAATGGTTTAATCCACAAAACTGACCAAAATTGAAATTTGCCTTTGCTATCGATTAGTCCGGGTGGCCTAACACTAATGATTAGACCATTTGCGGGATTGGAAACGCAAAAGATCAACTTGGGAGGTTTTTGTGTGTTTCGCCTCACTTTTTTTGCCTTTAATTTTACTGTGTACAATTAAACATCATCATAACCATCAATACAATCATCTTGTTATCATCACCATCAATTTGCAACTTTGCCTTTATCATTTTCCTTTTACGCCACTTTTTTTTCCTCCTTCCGAGCGAAAGGATATTTACATTGAAATCCATCAAAAAAAGGAGCAAAAAACAGTTAAAATCTGAGAAAATTACGGTGAACGCCAAGAAAAACAGATGAACCAAGATGATGTAAAGATGATGAAGATGGTAAAGGAGAACGATCAGGATGATGAAGATGATATTGATGAAGAAAAGGGCCGAAAAAGTGATCCCAAGGAAGAAGCCAGAAGTCTTATTGATCTGTTTAGTTTAGGTTAGTGTTTTTGCGTGTTTTTTGTATGCCAGGCTTAAGAAAACAAGAAGATTGGCCAAGATGAGAGAGTGATGGTTAAGAAGATGATGATGAAGATGATGCTGATGGTGATACAAGGAAGATGAGACCATTTTTTACACTCACTAAACTCCAATATATTATCCAGTTTACATTAGGCCTGAGTCGGAGTAAAGCGCAATTTGAACACAGCAACAAAAACAAACCAAAGATATATCCTAATAATAATACGAGCAATTAGACAAGTCACTTTTAGATGATAAAACCGTTACGGGATTTGGGTGATAAGAAGGAGGAAGATTAAGTCCTTTAAACACACACACATAGACATATATATATGATGATCATCTTCACTCCTCTTTCTATCTTCCTCCTTCTTTACTCTTTACCAACGTCTTTCTTTCCAACGCTCTCTGTCTTTCTGCCCTTTGGTTGAAGCTCCTATAGCGGATTGAGCTAGAGTTACAAGTGTATAACGTTTTCTCGTTTTCTTGTTTTTCTTCGTCTTTCTTCATCTTCTTCTTTCTCATCTTAATCATCATCTTCATCGTCATCCACAATCTTGAATAACTTTTCACTCTTTCTCCATTGATAACTTTACAAATCGTCTGCTTAATCAACTTTAATCATAATATAATAATATCTTTGGTTTTCATTTCATTTTTGTTTGTAATTTCATGTTTCCCTTTTACTTTTTGCTTGCTTTGTTTATGTTTATGTTAATTCTTGTTTAATCAACATTTTACAATATTGTAATCAAATGTTTGGCTTAGCCCTTTTTTAATTCAGTTTATAATAGTGATTGACGTTAATGTTAATGGTACAGTTAATATGGATCATTTGGTGGTTTCAACGGCAATACCAATGACTACAGGACTCAATTCATCATCGTCTTCAACAGCCTCAAGCTTAAGCTCAATAAACAATACTTTAATCGCTACCAATGCTAAATTAACTGGATCTCGTAAAATGGATAAGCCTCCATTATCGTATATTTGCCTGATAGTCATGGCAATTCAAAATTCGGACAATAAAAGGGCAACTCTGGCTGAGATATATCAATATTTACAGAGTAAATTTGCTTGCTTCCGTGGTGACTATAAGGGCTGGAAAAATTCAATTAGACACAATTTATCATTAAATGAGTGCTTTGTCAAGCTGCCCAAAAACATTGGTAAACCTGGTAAAGGTCATTATTGGACCATTGATCCTTCCTCTGAGTGTATCTTTGAGGAAGGCTCATTTAGACGGCGACCCAGAGGATTTAGGCGTAAAAAGTTAACCCAAATCAATTGCTTAAGTGGTAATACAAACGCTGGTAATCTTGACAATACAAATGACAATACAAGGGCCACTTCAACATCTACCTCAACTACAACTACACTTTCACATAACAATGAAAACAACAACGCCAGGTTAACGGGATTATATTCAAACTCGTTCCTATCCTCACCAACACCACCTTCAATTGGTATTCCTCCTCCTTTATCCCTACCACTGCCACCTCTACCTTCACCGGCCACAAATCAATCTTCATCGACGTTACCTTCAGTGATTACTCGTTCAGTGACTCCCTCTTTATCACCACTAACTGTCTCTTCACATTACAATCAAAGCTACTTAACATCTAATCATCATCATAGTCAACAACAGCCACAGCAACAGCAACTTTCATCAACAGCCTTTGGTAATCATCTTCATCTTGATTATGCCAACTTTTATTCAAATGTTAACAGTTATGTTGGAATGACTCTTGGAGTCTCATCATCTTCAGGTTCATCACCAATGTCAACCACAACTCAAGCAACATCAACCAATCCTTCAACAACAGCAACTTCAGCCAATCCGTTAGCCAACAGTTGTCCATCAACGTATCCCAATTTGATTAAAAATGAAACCCAAGGTTCAACTTCATCATCATCGCCGTCCTCTTCGTCTTCATCTTCTGTTTCCTCATCTTCACCATCGATGACTCCAAATGGTCTATCATTGACAAACTTAAAGTCAACAAATTCACCGTCAAATCAATTGATGGATTCACCATCATTAACCCCACCAACTTCAATTGGTTACAACAATAATACCAATAGTAATCATCTTTACCACCATCATCATCACCATCCAATTCAAGATTATTCAACATTTACCGGTGATTACAGTTGGCTAGTTATATCCAATCAACAACAGCATCACCACCTTCATCACCATCAACCCCAACAAATGCAGCAAAATCAATCTTGTCTAAATTATTTACCTCATATAACTGAATCTTTTTAGATTGAAGTACATTAATTACGTAGTATGGAACCCAATGGCTCAAAAATGTTACAATTTACACCAAATGATGTATCAAAAACAGGTATAAAAAGATGATATAAATAATGTAAACACTACAAAACCTGACCAACATTGGGTTATAAATAAGATTAGATGATGCGATATGGAATAATAGAAGATATTCAACGATTCAACAGGTAAATCATGTAACCAATAGTTCTCAAATGAATCTAAAATCTTTAGGAATATGAAATGTTTTTTTGCCATCAGACTCGACTACAGATCAACTACGAAATTAGCTTTTTTATAACATCAAGATTAACTTGTTAATGGACTTGATAGTTCTTGTCCAGTTAAATCAATCTCAAGCAACGATTCAATGGTTTTATTACATTATCTTTATCCTCTTCTCTATCATCATCATTCGACATCATTTAAATCAATCTTGATTTTCAATTGTTTGACTGTTTACAAACCTAATCAACGAATACTCATCATCTTTACCTGATTTTGACGCTGAAATTGTAACCAAGAAAGTTAATTACTAAATAGCAAAATGTAAAAATGTGTAAAATTGTTTACTATCACAACAGTTAACCAACCAAAATCTAGTTTACTGTAATTTGTGAAAAATCAAATAACTCATAAGTCTACCTCCAACTTACAGTCATTAAAAACAAGTGCCTTTTACCAAATACGACTTCAATATTGATCTAAATGTAAATCATCAATAATTTAACGTTAAATTGATTCAGGTTTTGGATAAAGTGAAAGTTGAATAAAAATTAAATTGTTCAGGCATTTAAAAAAAAGATGTTGACTTGGTTAAAATCAAAGTTAACAATCAAGTTTACAAGCGTTAACAAACAACTAACATTGAAAGGATATTTTTACCAATTAGCTCGAAAAAAATTTAGCTCTATTAGTTAAGGATAGTAGAGAAAGTTGATTGTTGAAATGAACCGTAATTTATGAACATTTTTTTTCTCTTGCGTTGATCCGACATCATGTTGATTGATTGTATGAAAATTTCTCATGAATCTGGATAGAATGATCTGTTGTTGATTACATGATGATAATGTTTGCTGTCTTTATCCTTGTGCTTGAAAAAAGGCTGTAAAGATGAATGATCCATGCTGTTAGTTTAACCATGTTTAACTGCTTTTCACTGGCAAATCAATCGCTTCTAATGATCTATTTAACTTGGATATAATTCAAACATTTATTAACAAACAGAGTATCAAGATTTCACTTTTATCATCATCACCAGCGCTCATCGTCTTCATCCAAGCAAACTGAGGCTTTAATGGTAACTCTTGGTATCTGGAAAGTGTATTTTTAATTACACAGGGATGAGAAAAATATAGATTGTTAATTGTATTAATAGAGTGGTTTAGTGGATGAAAGATATTTATTCAAACATTGACTAACCCAAGTTAATCTAGTTATTTATTAGAGTCTATATTTTTGCATTCATTTTTACACTTCGCACAGTTGAGCCTAAATGGTAATTATGAAATAATTTACCAATTTAAATTGAATTATCCAAGATAATTTGAGATTGTGGTAAAAATTGACTAATTAATCAGATGTATAGATTATTGTTTATGGCAAATCTTGAAGTAATTGAACTTTATAAGGATTTGAATATGATTATATATCGTTTTGCATTCATATTTAACATCAGATAAATTGTTATTAAGTAAGAATCGATAAAATCATGCAAGTATTACAGATTAAAGTCCAGTTTGTTGGATGTTCAAAGATTAATTAATTTCCCCACATTGATACGATGACGAGTTGATCATCAGGTTTTACACGTGAATATGAACATTTATCACAATCATTAATCAAATTTCATAATAAACAAGAGACAGAGAGTTTGACAAATTGCGCGGATTTATTAGTCAATGAAGTTTTAGAAGCAAATTCAAATGTGAACTTAATTTTTAATTTGTATTAACATAACAATACTAATTCAAAAAATACATCCCAGCAGGTAATAGTTAACTGTTTTTAACAGGGATGTTTACATTTGAAAGAGGAAAGAGGAATTTAGGGGTCTAAGAGAGGTTAATTTGTAATTAAAATAAACTAGTTGAATTATCATATCACTTGATGGTGTAGTTCTTCCTCTAAGGAATTACCTCCCATTCGATTAATTACGAATTCCAGCGCTTGTCGACCCTGATTGAATAAAAAGAAAAAATGAAAGGTCAAGTTAGTTTAAGTGAAAGTTCAGTAGGTGCTTGAAGTAAGCGGAACAAGAAGTAAAGTGAGAGTTTATTGAACTTAAAGGTTTAATTAAAAACGACCTACTTTTTGAGCATTCGATGAGATTGTTGATGATATAAAACTTTCGAAGTAGCTACTCAATGGGATCCCATGGACGGTTATGATAGCTTCTTGTTTTAGAAGAGTAGCATCAGGCTTATTCGGATGAGGCAGATATGTTAATTTTTCCTCTATAGAAACTTCATTTGAAAAGGATATCTATTGAATGATAAAAAGAAAAGAAATAGTTAAATAACCTGTTAGCCGAAAAATGCCCATTAATAGAGCCTTAAAAAATTGAACTTGACATTACTTACATTTTTTGATACTAATGTCATGCATTTACGTCTAGCGTCTACTTCTGAGTGTTCAACAGCATATGAGACTTTATCTCCTCCTAATATACTACAGGCCCAATGTGGCATACCCCATTCAGTACTGATTAACCTTTGACTTTTGAGAGTACCATTTGCAACATTCCTGTCAACAACGTCAATCCCTACTACAGCTGGGTTCAATGGATTTGGATATTTACGCCACGTTGCTGTCACAACCTTTTCCCATGGATGACTGTAACCAAAAAGAAAAAATATTAAAAATTAATTGGTCAATAGTTGAAATAAGCAGCAATCAATATTTGGGTAATTAACTTGAATCAGGCCTTTCACTTACCTGAAAACATGCTCTGATGTCCAAATTTTCATGATTAAGTAATTGTTAGAAATAAATAAATAACAAAAAAGAAACACAGGTCAAGAGTAATAACTCGTCGTTGCACTAAATTAATTAAAATTAGACTAGAAGTTTAATTAACAGCAAATAATTAACCTTAAATGAAAAATTTGATCCCAATGTCTTTGCCAGAAAGATTTCAGAATGGTTCTTAACTTCAGGGACCTTATAATAATCTACAGTTGTAAATCTTTGATAATCAGGTGATTACAAGAATAATTACGAGCAAATCATTTTCAGTGACCCTTCTTTTTCTCCCCTGTAATTCTGAGTTTACCTCACTTAATCAAAATACATCTTATCAATATTAATATATTTTATCGCCCGTCATCTGTGATTTCATTCAAGGTTTCATCTTATTTAATCGTCGATCATATTTCTTTCCCGTAGTACTGCTCAATCTCCTTCGCTAAAAGCCTCTTCAGTTATTTTATCATTGCTTTTTCTTTATCATCCAATCTCACTTGGCTCTTTTTTGTAAATATAATAGATATAACTCAATTGCAAAATGATTTCCCGAATCAGTCATCGTTTAATGGTCATCAATCTAACTAGGAAATTTTCTGTTAGTTCTGCTATTATGGCTTCCGACAGTAAATTCAGAGTTGAGCGAGACACTATGGGAGAAGTAAAAGTTCCTTCTGATAGATTATATGGTGCTCAAACACAACGATCGCGAAACAACTTCAGGATCGGTATGTATAAGCTCAATCTAGATGTCATCTCAAAAGATTGAAAATTTCAATTTTTCTCTTGTTATTTTAGGTGTTTATAATGAAGAAGACGCTGAATGGGGAGGCGAACAGATGCCTCTAGCAGTTATTAAAGCATTTGCAATTTTGAAGAAAGCTTGTTGTATTGTTAACATGGAACAATCAAATATCGACAAAAAACTAGCCGGTGCAATCATAAATGCCTGTGATGACATACTAATGAAAAAGAATATCAATTTACGACAAGAATTTCCTTTGGTAATTTGGCAAACCGGTAGTGGAACACAGTCCAACATGAATTGTAATGAAGTCATTGCTAATCGTGCTATTGAAATTTTAGGTAAGCATTGATAGAGTCAACCTGTTGGACTTTAATGAGTTTAATTTAATAATTTTACTTCTTATTTTAGGCGGTCAAAGGGGTGATAGAAATCTTGTGCATCCAAATGATCATGTCAATAAAGGGCAATCATCAAATGATACTTTCCCCACAGCTATGCATGTCGCAACAGCAATCGAAACTCACAGAAGACTGCTCATTTCTCTTGATGAACTGCTTAATTCTTTGAGAAAAAAAGAGAAAGAATTCAATCATATAATTAAAATTGGACGTACACATTGTCAAGATGCTGTACCTTTAACCCTCGGACAAGAATTTTCTGGTTACGCTCAGCAAATTGAGTTTGGCATTCAACGTATTAAGGCGGCTTTAGAGCCAAGAATGTACTACCTTGCTATCGGCGGAACTGCTGTCGGAACTGGACTTAACACCAAAGTTGGTTGGGATAAAGCAGTTTCTTCAGAAATTGCCAATCTCACAGGTTTACCTTTCCGAGAATCTCCCAACAAATTCGAAGCCTTGGCTAGTCATGACGCATTCATTGAGTTATCTGGCGCATTGAATGTTGTTGCCGCATCTTTAATGAAAATTGCAAATGATATAAGACTTTTGGCATCTGGACCCAGATGTGGATTAGGTGAGATAATGTTGCCTGAATTGGAGCCAGGATCTTCTATCATGCCTGGTAAAGTGAACCCAACACAATGTGAAGCAATGACAATGGTTTGTGCACAAGTTATGGGTAATCATGTTGCTGTAACCATTGGTGGATCAAATGGACACTTTGAATTGAACGTTTTCAAACCAATGATTGTGGCAAACGTTTTGCGATCAATTACTTTATTAGCTGATGCGGCCACCTCATTCAACACCAATTGTGTTACAGGCATTCAGGTTAACGAAAAGAGAATAAATCAACTTTTGAATGATTCTCTAATGTTGGTAACAGCTCTTAATCCCCACATTGGTTATGACAAAGCAGCTCAGATTGCCAAGAAAGCTCACAAAGAAGGGTTGTCATTGAAAGAATCAGCCATTCAAAGTGGCTTTTTAACTGAACAACAGTTCAATGAATGGGTCAAACCAGAAGACATGATTGGACCAAAAAAATAGTCACAACCGTAAATTAAATTAATACCTGTAAAGCTATGAGATTCTTAAAATCCAACATCAAATGATAAAATTCAATTATTTACTGGAAGAAAGATTGTAAAATTTAAAAATTAAATATAATTTAAATCACTTTAATTTTTACAACTCTCAACTCTTCGCTATACTTCAACTTCCGATAATCTATTTCGATTAATTTAATGAAACTGGAAATTCTGTCGCTACCATTCAAGGGTCAAGTTTGGTGAAATGATTGAACTCTAGCAAAGCTTTCACTGCCCACCGAGTATTGACATAAATGCTAATCCTTAATTACATTAAATAATGGTGATAATGATAGTGGAAAAAGTGTTTACAAATAAATGATATATTACGTGCAACATATTTTGTCTTAAACTTATTTGATTACAAGAATTGATGAGAAACAAAATGTTCAACGAATGAATGGATAACAAAATCATATTGAACTGATCTTAATCGATCATCTGGTTTGATCGAACGTAACAATTTATTAGCTGGCCTTGACAATGCTTGTTAACTTGTTGATGATCAATTGTTAAGAAAAATTAAAGAGACAAAACAAATAAACAAACAAAAAGAGAAATGTTCAAGAAGTGAAGAGAAGAAAAGTTGTTAGGACCAGTTTTGCACGCGATTTGATTGTTAAAAGAGTATTTAAGAAGAAAAATTTACCACAAACCAACTGAACACAAAATCAAAGTCGATTCAATAGTTTATATGTGACTCTGAGATTTCAACAGTTCAAGAATTTACATTTGGCTATAAGCGAAAAACATTGATCAGAAGTTTGTGTTTTCAAAATTACATCATAATATCAGATTTCAGTTGGAAAATATTTTAATTGTCGTTATGAGATTTCTAATGTTCAATGATAAATTATTTCTTCTCACAGTTTTGATAATCGGACTGATTTGGATAAAAGGTTAGTGTCTTCTCTTGCTTGGATTTCATTTCCCGGATTTTGTGCAACTCTCATCTTAATTGTTTCATCAATAAGTATAAAGTGTGTTCATTTGTTTTGAAATTTTCTTTTCCTTTTGCCAGTAAATGCTCAAGAAGATGACGATTCAGAGGATAAAGTGAATACTTCGGTGCCTGATAAACAAGATGTATCACTGCCATCACCTTCAACTGTCACAGCTCCTGGTAAATCGACTTCCAAGCGTAAAACGAAAACTGCTCGACTTTTAGAAAATTTGGATTCTTTTAGGGATCGATTAGGAAAAGGCAAAGATATAGTTACAGGTATCGTTGAATCTTTCATGGGACGTGGAGATGAAGTTGATGAGGAAAAGTTGGAAGAAGCTTTAGCCAAATATGATGAGATTGTTGAAGACCTTGAGGCTGATTTCACAAAAGCCAAAATAAATATTGGACTTCGCTTGGAGGGCAATTTGCGTCAAGTGAATGAAACGATTGACCAACTAATTGAACAATTGAGAGATGTTAATCCTGATTTTGTTGATTGGGCTCGAACTAAAAGAGTAAATTTAACTAAAAGTTTGAGAGGAAGAATACTTCGCTTTAACGATTTACTTGGATCAGGTGTTGAAAGGCTCCTTGAGATATCTGAAATGGGTAAAAACACGGTAAGAAAATTGCACAAAAGAAGGTACCAAAAACGAGAAAAGTTGAGCCGCATTTTACTGGGAACTCGTAAAAATGATTCCAACAAAAATGATGTAAGGTAATTATTTATTTACAATTATTTAGATGCGACATGCTGTACGATTCAACTCCCTATGTGATTTATACCAAACTTGTTAACTTATAAAAAAAGATAATATACAACTTTGTAAACAAAACTAAATATTGTAACTTATTAATTTTACTTGCATTTACTTTTGACCACCTAACCACCAAATTTAAAAATAAATGCAAATCCAATATTTCATGTTGACCAGTTTTTTTTACTTCCTTGATAAATTTTGCTTTAATCAATCATCGTCTTCTTCAGTTGCTGATATAACACTGGGAATCCCATTTGTTACTGGTTCATCGAGCTGCCATGAAGGTATTGTTGCTTCTGAGGAAGGTTTCATTGGGAAAGAATTTTTACTCAAAATCAAGGCTTTGACAGATGAAATTTCAGTCTTCAGTTCATTAATAGCATGGATTTCAGCAGCATTAGGGCGAGATGTTTTCATAATATTAAGTTTGTCATTTGCAGATTCAGTCTCCAATTTTTTAACAGTTTCCACAATGTTGTCCAATTTACTTTCAATTGTATCCAATCGATCACTGAAGTATTGCAGGATTTTAGGTTGAATATATTTCTTGTATAAATGATAGCCACCATAAAAGATACCACCAATAATTGCTGTTGAAAACGTGAATCTTGCCAGGGAAGACCAAGCAGATCTTTCAGCTACAGCCATATCACCGTGTCCATAACCAGAGATACCAGACTGTAAGAAAGCCACATCAATCTCATCATCATTTAAACCCTTGGAACGAAGGAAACTTTTCTTTTTATCAATAGAACTATTGGCAACTTTTGGTATTTTAAGGAAGTCAACTGCAGTTTTGATCAAATCATCTCTCAACACCATTTGACTTTCCATACCATTTGAGTCAGCTTCATTTGATTCCATGACAGCGAAATAAGAAACTTGATATTTTAAAAACTCGGTGAAGAAGTGAAAATGTTAATAACAAAAACAGATAAAATAAAAAAAAGAAAGCAACTGTTTTGACAATTGGAATGGCAATTGATAGAAAGTGGTTGAGGTTATATGTACACAAAGATACTATCCGATATCTGTATCTGATACCACCAATAATAACTAAATTTTTCGTTTAATGAAACGAAAAGCCTTAATCTGAAGTTAGAACAAGAATTTTTGAGCATTTTAATGATGTTGATGAATTGAAGAAAGGATTTAAATGAAAATTTAATAATGGATTAAACTGATCTCAAATCATTCTAACAGATATCTGTTTCAAATTTTGCGGTAAAAAAATTGCACTCGTTCAAGTTTCTAGAAACAAAAAATTTATCAAAACTAGAATCGAACCCTGACCATAACCTTTGATTTCGCTACACTCTAACCACTGAGCTAAGAATTAATTTTCAAATAATGATTGAACTTATTAAGTGTATTGTTTAAGCAGGCATTGTTAAATGAAGTCAATACGTTAAACTCATCCCTCTGGCGTTAAGGTACATTAATGTATGCATTCTTTGAGTGGGATTTAATAAAAATTGATCAAAAAATTAACTTTTAATCAATTATTAAACTATTATTTGAATCTTTCCATTCAACATCATTATGTGTACGGTTAACTTAATAGTTAAAGATACACAGATTTGTGTACATATAACCTGTTCCATAGAAAGTATTTATTATAAAATTGAATGATTCCAGATTCTGAGTCAACTCAGTCTTGGCAACGTGGTTACCAAGGATTATCGCGCAAAACTCGAAACGAATTTACATATGCATTCATGATGAAATTACATGATAGCCTTACAATTGATTTAAACTATAGATCGATGTGAATCTCCCCCTAAAGCATCGGCAATTTTACTAATAACCGGTAAATTAAGAATTGTACCAATAACAGGAATTCTTCTGAGAAATGAGACTGCAACTGGAAGGAAACCACGGAAGAGTAAGATGAATCCATAAAATTCAACAACCATTCCGACAAACGGGTAACCCAGGAAAACAATCATTAAACCAGCAAAGAACGCTGTTGAACCCTTCCATTTGTGCCTTTGGAAAAAGAAGAAGAATGTCCGTTGAAGTCCAATTATGAATGTTAATCCAGTTAAAAAGAGGATATTTCCAATCGCCAGTAAACCTCTATCAAAAAAGAGCATAACACCGATCACAATAAAGGACAAGCCAAACATTGCCAGCCCGAGGCCAATCTTTTGAAATTCACTTAAATCCAGCATTGTTAATTAAAAAGTTAACAATTGATTAATAAACAAAATAAATAAATAAAAAATAGACTAAAATTGAGTCAAGTATATTCAATTCATGACAAGTTGGACGAGTTGTAATTTTACAACCAACTCTCAACACCCAGTCATCCAGTCATTGTAGGGAACATCTCCAAATGATGCTCTGTACTTTGACAATTAGATGAAAAATGTTAAATCACATTAAACAATTTAAATATACTGAATAAAAATTTATTAATCAAATGAGGAAGTTGTTATCATCTTAATTTTTAATTTAAATTGTCTTCAGATACTAGTTTACATGCAATTGATCATAAACTTGAATTTTCAGCATCACAGCGATCAACATTAAATTTGGTAACTATTGAAACATTGAAGAGTTTGGTTGAGGCAATCAGATTAATGAAATGAACATGTTTAAAAACTGATGAGGTTGATTTAGCGATTAAATGACTGAATAATTAACACTCTTTGAATAAATACTTGAGATATCAAAGTAACACTAGGCCTGTGATTAAACTCACCGCCTAGTGCTCACACCCATCGTCATGGGCTAGAGAGGGAGCCAGAACTGCATAAAGTCATCCTTTTCTTGTTAGTGTATAAGTGTATTTGAGGCTTTACAAAACAGAAACTCCATTGATATTTTACTCGTCAATTGTTATTTTTTGATTATATTCAATTGTCGGATTATTTTTTGTTGCTTTAAATTAATTAAAATGAATCCTGAATAGTGAGTAATTGTTATTATTTATTTAATCAATTAACCCAACATTTTCATTAATTGACTAATTCTAACTGAAACCACTTTTTCTTCACCTCTTCTCTTCTTCCCTTTTCTCTCTTTCTATCTCTCTTTTTCATTTCTCTTTCTTTTTCCTCTTCTCTTTTTTCTTGTGATGTGTAATTTCATTGCTTACTTACAATAATTAAATACCCTTTACTAACCATATTTACCTTTTTTTACAGTGATTACTTATTTAAATTGCTTCTCATCGGTGACTCTGGCGTTGGAAAATCATGTTTACTCCTTAGATTTGCTGATGACACTTACACAGAATCATACATTTCAACCATAGGTGTTGATTTCAAGATAAGAACCATAGAATTGGATAATAAAACAATTAAATTGCAAATCTGGGATACAGCCGGACAAGAAAGGTTGGTCACAATATTACCATCATGACGTAGCCTCTTTAATTGCCCTCAATTGGCTTTGTTTCCCAATAACATTCAATAATGTCTTTGACCATTTTTTTTACTTCACATTTGTTTATCTAGATTTCGAACTATAACATCCTCTTATTATCGTGGGGCCCATGGGATAATCGTTGTATACGATGTAACAGATTTGGAGTCATTCAATAATGTGAAACAATGGCTACATGAAATAGATCGCTATGCTTGTGATAATGTCAACAAGTTGCTGGTTGGTAATAAATGTGACCTAACCTCTAAGAAAGTGGTTGATTATACGACAGCTAAAGAATTTGCAGAGCAATTGTCTATACCTTTCTTGGAAACTTCAGCGAAAAATTCAACCAATGTGGAACAGGCCTTTTTGACTATGGCTGCTGAAATCAAAAACCGAATGGGTCCAGGCTCTGGTGGTATGGCTGGACAAGTTCCAGGGTCAAATGTTCTGGGTTCTATCAACCCCTCCTCCACTCCAGTCAAAACCCAAACAAATTGTTGCTAAATCTGAGAGGAGGTTCTGTCTATCTGTTTCTTTCTCATATCTATTTCTCTCTTTCTCTCTCTCTCTTTCCTCTATCTTTCTCTCTATCTCTTTCTTTCATTCTTTCCATACTTTCTGTCTATTTACCTATCCACCTATCTATCTGTCTATCCTTAATAACTGAAATCATTCAGAAAAAAATTAAAACATGATAAACTTTATACAAATAAATTATCTGATGAGTATCGTTTTCGGATTGAAATATTGTCCATTACTTCATACACATTCATTGCAATTGCTTGCAAAAAAAGCAAAATGTCAAATTAGTTGCTCCATCTAGTAGAGTTAAATAAAAAGCAAATATTCTCGTTTCCAAACTTTGTTCTTCGTTTCTCTTGGCAAGGGATGAAAAAGATGAAAGGAGAATGTTCATATTCCAACTGAACTCACTCAAGTTGAGAGGAATGTTGGAGAAAGCTAAATCCACAGAATCTCTTCAGTAGAATCCAGAGAATCGGCAGAAACAGCATTTAACTGTTAAACAATACACATTTAAATGGTATAACTAATTTGGACCATGTTCTGCTCGCCGAGTTGGCCGAGCCTAACAAATGCTGCCATTTATACTTCATTATCATTTTCCCTCTCTTTATCACTTGCTTTTACGTTATTAATATCTGTCCACAGTTTGACCGAAAGTGATTTACCCTTAATATCACCGCCATTATCATCTTTACCATTAATATCTTCAATATCCAGTTCATCTTTAATATCACCCTCACCATCATCACCGTCATCATCACCATCTTCACCAACAACAACGGTAACAACTACAGCAACAATATCGGTGCCTAGTCTTTTATCAACCTTTGATGAGTTAATTGTTGACCCAGGTAAAAGTGTATCCCTTAAATGTGAAGCCACAGGATCACCTATGCCTACAATAACCTGGAAACAAGATGGTTTACCCATTATCAACAATGAAAGGTTTCGTCTTGCTGATTTTGTTGTTACCTCGCCACAACGTAGATTAATCAGTTATGTTAATATTAGCTCAATAAGTGTTCCCGATGGTGGTTTTTATACATGTGTAGCTGCCAATAGGGTTGCTAGTGCCTCCCACAGTGCTCGTATTCATGTTAAAGGTGATCCCTATGTTAAACCCATTAAGGATATACATGTTACCCTAGGTTCAACAGTTATTGTAAATTGTCCCTACTCAGGTTATCCAATTGACTCCATTTTCTGGTCAAAGGGTAAGTCTTTTCACTGTGACATCTTGCTTAACCAGACACACTACCAGTTTAATTTAACCCAAAACTCTAACCGCTATCAACATTTCCCATTCTGACAAACTAAATAAAGTGCTCATCATTATAATTATAGAAACTCTTGTTTTGTTCATATTTTCCTCGCTTTTTTTCCCAACCATTTGATAATCTTAAACAATCATTTTTAAACATCAATTAAACCAAGATCATTAATCAAATGCTAAATGCTCCAATTAGTTGATTACAGATTTGTTAATAATCTTTTCCTAATTAGGTCCAACTCGTTTACCAAGCAATAGAAGACAAGAAATATTTTCAAATGGTTCCTTGGTTATTCATGATGTTCAAAAATCGGTCGACGATGGCTCATACACATGCCAAGCTTCCAATGGAATTAAAACTTCTGCTCAAAAAATTAATATAATTATTACCGGTAAGTCAACATTTTCCTAGTCAATCACCTTTTTTTCATTGCAACTTGGATACAACTTGAGTTCAATCACAAGCTAACCTTAACTCCTTTTTACCCTAACCTAACCTCACCATTTACATCATTGAATCCCAGATTTTGCTTCAATCTTTCTGTCTGTCTATCTGTCTGTTTTTTTTCTCCAAGTGTTTCATTCTCAAAATCAGAATATTCAATTGGAAAAACTGATGTAATTATCGATCGATAGTCTATTTCATCTTCCCTTTACTCACTTTCATTCCTCAAGATTCAACCGTAACCGTAACTGTCCATCCAAACTATTATATTCACTTCAATAGATTTATCATCAATTTAATTTATTACAAATAACCGTAACAATTGATTGACATTGAAATGTTTACCCACAGATAAAAATATCCCATTGAATCACTTAGTAATTGTCTGATTGTTTATGATTACTACTTCAATCACTGGTCTCAATCTGATAATCATTTGAAAGTGAAACCAGATTTTCCTAAATCTTTGCTTACTTCAATCATTATCCACTCATCTATTAATAATGATTAAAGCCGAAGTAACAACAAACAAATAATGTAACTACGTTACGTTTCAAAATCATCATCATTACCAGTTAATGTTCAATTCAATTGCAATTTTTAGATTCAAACTAAGCCTGAAAACAATTTAGACTCAAAAAAAAGAGAGAACAGATTTAGGAGAAGCAAAAATTTAAAGCAACAATCTAAATAAAGCTTTGAAGCCCGTTAATTGTTATTATGTAAACATCATTGACTTGAATCAATTTGAGCAAGAAAATAAATGAAAAGCTGATGGTAAATTCAATCAATTAAACTTAATTGTATACAATTTTGCAGCACGAAAAAAATTTCTCTCCAATATTCAAACAAGAGTTAAAATGTGATTCCAATTTTCACCTTTAAACATTAAGCTCAATTTTTATCCCAAACACTTTGTCAAGTTAAATTGCTTGTTCAAAATCTAGTGGTAAAAACATTATAATGATAATAACGATAACACGCCTGGAAACAATTACGCTAATTAATATTAATTACATTGAAATAGACAAGTAAAGAAGTTAAGTGTAAAATAGATTCAAATTAATCATATCAAATGTTTCAATCTGATGTAAGAGGCGTTTCAAGCATTTACCAACTAACCTGCAAAAACCGATTCAATTGCATTCATTACTAGTGATGAAACTTATTAGACTTGCAGAAACCATTTCATGATATAAGAATAAAAATTTCCTGTTTGCTTGAAATTTCCGTCAACAATTGCAGAAGATTGACATTACAATAAAATAGGGACAAAAATTTGTATTTTCATTGGCAAAAAAAAACTCTCGATCAAAGTAACATTGTTTATCATTGGAAAATGAGTAAAACGATAGAAAAAAGACAAACACAGAAAAGCAGTGAAAACCTTTAACCTGCATCTCCTCATCTTCCCATCTTCATCATCTTCATCCTCCTAATGTCCGCAATAATAACAACAAGAACCGGAAAAAGGAAGTCAACACTTTATCTCATCTAATTCATGGCTCTTCTATCCATTATCATTCATATTCACCCATCCACTTTCTGGACTTGATAATCACCAGCAACATCATTATCATTGCCATTATCACCATCGACCAAACTTTATTAAAACCTTTTCTTTCTTTCAGCTGGCCCCATGATTGATCCATTTAAATTCCCTGAAAGCATTCAAGAAGGAATGAGAGCTCGTCTAGTTTGTACAGTAATACAGGGTGATCCACCATTTGTCTTCCAATGGTTTAAAAATGATGAGCTGATTGAATCTCCAATAAACAACATTGGCATTCGAACGGACGAATTTTCTTCCGACCTAACCTTTGCTCGAGTCTCTCCTCGTCACAACGGCAACTACACTTGTATAGTTAGCAATTCAGTGGCATCTGATTCACACACGGCACTACTCAATGTTGATGGTAAGCAATCAATTTCAATCAATTGCAATCTCTTTGAATCATTTGTAATTCCATTGTCATTCTTTGGTTTCAATTTTCTTTCCATTGACTGGTTTGCCGCATAACGAATGGGGTTCATGGTGTAAATGTTATTGATAATGACCCAACCATTACAAGTTTCAAATGCAATTATCGAAATTTTCTGTTGGAAATAGAAAGGAAAAGAAGAAAAAAAATTGATGAGAATGAGAAAAATCATTACTTTGATGAAGAGCAAAAATGAAGGGAAAGATTCAAGTATTGAAAAATCTCATGAGATGTGTTCCTATTTTTTCTCATTACTTTCACTTTTCTCTGATGAAATCTTCTTTTAATCAGCTTGCAACAACATTTATCAGTTCTTAATATACATCAAGAATCAACTGTTAACCATTTTTACAATTTTCCTCCCTTTACACTCTTTTTCCACTTGAAATTGTATCGATTCAATCTCCATACTCTGTGAACAAGAAACTGAACAATGTCTTGAGGCACTTTTTCAAGTTGAATTGTTAACAGATTATGAGAGTTGAACCAAAAAAAGACTGCAAAATATCTAATATTGAGAATCTCTAAATATTATAGCAGTTATTTGAATGAAAGCTTGAAATTAGGAAATGAAAAATGGATCAAAATTGGCAAAAAAATCGCACATTTTTACTTGACATTCAACCGTTTAGGCTGTTAATCAGTTTCACCCTGAACCATTTCAGCACAATGTCATGTATCTCTGATAAAGAAATGATTAATTACAGTTTAATGTGTCTTCCAATTGGGTTTACATTGCCATTAAAATCTGAAAATGACAAATGATTTTACAATAGTTAATGTTTCATCGTAAATTGAATTGAAATTAATTTTCATTTTTATTTCTTTTCAGTTCCACCTTATTGGAAAGTTGAACCTGTTGATGTATCAGTTGTTTCTGGACAAAATATCATGATTGATTGTCTAGCTGAAGGTTCACCTCAACCAATAATAACATGGGAAAGAGGTTCAAGTAAGCCTCAGTTTTATTGATCACTAGCCTCAACATTTTCAAGTGCTTTGACCAGCTTCAAATACGAGATTGAGATTAATTAAAATTATCATTTATCTTTAGCATTACCTCGAACTTTTACAACTATAGCAAGTGGTTCACATTTTGAGGTTTACGCAAATGGCTCGTTATTGATTAAAACAGTTGAACCTGACGATGGTGGACTTTATTTGTGCCAAGCAAGCAACTCAATTGGACCTGGATTGAGTAAAGTTGTTACTCTAACTGTTCACAGTGAGTTTAACCATTCACTTTAACATTTTCAATTCAACTGACTTCAGTAAAAAAAAGTCAAAGCTCGGTTTTCCCAGGTTCAGAGACTTCATGTTTCATTGATTCACCTTTGATTCAAAGATAAATAGACATAATCGAGCTACTTTCCATTGCTATTGTGGCAAAACATTTATGAAAAAAACTTGAAAGTCGAAAATCAATTTGATCACTTCAATTCATCTTATTCAAACAAATTGCAGTTTAAATCAACATTAATTTCCAATTTCAACTCATATTCTAATTTTCGACGATTCGGATAGTTTCATCTAAATAAACATTTCTAATGATAAAATCAATCTCTCAGCAGTATGCATCAAAGATTGCTCTGGATCAATATTAAAACAAGAATAAGATCGTTTAAATGCGAAATAAATCTCGATGAATGTCTGTTAATTGTTTAAAAAATGATCCAATAAATCGAATCATCAGTCATCTTTCATTCATTTTGCTTTTCAGTGTTCAGTGAATTTTTCCCTTTAAAACGCTGATGATAGGAATGGCAATTAGTCGTCATTCCATTGATATTGTTTCATACTAAAACAACTTCGATGAACACAATGACCAGTTTAAGAGTTTAATGTCGATGGAATCTGGTAAATCTGGTTTTCACAAAACTACACAATTTTTAACTCAAATTTGCGCAAATAAATTGTTTCAATTGAACCTGATTAGCCAATTTGCTTTGAAATTCAATTTCTATTTGAGAAAATATTCAAAAAAATGAGTTATTTTCATAAAGCAAAATTACCTGAAGCACAGCTTAAAATGGACAGTTGAAAGTCATTCGATTTATTTATTTTTGCAGAATTCATTTTCCATCATCAAATTTAATTTGATTTTTTTCTCTCTCTCTATTATTCGTTGCAACTTGGTTCAATGATATTTATTTTCTGGTTACAATAACATTACTTCAATAGGAAACTGTTACATTTATCATATTGTTTTTTTTGCTTCAAAATAATATGAGAATGATATTATAATGCATTGGAAAATTGGAATAACCTAATACAAGAATTGCAAGAAAAATGAACCCAAAATGAAAATAAACATTGAAACATTTTTCATGAATATTTTTCATTTGGCCATTTTGTTTTTGTCATATTTTTGTTACTCCTTTCAATGGGAAGCAAGAAGAAGGCAACAAAAAAATTGATATTATTGTAAAATGCAAGTTAAAGGTAAACTCATAGTCACATTGATACTGAACACATAGACATTATATTAGTATCTTTGCATATGTATCTGACAGAATCTTGTTCCCTCTGATTCTCCATGAAATCCAGGAGAACAATAAAATCTAATATTTTGCTTTCTCTTTTTCCCAACAAAATACAAAGTAAAAGTTGAGACGTGATTTGTTGACCAAATTTTACTGTAACAATTTACTGGAAAAAAAACTCTTTTGTTATTCAAATTGTTGATCCTTTTTTTGCCTCAATTTTCATCATCGTTCCTCTTCACATTGTTTATCAACAGCAAAAACTAGCAACTTTTTCAAGTTTCATCAAATTCTTGATATGATTGAATTGAACTCAAGAACTGACAAGAGAAGCATAAGAATGGTTACCCAAATTTACCGAGTCAATCATCAATCAGTGAAGACGAATGATGGTAAAGAGAATCGATGGAATTTTTGAAAACCATTTTCTCCATTTTGAGCAACTAAAAAAAGTGAAAAATGATGACGATAATGAGATTTTTAGGAAAAACTTTGCCGTTCCATGAATGTTGAATGGTTCAAATGATTCTCTCATTTTCGCATGAAATTTCATTTCATGAAGGTGATGATAATCATGTTAATCAACATTGATTTTTGAGAGAAACCTTTTTCCTCTTTTGTACTTGATCAATGTCCAATTTTTGGGCATCATTTTGTCCTCAATTTTGTTCAGCTCAATGAATTTGATTCCGCTTGATTCACATTTCGATTTCTTTCAACTTCACCGTTTCTCACTTTTAACATGATCCAGAATCTTGTTGCTACTCTTTAAGTGTATTTGCTATTAAACAAAACTCTTTATCTCATTCTCAGCATTCTCAAACTGACAAAGTATATTATTTGAAATTCAATCATCTGTATAACGTTTTGATATAACAATGAATTTTCAGGAGAAGAAAATGATTCCAAGTAAAAAAAGGAAGTTTTTTTGTGTTTTCATTCTTTCACTTTTTTCTTCTTTTTTCCCAATTTTACTTCTTTTTTCCCTTTTGATGAGTAACAACTTGATAATGTATTATAAGGTGAATAACATTGTCAAGTGAATTTCACTTTTAACATAGTTATTTATTTGTTTCTGATTTTTATCATTTTTCCAATGATAAAGGATTCTCGATTGATAATAAGCTCCGAACTAAATTGTTGGAATAAATAAATTCAAATAAACTTTCAAATAATGTAAATAAAAATTACAGGCACAAAAACACTTGCAAATGTAATCTGTTTGTTTCATGAACAACAACTGCACTTCAACTCATTAAAGGTTGAAAATAAGTGTAAAATTCAAGCAAAATTTGGCCAATTATGTGAAAAAATAATGATGAGAAAAACATTATTTTTAAAAACATTTCATTGACAGTCTTTGATCTGAATTGTTCAAGAAAATTTGTCAATATTTTTCTCCATTTAATTTTCAATTAAAAATTCAAACTGAATCACAAAGCCTTTTGAGGAGGAAAAAATATCAACTTGAACATATTAATCTGAAAAGTGTTTAGAGTATTTTGTTTCCTCTCAAAGTTTATCACCTCGCTCTTTTCACTCCCTGTTCATCTTGAATCTCCCCATCTTTTCCATTCTATTTTGAGTCATGATTAATGAGCTATTCGTTGAGAATAATCTATCCTTGTTGTTGAATTGAATGGTTGACTGGTGTGAAGCTCTTCTCTGGAACCTATTCTTATGTCTCTCAACCCTTTGATTCATCATCATTATCATTCATTTTACAAGTTAAACTCGAGCGAATCTTGGTGTATATTTTGTCCAAACACAATTCTCGATACAAACTCATTTCTCTCATCAACACTTTTTGATAATAACAACCATCAATGGATTCAAGTTTCACAATATTTTCCCTTCGAATCCTATTTCCAGCATTATTATTTTATCATCATTCTCATTCTCATTCTTATCAATCCTTCAAGAACTTTTTTTTCTCATTCCCAACATTATCTTTCTTTTCGTTGCTTAAAAACTCACTTTTTCACACAGAATTTTTTTTCCTCTCACATTCATCTTTCCATCATCCTCGTCATCTTCATCTTCTGTCTATTTTCCATTTTTAAACCTTTCGTCCAATTTTCTTCACCCCATTTCTCTTTTATTTTATAAACCTTTTCTTGCCTTTCATCTGAAGGCTGAAAAAGGCTGTACAGTCAAATAAGAGAAGAAGAAAAAAAATCAATCGATAGAACTTTTTTTTTCTTCTTCTTCTCGCTCAGCATTCTGGTTGTCAAATAACAGCGAAAAGCATTGTCTGGGAATGAGAAAGGCTGCAAAATTTATATGCTAAAAGAATTCAAAGAAATGTTAATATAAAATGAACTGAATCAGATGAAGAAAAGGAGAGAAAAAAGAAAAATATTATTTGATTCTTTTAAAGGTTTTGTTTCTATTAAATTCAAGTTAAGCTTTTTCTTGTTCATCATAAAATTCAAAGCGATATTCAACTTCACCTTTTTTTCACCGTCAACTGATGCTACAATCTTCACCGTAATTGAACATTTGACAAATTGACATTTGATTATTGAACACATTTTTTTGCTTCTCAGGTTATTAAATTTATAAAAAAAGGCACAAATTGGTTTGAAAAATATACTTTTGTGTCGCTTCTCAATGATAACTCATTTCAATATTATCATAATAATTGAATATCATAATTGTTACTTAACATTGTCACCATTTTTTGAGGGCAAAATTTTTGATTAACATACAAGTTTCAGTTAATAAATCATTCTCATCATTATTCATGATTAAAACTTGCGTTATTAACAAAAGGATAAAGTTGTTGATGAAAAAAAAAGATGAAAATCCCAACAGAAAGTGAAGAGCAAAAATACAAGTGAAAGGCTAATTTGAATGGGGAAAAAAAGTTAATTGGTAAATCTAATTGATTCAAGTTGATTGTGATAATAATTTGAGTTGCAATGAATCAAGTTTGCTGATTCAAGTTTTACTGTTAATGGAAAAATATTGATAACACTTTGTGTGTTAAAAGATGAACACAGAAAAGTTATCATGAGATTTTATCATCTCTTTTGTTCTGTTATGATAATTCTGTTTCCTTGCTAAAAGCATAACAAGGCAAAAGCAGTAGCAAGGAAAAAGAGAGAAAACAGAGAAAAGAAGTTCAGCAGAGAAAAAAGTAGTTATTCAAAGGTCATGAGAAGTTGAACTTTTATCTGTTGAAGTGTATCTGCTGTTGCAATCAATTATCTGAGCATGTTCATTCCAACGGAATTTCCATCTTTCTCTTTTCTCTCTCTCTCCTTTCCATTGACCTGGTTCAATGAAACAAAACACTCAACGAAATGTTATATCCAAGTTGTTCGGACAAGACCAATATGAAGATAATATTTAGCTGGTAAACTGGGAGTGACTTCAACTGACAAAATAATAAATATATAACTTTTTATCTATAATATTACATCTTTACTGATAAGTAGCATTAGATGGATATTAGATTGACTGGGAGTGAGAAAAAGATTTATCAAGACATTTCCAAATTCCAATTATGGTCCAATTGAGATCATTTTTTTCGTTGGTTTAGGAGTGAAAAAAATTAATCGACAGTGAAAACGGTAAAGACTTGCCAAGTTTCATTAAATGCTGTTAAATTGTTCAATCCTTGCTTTGTCCATTTTCCTCTCTTTCCCAAGTTGATCAACATTTGATGAACATTTGATGAACCTTTGAAAGAGAAAAAAAATCAAATGAAATTTCGATGTTAAAAGGTTTGATAAAAATTTAACAAAAACTGAACATTCATTTTCGTTGTAACCAGAAAATCATGAGGTGCAAAATGTTTGTTGCCTTTTTTCATCATTACATTCAATTCGCATCCTCTTCTGTCTTTTTCTGTCTGTTTTTGCTTACTTTTGTTGTTGCACTTTCTTTTTTCCTTTTCCATTCTCTGACGAAGAAAAAAAATCCTTTTGCTTCTGTTTCCATTTTTTTGCCATCACTTCCATGGTTTCAAGTTTACTTGTTTAAACTCTCATCAAGTTGTGTTCCTGAGATAAGCTTGAAAATCAAGCCCAGAACCTCATGAGGAAGATGTAATTATGATCGACCAAAATAAATATTAACTGAGAATGGTTTTGGTTTTAAAAAGGATGGTGATGATGATGAGTGTGATAATGAGCAGGAGATGGAATCGAGTTGTTGTTTAATGTGTGTTTCATGCTGGAAACAATGAGATGAAAGGATGGAGCTTTTTGTTGAGAGTTTTTCCACTTTCATGATGAAAAATGAAAATGACGAGATGAGTCAAATTGAGCTTTGATGAAACTGGAATGAAAAGATGTTGAAACACAAAATCCTTTCATTTACTGATTTGCTCATCTTTTTCCGTTTATTTTCACCTTCTTTTTTTAGCATTATCCTTCTATTAAATACACCTTCAACTTAAAGATGATTTTATTCTTGACATGAATTATTTTCACCTGTATCAACAAGGAAAACAAGTAAAGTTGAACGGTAATGATAATAGACAGTCAAATGATTTGCCTTCTCAAGATAAGAGATGAAATTTGCTAAATTAAACATTCTAACTCTCAGGGTGGATTGATTAAGCTATGCAAACAGTCGATTTGTTGTATTACAAGAAACTGTTAATTGGTAATCAAAACTATTGCTGTACAAAAAGCTTTCCTAAGCTTGTTCGTTGAATGGTTTACTCTCTTTTTTTGATAACACATTTAACTCATCGTCAACATTAACATTTTTTATCACCATTATTATCATTATTATTACCATCATCATCATTGAATTCACAGTTTTATCCTCTTCTTGAATTTTTGAAGGCAAACAGGGTAAAAGGGAAATTTGGACAGACAAAAGTAAGAATGTGATTATACTGATGACGATGAATAAAATGATGAAAAACGATGAAAGATGGTGAAGATCCAGAATGAGATGATGATGGAAATAAAGGAAACTAAAGAAGAGTCCCGGAAGCATTTGGATTGGATTGTAATGTGAAATATGATGCCAACTCAAGGTTCTCATCTTTTTTTCATCTTTTTATCTTTTTCCATTCTTTGGCCTTCATTTTTTGGTTAAAAGAATGGATCACAAACCCAAGATTAGACCGGTTTGACTTGAGGATGATGGTAACCACAAGAGATAAAAGAGAGCGTATAAAGTGCATTGGAAATGTTCACCATTCAGTTTGTATACATAGAAAAGTATTCTCAATGTAATCAAGATTATTCTTGTTTGACTCAAGGGAAAAAAAGGCTGAAATTTTCCTCCATCCTGGTAAAACTCGGTCCATACTTTATAACGAATCTCATATCAAATTTTGCCTTTTCCTCCTTTTGCTTGGTCACTTGGTTTGCTTTTCATCTGTAAAGATTTTTATATTGTAAAAAAAGAAACGGGATTGACCAGAAAAAAACAGGTTAGTTTATCATAAAAAATAAATATAAATGAGATACAGAAAATTTATGATGATAAGTATAAAAAGGTTTAAAGTAATAAGTTTGCGGTCATTTTCTGAATCAATTCAGAATTCATTTTCTATTCCTGCCTTTAGCAAACGATGTTCATTCTAATGGTTTCAATTTGATCTGGTAAAGATCAACTTTTTATATTCATTGGAATGAAAAACGAATCAAATGGAAAATGACGTTTTCTTTATTCCTAAAAATCTTTTATTACCTTTTCTACTTCAAAATAATATTTTTACCTGTTTGTTGTTGTTTCCACTATTTTTGTTCATCTTTAACACCTTAATTCTGTCTTGTTATTTCATCAAAAGAACCAGAAGCTAGATATGTATTAGGGATTGTAAGATTGATATAAGAAAATGGAGAAGACAAAAGAAATGCGAGAAAGAAAGTTATTGTATAAAGTAAATGACAAAAGTATTATAAAGATACCTACTGGGAGTTGAAGCAAAAGGATAACTTGTAGTGAGTATGATGATGATGAGCATGATGATATAAGATGATGAAAAGTAAAGCAAGAGCAAAATGGTTGTGAAGATAAGCTGAAACAGTGAACAAAATGTTAAGCTTAAGGTTTTTGGGAAGCAACCTTCATGGATTTCAAATGGAATGGGAATCAATCTCAGGTTTCACGCTTTCCTAGACAACAGTAAACAATTTTGATCTTTTACATTATTTTTACATCTTTGTCTCGCTGTTTTCCCCTCAAGTAAGATGTTGACATTTTTAGACTTGTCTTTTGCTTTATCACTTTTGCTTTTCCAATAAATGATTGAAATACACTCTGGATAGACGGATAAACAAAATAAATACATTTCCATCTTTAACCAAAATCCATATTTTTAACAAGGTGAACAAGATGTTGGACCCAAAAAGAGCAAGGAGAGCGAAAAAAAACAGCAATTCAACAATTTTCACCATTGATTCCATTTACGATATTCTTGTCATACACAATTCCATAGTTGCCAAAAGATATCCATAATTGATTCAATGTTCCAGTAAACAATGACAACTCCAATTAATCAAAAATACATCACCAATAATCGAGTCAACCAATTTCCATTGAATAAACTCTTGACTTCATCTCAGGCAAAATAACCATCAAGACTAATCAAACAATCTTACGTTAGTTGCACTTCCATAAAAATTAAAACTACATTTTCAACTGAAAGCATAAGAAGACACACAAACCAAATAAATTAACAATAATCAATGAATCATAAAATAACCAGCGAAATAAATTAACAAACAAAATCCAAAATCAATTAACAGACGATAAATTTGTAATATAAAATTATGAAAATCATGTGACAAAAAAAGGAGTGTCGTAATGGAAAGGGTAAAATATTGAAAGGCGCAAAATTCAATTCAATCAATGGTTCGATTAAAATTTAATTAAATTGAATTTCGATTATTAATTTCGTCATTTTCTTTCCTTTTCAAATTATCCAAATCCAAATTAAAATCAGACAATATCTGACAATCTCAATCTTCACATTTGTTGAAATGTTCAAAAGTTAACCAGAAAATTAATATTGCATTAAATGTTGTTAAATGAATGCGAAACGACAAAACCTAATATCAAGCTTCACTCTTCTACTCCTTTCAACCTAAATTAACCAGACTTTACCCAAATACACTCAGCGCAATAATTATAAATACACTAGTTTTTCAACGATAACTTTGAAAATATTTGTCTAACAAAAATTTAAATTAGATATTCAGAATCAAGGCTAAAAAATACATATATTGACGTTTTAATTCTTGGTGATTTCATGATAATCACGTAATAATGGCGAAATCAAAATTTTTGCGTGCGCAAAAATTATAAATACAGAATTGAATTTTCTTAATTTTTTTGTTTGATATTATTTTTTCGCCATTTTTTAACTCATCTAATATTTCTTATTCCATAATGGATCTTTGATATAAATTTCAAGATAAAATAACTAACAATTGACTAATAAATCAAGAAAAATGGTTTCCATAGGAAATGTACAGAAAAATGCAAAATCGTCGATTTAATCAAAGAGTAAGAATTTTTTTCAAGATACTTTGGACTTAAGATGTTCAATATCATCTCATATTATCATATAACTTTATTTTACAAAGATTGAAGTATTAATAAAGATTTTACAGTAAATTTTCTTGAAAGCGGACAGCTTTCCCATTGAAATCAATGGGAAAGCTTGCCAATTAGGGAAAATTATCATAAAAACACTGTAAAATCATTATTAATGCTCCAATCTTTGTAAAATAAAGTTTAATAATAATATGGGATGATATTGAACATCTTTGTTCCTAAGTATTTTGAAAAAAGGTCTTACTCTACGATTAAATCGACAATTGTGTAATTTGCAATGTAATTCCTATGGAGACCATTTTTGTCGTTTATTTATTTACTGTTGCTTATTTTATGTTGAAATTTATATAAAAGATTCATTATGGAATAAGAAATATTAGATGAGTTGAAAAATGGCGAAAAAATAATGTCAAACAAAAAAATTGAGAAAATTCAATTCTGTATTTATAATTTTTGCGCACGCAAAAATTTTGATTTCGCCATTATTACGTGATTATCATGAAATCACCAAGAATTAAAACGTCAATATATGTATTTTTTAGCCCTGATTCTGAATATCTAATTTAAATTTTTGTGAGACAAATATTTTCAAAGTTATCGTTGAAAAACTAGTGTATTTATAATTATTGCGCTGAGTTTAGTTATAGGCATACTCAGGATATTCACAAATATAAATATATCAACAACAAACACAACATTCACTATTACTATTATTATTGTTATGTTACTATTATTTTCATCGTCATCATCATCATTTCTTCTTCTTCTTTCTTTCATTACTTTGTTCGTTTCTTTCCTTTATCCATTTTCTTCATAATTTTCTGGTTTGGTGAAGATGAGTAAAGATGAAGGGAAGATGAAAATGAAATGATGGTGAACACAAAATGAAAAAGTTTACCTCAGAAAATGATGATATTTTTTTTCCTGCTTTCATCATCATTCTTTCATGATTGCTTTTCATGTTGTTGCCGTTGTTGTTTAACTTTCACATTTGTTAACATTCTTGTTGTTGTTGACATTGTTGTTTCCCTTTTGTTTACAAGTGAACCCAATTTTCATTGTGTTTATAAACATCTTCAAAGTGTCTGCAAACAACAATCAACAATCAATATGTGCACACAAAATGAATATTTAGATCAAGTTGAGATACCAATGCAGGTAATTGCAATTGGAATGAAAGAGATCAACTAAATTAGTCTATTCAAATAACCAACATTGAACAATTGAGTTCAACGATTCTTCAGAATTTTCAGCAAAAAAAGAGTTTTCTTCTGAAAATTTTTGAATCCATTTCAAGCAATTGTTAGATTGAAAACGTTCATGAAAACACTGAGAATATTTGTCGATGAAAAGATTTCGTTTCCACTTTTGTCTGGGAATGTCAGGGAATGACTGGGAATGATGAATTCGTTACTCCAATCTGTTCAATATTGGAATCTGATTTTTATCTAAAATAATTTATTCCTATTCTTTATCTTATTGGCAATCATAATCACTGTTGACAGAATGTAATGCAATAATGAAATGATAATCAGAGTAATAGCAGTTAAGAGAGAATTGTGATTTTCCTATTTTGACTGATTTGTGGTTCTAATGATTTATCAATAAATAACAACCTTTTTCGGTCAAATATTGCAAATTTGGTTAGATGTTGGCAAGAAAATTGCTCTGAATCAATCAATAAGCAACATTAACAGCAACTCCATCAACAACAAAAGCACCAATCAAAACTAATTTTTGCTATTTTTTCCTGTTTTCTCTTATTATTAATCTCGTTTCATATTGTTGGTTTATTAATGTCACCATTGTTGTTCATCATGTTCATGTTTCATGTTCAATGTCGATACTTTACAATAGTGAACAATAACCATTAAGAATGAAAGGTAAATTGAAATAAATTTGGCAAACTTTTTCACCTTTTCTCCCTTTCCTTTTAACTCTTAGCTTTACTTCAAGATTTACTTCAAGTTGACTTGAAAAAAGGGTAAAAAATTGGGTGAAGAAGAGGAAATAAAAAAGATAAAGATTGAACAAAGAACCAGAAAAGGTAAACGGAAAAATGAAGTAAAGCAAAACAAAATGTTATCATTAACAGGGAGAAGAATTTTTGTGTTCATTGAAAGAAAATCATTTTTCTTGTCTCGTTATCTTTTTGTTTCTTCTGTGGCTGAATGAAGATTAAACAGAGATCAGAATGTTTCAAGTTTCTGATGATTATGGCTTTTCTGGTTTTACCGTTTTGACCAAAGAACCGGTTGAACAAGAAACAAAAAAAGCTGCAACAAAAAGATACCAACACCAAGAAAAACATAACAAATAAACAAACAAACATTCATTTTGACAACTAAATTGTGATGATGAAAAAATATGAACAGAGTAAAGACGATGAGTGCAGGGAGACGAAAAAATCGATTACCAGTTCAGAGACTCAGTAAATCGATACATTTATCAATTTATCAACATTTACAGATTCTTCCTCAATCATAACAAATATTTCAAAAACTTGAGTTTACTCCAACTTTTATCATCTAACAACATTTGTTACTTCAAACCCAATCCTTTTCATCATTTTTACTCAACGTAAACGGATGTTACACTTGACTTTCCCGGTAAAAGGTCCAAGTTTGAGTTAAGATCAACATTTCGTAGATTCAATACTGAAACTCAGACAATTTTTATTTCAAAATTTCGCTTAATCAACACAAATTTAACCTTAAAAACTTGGTTTGAGATCTTTTCACTTCAAAGAATTTATTTTTTAGTTTTTTACTTAAACTCGGCTTTGATCAACTCGCTGATTCGTCATGAGATTAATGAATTTATCATTTAATTTTCTTCTTTCGCTTTCCATTTTGCTGTTGAGTTAAACATTTACATCAATTTTACTATCAACAAGTTTATCAATTAATGAACCATTATTCTGATTGAAATAATTGATTTTCCCATCAGAAGATGTTTCGCCTTATTACTGTTTAAAGGAATCTCATTTCAGTCTGAATTACACTGGCAGTTCAAGTCACATTATACTGAGTAATCCAGTTAAGCTTGAGATTTCCTGAAAATTTTCTAGATTATTTGCATAAGAAAATAGGGAAATCTTTAGTTTCTCATCAATTTGGGTTCATTGTCATGAAAACCAGAATGTTTCTCTTCTCTCTCTCAATCCAAGTCTTGAAATTGAAAAAGTAAATTGAAAAGCCTTCAAGTTTGCTATTGAAAGGTAAAAGAAGGGAAAAAGACGAAACCAGAAACAATTGATTAAACAGAGTTGAGAACAGTTAACCCTTTTCTCTCTGTAAATCAATTAATTATCAAATGAATTGGGATGAAACAGTTTAAACACTCCAAGATTAACAAACCACAACAAAATAGTGAAACATTTCCTTCTTTATTTTTGTAACTTTAACTCGGCATTTTGTGTACATTTCATGGGTTATCAATCAATTTACAAAATTCAAGTCGACAGAAAATAAAATTATGAATTTCAACTCTCTACTGACGAAGGCAAAAGTTTTACTCTTTTTTTTCCTCAGTTTCAACTTGAATACACATGAGAATGAATGATGAATTTTATTAACTCAAGTGATTAATAACATGATCATTAGGAAGAAAGCAGAATAATCTTGTCAATCCTTATTTGTTAACCAACTTTATTGTTGATCAAGTTTAACATGTAACGTTGGAGTCTGTTTCAACTAGAAAATGCAAGTTGAAGAAGATGCAAGAAAATGTTCAATTAGATTATTAACAAACCAGAACACGATCCAGATTCTCATCTCTTCTATTAATATTGATTATTCTTTTATCTTTTATCATTACTTTTTTATATCTTCACAATTTTCACCGAAAAACCATTGAAAGTTATCAAAAAGTGATCACCAAAAAGGTAGAAAAAAAAGATTAACAAGTTCCTGGAATCTCTTCACCAAACCATTTTTACAAAGTCTAACAATTACTTCATTTTCAGATCATAAAATATTGAACCAAAAAATGATTCAAAAACCAAACCAAAGCAAACTTGAAATTAGTCAATTTTTAGAGCAAAATTTTCAAGTCCAAGTGCAAGTCCAGTTGATATTGACTTTGAACTGATCAATAAGGTTAATTTTATTGACTGCAAACTCGGTGAAATGTTGATATTTTAATTTTACTTTCAGTGAATTTAATTTCAATGAATGGATGATTGAAAATACTCGGCAACTCTCAATTTTGTTGAACTGCTCAATGAATTGCTAT